AATTTTGAAGCGGCCAATAAAAACAGAGAAAATAAAAATCGATAATTTTCGGACTGTGCCAATTGGTTACTAATCGACCAGATACTTTTTGTCTATTAGATATGCTATAAAAGCTGGTAATTATACAATTCGACCATTGTAAATACCCGACAAATTCCGCAAGGCCGACGAGGTCGATGTTTTTCACTGATAAGAAAAAAAAATGTTTGTTTAGATAATTTTCGAGATATTTTTTCTTTCTGAATGCACATTTTAAAGTATTTTATATTCTTTGTCCGCTTGATCTATTATACTGGTCGCACGTATCGAAGTTTTATTTCTTGTAGTTTTAAAATATTTTCTTGTTTCTTTGTAGTTGTAATGTAAAATTAGATTAATTTATTAAGTTTGATTATAATGTTTAGTGTAGACTACCAGAAGAAATTTAGTAGTGTTTTTATATTTTATTTTGAAGTTAAGTAGTAGGTGAAGGGGTAATTTGGTTAATTTTTCTTTATGTTTGATTAATTAATAAGTTTGATAATTTGTTTAGTGTAGAATACAAGAAGTAGTTTGTGTAGTGTTCTTGTAAGAGATTATATTCATTTATTTTGTAGTTGAGTAGAAGGTGAAGGTATTTGGGTATTTTTTTCTTTTTGTTTTTCTTCTAATAATTATTGTAGTAGTTCTTTTAAATATTGTGATAGATACATTATAATCTTCCTTCTACTTTTCTGGTAGTTGAATATACGAAAAAAATCTGATCAAATTTATTTTAAATGAAATTAATCTAGTCTTATTAATTAATCAAATTAAACTAGTCAAATAATATTAATTGCAATCAATTATTAAAAAATATTAATTATTTTGGAAAATAACTTTTGAAATGGAGTATTATTGATAAAATTTAGCCAATTTTTTTTACCCAGTAGCGTATTTCAATATGATCTTATCATTTATCACTGTATAATAACTTTGTTGTGGCAGAAAAATATACCAGTTAGTTTCAAAATATTATTTTTTTTTCAAACGTCACAAAAGTATTAATTTTTGCGACGTGATTGACAATATAAAAAAGTCATTTTAACGCCTAGGCATAAAAGTAAAGCACTTTACGCCTAAGCATAAAAGTATGAAAATATATTATTAAAATGACATAAGTCTCAAATTCAACGAGCCGTAACCATAGTTTCTCGATATATAATTACTCATGGTACAAAGAAAACTTGAAAACAAGGTATGGTCGATAGCGTCTCCAATTTCGTTCAGTTTGCGCATATCGCCTGTGACGTCATATGCCATACAACAAAATATCCGTATTGTTCAATTGCCACTAATAAAAAAAGACCTAAAATAAGGAAGAATTAAATAACCCCTAAAGTTATGTAAAATCATCGAGCTGGACATTTGAAAAGTTATGACACATTATACACATTTATTATGTGTCATCTGTTTGAAAATTTGAAATTGGCGCGTGGAGCTTGCCGACCAATATTGCCATTTATCACCTGTGACGTGATGACCAACCTGCGCAATATCATACCTTGTTTTTTTTGTATCATGATAATTACTTACAAGGTATGAGTTTTAAATATTTTTATATTATTTGGAACGTTTCAAATTGTTTAAAACATTATTTGTGGCGTTTGAAAAAAATAGCATGTGCTATTCGGAGTAAAAATGACTTTTGTGCTTCGGCTGTATGTCAAACCTACAGTCTCGCCACGAAAAGTGTCATTTTTACTCCTAATAAAACAATATACTAGAAAGTTTTATGGTTTAACGGGCTTTGTGAGTTAAAACATAATGATATTTTCAGTTTTTATAATTCTTGATCGAAAATAAACGGCGTCAGCGATGACTATGAAATGAAGATCGCTGTCATTTTGTATGTAAATTTATGTGGGAAATGTCGTCTACCGTCATTTCCCTGCCAACTGGACGCCGTTTTTTTTTCATATGGTACAAAGTTAAAGCAAACTTGACTCTGACCATGTTTTACGCTAAGAAAGATTTATTTCGTGTAATAAAGATTTAAATGGTGTATTAAGTACATAATATTTATTTAAATGTCAAATGATATTATTGAAACAAGTGCCAAGTTTTATTTTTAATTAAGAAAAAAATTGTATAAACGTTTTGTTTTCAAAAAAAAAATTACCTTAAATTCGTAAAACCTCAATTTAGAATAAAATGATCGAATAATGAAATAAAATTTTATAGCCCTGGATCAAATCGAAATAAAGTAAGTGTATGTAACTTTTTTTAAATATTAATAATTACCAGCAATTAGCATTAATGTACCAACATATTGAAAATTGTTATTTCTTTGTTAAATACGGTTTAGAATCCTTAAAATAACAGCAAAAATAATCGAAAATCAACAATGAAATAATAGTTTTGTTTAAATTTCTTAATCAGCTGAGCCCTATTATAGTTCGCAAAAATCCGAGCTATATTATTACATTACTCTGAGGGAAATACCACAAATAATCGATATTTTTGACTCCGCCCCTAATCACATGCTTCATTCTTTTAAAGCTTTACGATTTGTTCACCAGAGGCAGCACATTTTGTCGAGAGGTTGACCAACTTTAAGAATATATAAACAAGGGTAAAACCAAATATGTACATACATAAATATTTATTAGTAGAAGCTACAGGAAAATGTAATTTTTAATATTTTCGATATTTGTATTATTATTTTTTCACTAACTACAATTTGTATCTAATTAATTTATTATACGGTATGTCCCCGGATTGCCTCTACAATTTAAGAAGGAAAACATTTTGAGAATAAATGCATTCTATATAAAAAAATTTGCTTGCTCTATAATGGTTAATCTCATTTATACCTTTCCAAATTTCTATACTGTTTTAGAGAGAAATGTAATAATATGAACAAATAGTTTTATTTCTAAAATCAAAACGCCTTTCTCTAGCAATATCATTTAGTTTTGATTCTTTGATAAAAAATTATTAACTCATTAAAATGAGTGGAAGGGGTTGAAATAAACTACCCCCAAATAAACTACCCGATTAGGAAATTTTACATATAAAATAAAAGCGATCTTCATTTCATAGCCATCCCTGATGCCGTTTTTTTTTCAATCATATTATATTAAAATACTTGTTAGCAAATCACAATTTATAACATTAATGTTTAGTGTTATATACCAAAAGCAAAAATACAAAAAAGAATAATAGTATCTTTACAGGGTATTTCAATGTGTATTACATGTAAAAAATGTCTATACCTATGTGGCGGATTCATCTATCCAAAAAAATCCTTTATGGGTATTTCGCTTAAAATGCTTAAAAAAAATGCTTAAATAAAACAAAAAAAAAAAGCATTTTTTTCTTTGTTACGCAAATTTTTATTACTGTAAACACAACTTCTGACAAACAGCGTCCGTTTAGGTTTAACGCAGAAGTGTTTACAAAAAATAACTATTTTATTTTGTAGATTTTTCTTGCAGTGCAGTGGCGAAATACCCATAAAGGATTTTTTTATGTATTACATGTGCCATCTCTCGTGGGGAGATTGCACAGGTAAAAATAGTATTTATTTTTTATATCAACATAGGTTCGATTCTGTTTTGTTTCGTGGTTAAATACTTCTTTTTTTTTCGATTTATTACAATTTTCTGAAAGTCCTTTTAGCGATTTAAACGAAGTTTTGAGGGTAAAAGTTTCTAACATATTTTAGTGCTAAAAGGTGTCGACATATTCACCAGAGGGCTTTACAGCTTTATTTTAACGCCTAGGAAAACTTACATAACGTGTCAAATTCAACGAGTCCCCCGTAACCATAGTTTCTCGATATATAATTACTGACTTTTATATTTTTTATATTATTTGGAACGTTTGGAATTGTATAAACAATTATTTGTGGCGTTTAAAAAAATAGTTCTATTCGGAGTAAAAATGACTTTTGTACCTCGCCTGTATGTCGGACTTGCTAACGCTCTTCCATCAAACACACAGCCTACATTAGAGAGTACAGCCTCGCCATTAAAGTGCCATTTTTACTCATAAGAAAACAATATACTATTTTCTCAAATTGTCAATAATAAAAAAGTTTTTCCTCTTATAAAGACAATACTGTACAGAAAATCCTATATAAGTATTTCGCCACTCCAAAAAAATCTACAAAATAAAATAGTTATTTTTTGTAAACACTTCTGGCTTTAATCCAAACGGAAACTACTTGTCAGAAGTTAGGTTTACAGATTGCCATACATTGCCCTTAAAGTTCCAATTACAGAACATAAAGATTATTTAAGAAAGGGAGATTTTCACAAATCTAAGATTTGTCAGCATTCATGGGACACAGGGCACAGAATAAATTTTAATAACGCCAAAATTGTAATGAAAGAAGCGATAGCCTCTAAAAGAAAAATAAAAGAGGCTTTTTTAATAGAATCTAATAAAAATAAATGTATTGCTCATGCATCTGTAGATGTTAGTAATGTATGGCAATCACTTCTTACGTCACATACCTACGTAAAAATTAAAAATAATCATACAGAAAGTTTGGGTTTGGTTGAAAATTGTTATCAAGTAGTAATTGTTAATTTTGAAGTTTAACTTGATATAATGTCATTTTAACAGAACGTCAACGGTTTTTGTAGACGCATCTGTTTTAAAAAAACTAAAGTGCTCTCGAATAGTTGAATTTAAATGTTTTAAATAGTTTTTTTCTTTATTCTTTGTATTTTTTTTTTCTTTCCGACGACGGAAAGAGATAAACTTTCTAAACGTTAAGCATTTTTTTGTTCGTTAGGCAAATTTGTATGTCTGTAAATCTAACTTCTGACAAGTAGTTACCGTTTGGGATTAACGCAAAAGTGTTTACAAAAAATAACTATTTTATTTTGTAGATTTACTTGCAGTGGCGAAATACCCATATAGGATTTTTTGGAGAGATGAATCCGCCACATAGGTATAGACATTTTATACTGTATCTACAGCTTTTTCATCAAAGCCTTTAAAGATAAAATATAATGGTTAACACTTACTTATTGTTTCCCCTCAGCTCCTTGGACCCATAAATTCATAACAACAATTTAAATTAGTATAAATTGTTCCTAGTACTGCACTTTTTCCATAATATTGATCAAGCCAAATAATACGCAAAAATAACGACATAAACGCACAAATTACGGATAATTTAAAAATCTGTTGCAACTTCTTATATCACTGCTCCCGGCCCGTACCGTCTTTTATTACACTGTAATTGCTAATAAAAAATAAAATAATAATCCGACAATAGCCCCTATTTTTTTTATTATAAAGTGGGTCACGTGGTGTCACAGCTACGTGAAATTTTTCGAATTTTCAATCGCCGATGTTTGTATAATATTTCCGATTTGTTTTAGAAAATGCCGAGGCTGACCGTCAAGTGAACCCTAGAGTTGTGTTTTTGGGAATGGGATATTCACCTTTGAACACTATACTCATCGGTCAATTACTCAGAAAATTCAATGTCTTCTAAACAATAAAAGATTGATTAAAGAAAGAGGTGATTCACTTCAATGTTTATTAGATATTTTTAATAACAAACATTTTTGTCACGCTAACAAATCTACAGGATGTCCCAATATTCCGTGAATAGAAAACTTGTGCATATTAATTGAATCAAAATATATTGTTAACTAGCGTGTACCCGCGACTTCGTTCGCGTTGAATTAATCATTTGTAATGGTGATGATAAAGCAAAGCAAGAATTTCCATTAACATACAAACTGGATAAAATTTTCGCACATTTATGTCAGCATGAGAAAAAAAAAATATGGCGATATTATTACATAACTTGGTAATATTTGAGAGGTAGTTTCATCTCGTTGGAATTTGACTTTCGAAAAATCCGTTTGCCAAAAATAAGCTTTTTACGTCAAGCAGTTTAAGCAGAATCGTGGTTAATCAATTACCCAACTTTTTGGAACACCCTGTATTTTTTTTTTAAATTTCAAAATATGTAAAAAAACAAAATAAATTATGCGTGTCCAAGCGTTTTCCCGAAAAACTAACCATTTTTTAAATAACAAATATTGTAATATTTGGGGGACGTTTTTACCATCTAAGAATTTGAGATTCGAGAAACCCCTCCTTATCGAACCTCTACACCCCACAGTCAATCCATTTGCCAAAAATCAGCTTTAAACGTCAAGCAGTTTAAGCAGAATCGTGATTACTCAATGGTCATATTTTATGAAACACCCTGTATAAATTTTTAAAAAATCTTAATAATAATAATAGCTCCCCTATATAGCATTTAACGCCTTGGGAGTAGCAATAGGTACAGCTTGCCATACTAGAGCCGTTCGGTATACAAGGAAGGTAATGTGGCTAGCACTACGCTTCAACCGCCTCTATTATTACCTCAGGATCGTGAATCCCCTCATTTAAGGCTGAGTCGACCTAGGTACCCAAACTATTTTTATTTTAAGAAAAATAGTCGGCTGATGAAATGCCGGGTGTGGGATTCGAACCCACTACCTTGAGATTGGTAGACGAGACCTCTACGCCAACGGGCATCTAAATAAAAAATCTCAAAATATGTAAAACAACAAAATAAAATATACGTTTTTAAGAGTTTTTCCGAAAAACTCACCCGTTTTTAAATAAAAAATATTCTAATGTATGAGGGGTGGTTTCACACCCTTAGAATTCGAGTTTCAAAAAATCCCTTCTTATCGAACCTCTAGACCCTAAAGTCAATCCGTTTTCCAAAAATCAGCTTTTTACGTCAATCGCTTTAAGCAGGATCATGATTAATCAAAGACCAGATTTTTCGAAACAACCTGTATACATTTTTAAAAAATCTTAAAATATGTAAAAAAACAAAATAAAATATACGTATTTAAGCGTTTTTTCGGAAACTTGACCGTTTTTTAAATAAAAAATATTGTAATATTTGAGGGGTGATGGTTTCACCCCATTGGAACTGGAATATGTAAATGTGATGAGTTTAATGTAAAGTAAATGATTTTTTCGAAAAATCCCTTCTTATCGAACCTCTACACCTTAGAATCAACCTGTATGCCAAAATTGAGCTTCTTAAGTCACTTAAGGATTTTATATACAGGGTGGGCCACTGAAAATTTACAATGGCTATAATTTTTAAACCAAAAAAGATATCAAAAAAATAAAAATACCGTTTTTATAATATCGAGGGGGAATACATATGACGTATTTTTTGAACCACCCCGACCTACCCCTTAGGCGGCACCCCTACTCACTTGAAAATCTTAAATGGCAACACCCCACTTGTGACGCCTTTTTGGAAAGCCCATGAAAAATGCTAAACGATGACCATAAGGTTTTTAGGGTGAAATTGAAAAACTACCCCTTACACGAAAAATTACGTGGACATTAATGAAAAAAGTGATTTTTTCAGCATAAGTTACAAATTGGCACCCAGCTAAAAGAGTCAAATGAGGTACCTATTTTTCAAACCACCCCGACCCACCCCTAGGTGCCAGACCCTCACTTCTAATCTCATCAATGCCATTTTGAAGCTAAAAATAAAAAATGTAAATAATAAAAAAGGCAACACAAATATATTTTACTAATGGTTCAGCCTAATTTTGCGATAACGCAAATTCTTCCTCATCATCTATTTTTTTACTTTCAACAAACAGGAATCTTAAAACGGCATATCTTTGCGTGTTTGCACTGTCTTCAATCGATTTTCAATCGTTTGCAAATTTGGTGGTATTTTAAACCTTTATTTGATTCGCTTATTTGAAAGAAAAATAGTTTATACTGTGGAAGAAAGAATTCAAATAGTTTTCCTTTATGGTGTTGAAGGTATGTGCTATTTAAGAACGGCCCGTGCTTTCAATGAGAGAAATCCGGACAAAAATGTAAGTCACGTTTGATAATCGTTTGTATTTTTGTATGGAACAAAACGGCTGTCATTTTGAGCAATTGTTAAAATAAATTATCATTTTAATTTCCTTTCAAATTGTCACACCTACATTTCTTATCACTACTTACCAGTAATTAAGTTGAAGTCTGTATGACCATCGTTTAGCAATTTCAATTAGCTTTCCAAAGATGTGTCACAAGTAGGGTATCGCTATCTTGAGATTTGAAGTGAGGGGGTGGCATCTAGGGGTGGGTCGGGGTGGTTTAAAAAATACCCCGTTTGCCTCATTTAGCTGGGTCCGAATTTGTATCTTATACTGAAAAAATCACTTTTTTCATTAATGCCCACCTAATTTTTCGTGTAAGGGGTAGTTTTTCAATTTCACCCTAAAAACCTTATGATCATCGTTTAGCATTTTTTATGGGCTTTCCAAAAAGGCGCCACAAGTGGGGTGTTGCCATTTAAGATTTTCAAGTGAGTAGGGGTGCCGCTTAAGGGGTAGGTCGGGGTGGTTTAAAAAATACGTCATATGTATTCCCCCTCGATATTATAGAAACGGTATGTTTTATTTTTTGATATCTTTTTTTGTTTAAAAATTATAGCCATTGTAAGTTTTCAGTGGCCTACCCTGTATTACAAAAGTGCTTCGTTTGTCCGTTAGAGCTCTCACAGATGCTCAGTAATTTAACAAACGCGGTACTGTGCAAGCCAGTTTGCGCAGTTAACTTGACTGCTAGTTTTTTTAAAGATTTTCTTTAGTGCTTTCTTAAAAGAACTTAAATTATTAATCTTTTGAACAACATCTTTCCTATAGGCTTCCGAACCAATCTCTCCTTTATTTTTTTCTCTTCTTTTTTTATTTTATAAGCTGCGGATTTTTTATTCCTGTTACAATAATCTAACTTTCAAAAAAATGGGATATACTTTTATACAGGGTCCGGCAATAGTGCGTCGGGCATCTGTAGCTCCTAGAATAAAAATCTTTGAAATTTTATTTAAGTGCAGACCTAAAGTATGTACTAAGATTAATTTTAGGTGTAAGTGGATCGGATACCCTGTATATTATTGCATTTTTGGCTTCCTTTTAGATCACCTTACATAATCCTAAGATATGAGTAAATATATATTATTTCTATAGTTTTAGAAATATTAATAAGTAAATAAATAAAATATATTTTTCAGCCTTAAAAAAATTATTAAAAATACAAGAACTGTCCTGAAATCAAAACTACTTTAGATGGTTGGTATTTATTTTGCTATAAATATGGTAATTGTAAATCATACAGGATGTTCAAAATTCTACGCCAAACTTTCTAAAATATAAAATAATTTTTCTTCGTTTTTTTTTTAATGGAACACCTTGTATATTATTATATTCTCTATTAGATGGAGAATTTACAAAAAAAAACTAACGTTTTTTGTATTTAGAGTATTTTAAAATTGTTAAGAGTTTCGCAGATAATCGCGGTTTTCTATTTCATATGGCATTTTCCACAGTAAATTTTTGCCAAAGCCACCCAATAATTTCTCTTTCACTCTGTCGTATTTGAAACCACCGTTGAAAAAACATTAAAAATTTTAAATACTTTTTAAATGTATGGCAAAAAATGTTCATTTTTTAACTCTCCATCTAATAAAAAATAATATACAGGGTGTTCCATTTAAAAAAGAAAGAAAAATTATTTTATATTTTAGAGAGTTTGGCGTAGAATTTTATACACCCTGTATGATTTAAGATTACGATATTTATAACAAAGTAAGTATAGACCATCTAAAGTAAATACCTGATATAATTTTGATTTCAGGACAGTTTTTGTATTTTTAATATTTTTTTTAAGAAAGGCTGAAAATATATATTTTTTACTTATTTATTAATATTTCTAAAATTATCAAAACATATTTAATAATATCTAAGGATTATGTAAAGTGATCAGAAAGAAGGCCAAAAATACAATAATATACAGGGTGTTCCTTTTAAAAAAAAAATCACCCCGATCTACTAACACTTTTTTGAGCCACCCTATAGAAGTTAAATTATTTTCCTGAGATACATCCTCGTGCATACTTTAGGTTTGCAGTTAAACAAAATTGTCAAGTTTTTTATTCTAGGAGCTACAGATGCCCGACGCACTTTTCCCGGACCCTGTATAGTTCCATAAATTGGTATAATATCGGTATTTTGTTTCCAGTTAATAATAGTTACACTTTATTAATTTTGACTATTTAAAATTAAACAATCTGAAGTTTTTAAAAGGCACACTCATATGTCATTGGGTATACTGTAGATACTCTGATATACAGGGTGGTCCGAACTGCATTCCGGAAACTTCCGCGGCATATTCTGCAGGTAAAAATAAGTAAAAAAGGTCGTAGAAATGTATGTCCTAAAATGCTTAGTTTCGGAGATACAGGGTGTCGAATTTTGGACATTTTTATTTCGATTGTTTCCAAATAATTTCTGAAGTAACGTCAATATTTCGATGAAAATAGGTGTCTGGGAGTTTTATGACATGAGAAATTTGATTTTGATGTCAATATGACTCCTGTTTGTAGGGGGCGCCACCTACATGTGTTTTACTTGTTTAGAAGAGAAATAAATTTTCATCCGTCCTGTATTAAACTACTGAGTAAAAAAATATACATTTCCGTGATTTTCTACGTAAAAAATGTCTCTTAGTAAAAATCGCTACGAACAACCGTTCTCAAGATATTTAGAATGAAAATAGTTAATACTTATCATTATTCACATAAACATGTTGAGTAGATATAGTTATTTGACCTGAAATGATAAATTTGGAAACTTTTTATTTTTTTAAATTAATGATAAATTTTTCTTCGAAAAAATAATGATAAGAGTTTCCTTTGGACTTTTGGCACAAATACGTTTCAAATTTATGATATCAGTCTAATAACTATTTAGTCAACATGTTTAATTTATGTCAATCATGACAGGTATTGATAATTTCGATTCTAAATATCTCGAGAACCATTACTCGTCGCGATTTTTACCAAGAGACTTTTTTTGTAAAAACCGTGGTAAATTTATATTTTTTTACTCGGTAATATTATACATATAGGTACCTACAGACAAAAAGTTATTACTCTTCAACCCAGGTAAAACGTATGTAAGTGACGCCCTCTACAAGTAGGAGTCATATTGTCATCAAAATCAAATTTCTTATGCCAAAAAACTCCCAGACACCAATTTTCATCCAAACATCAACGTTATTTCTGAAATTATTTGGAAAAAGTCGAAATAAAAAATAAATTTCTACACCCTGTATCTCGGAAACTAAGCATTTTAGGACATACATTTATACAAACTTTTTTACTTATTTTTATCTGCAGAATATGCTGGCGAAGTTTCCGAAATACAGTTCGGACCATCCTGTATATTTTTTTCTAATTTTTGCACTGCGTTTTATAAAATAAAATACAAAAAAGAGATTTTATCACTTTAATAAAATATAAACTAGAAAAGTAAAACAAAATATACAAAAAAACTATCTATAGACCTAAATAGAAAATATAAAATAAATACAATAAAACAAATGAAATTACTAAAAATTGCACACCACAACCAACTAGGAACATTTTTTCCTGTCATAGTTAGTACATAAGTTTGTATATGTACAGTAATTTAAAACTTACACAATCTCTTATGGAATCATTTCGAACCCAACCTTTATAAATAGAATAACTTAATTCAAACAGTTCGCATAAACAGGTACTCAAGATTATCTCATATTTGCCATTCTTTTTTGTCTCCTTTCAAGTTTCTTCTGTTTCTTTTCGTCCACTTGTGGGTTCTCTGGAGCGGGTTGGAAGAAATATGGAGCAAGTATATTCTTCCACAGAATCCAACCTAACCGAGCAGGAGCAAGGAGCCAAATGAACCAGAAATAATTTGAAATAAATGCTGATAATAGCTGACATCCTGCCGTAAGGATTATTACATCTTTTACATTTCTAAAAATTAAAATGAAATTGAAGAAACCAATGAAATTTGTTTTTATTTGCTATTTCTTACTCAGCCACTCCTCCTTCCATATTTAAATCAACTCCACTGTCTAAAAGCTGTCCAGTTTCTGTATATTTTGGTTTGGCCATGTATGCCATAAACTGATAAGATCCTATATAAATTATACTTGAAAATATATAAAACACCTAATAAAATAGAGATATTAGCAATACTTAATTTTAAACTTTATATTATCTGTTCTTACTATATTTACTGCTGAATGATAAAAAATTAATATAGCCAAGGATAATGCATTAGAAATCATAGCCATATTCCGATAGAACTTCAAAGTACCCAAATTTTCCTCCAATATTTGTTTGGCTCCTTTAGTTCCCTGCTTTCCTTTTTGTGGGGGCTAAAAAGAATTTTCTGATCTTCTTGCTTTATATATTTATAATGTATACCTACAGCCATTCTTAAAAAGGTTTAATATTTTACTGTGTATTCAGTCACTCTGATTTAATTCAGAAAAGTAAAATTTATATGCCTTTTCAATTCCAACTCAGCTCCACGTTAAAAATTGATTAATGTCAAAATCAGCTGATAATATAATTAAAATTTGGAAGACGAGTTTTCAAGTTATATACCAATAATACCAATAAAAAGGACTGTTTTTAATATTTAATATAAAAAGTATTATTATCTACATATAATGTCTAGATAATAATGGTATGGTTTATTAGTTTTTAATAAAAAAGCTTTAAAAATATAACAAAAAGTCCGATTTTCAAATCAGATTTCAAATATTATGGTGGTGACCTCTGTTGAGAGAACCCGTAAACTTTATAATTTAAAAATTACATTAAAAGATTTCTATTATTTCTGACAATTGATTTGACAAAATTGACAGTTGACTTTGACAGTGAAAGTTAACTGCTTCGAGGAGTGTTTAGTGTTTTTCTAATTTGTTGTTTATTATATTAAAAATGTTGAACTAATTTGTAATTGCCTACTAAATTTAATTATACAAACATTACACAAAAGAAAAACAAACAATGTCTGTAACGACGAGCCAAGAGAACGTACAGAATCCAACACAGGTAAATACACAAGGGAATATTTTGCTTCTTTAGAATGTTCATTAGTCATATTATTTCCGTTTAAATTAAAACGAACGTAATTAAACAATAAATGGTTGGTCACGTATAATTGTTAAGTTTAAGGCAAGCAACCAAATTTGTCTGTTGAACAAAAATATTTTAACATATTCTCGTTAATAAAGGTCTGATAAAAATGTCTTCAAACAAGGTGAGTTTAGTATTTAAAGTAAATTAATAACCGTATTTTCATTCTATTTTTGCACTTAATATACCTATAGTTGCATTGTTAAAGTTTATTTTCTTCTGTAGGAGTATGATGGTTCAAGCAACATGTGTTTAGAATTAGCCCTTGAAGGTGAACGGCTTTGTAAAGCTGGCGATTGTAGGGCAGGTGTAGCGTTTTTTCAAGCGGCCATCCAGGCGGGCACAGACGACCTACGAACTTTGAGTGCCATTTACAGTCAGCTAGGAAATGCCTATTTTTACTTAGGAGATTACAGCAAAGCTATGCAATATCACAAGCATGATTTAACTTTGGCGAGGTAAGGAATTTTTAGTATTGTTTTGATTGTCTAACTATTTTTCTCATGCTGTTTTAAGAACAATGGGCGATAAATTAGGTGAAGCAAAATCTTCAGGTAATCTAGGAAATACTTTGAAAGTAATGGGAAAGTTTGATGAAGCTATAGTATGCTGCAAAAGACATTTAGAATTATCCAGAGAGTTAGATGACAAATTGAGTGAAGGTAAAATACTATAATATATTTTGTGTATGTTTTTAATACATTTAAATTTAGGAAGGGCTTTATATAACCTGGGAAATGTGTATCATGCCAAAGGGAAGCATATTGGTAGAGTAGGTCAGAAGGACCCTGGAGAGTTTTCTGATGAAGTCAAAGAATGTCTTCAAGAAGCTGTGTCATACTATGAGTAAGTTGTATATTAAATGTTTTTGTTTATTAGATTATTTAAAAAAAATGTCACATAAGGAATAGTGGCCAACAAAATGTACCTGGGGAGTATTCTGAAGATGTCAAAGAATGTTTTCAAGAAGCTCTAAATTGTTATCAGTAAGACTATTTGTATTATAGTATTTATATTATTGTGTGTTCTCTGCATTTTATGTATGTTTCCTTATATGAATTGGAAGTATTAAAATTGGGACATATTCAAAAATATATATATATTTTTTTGCTTCTTTTTTGAATTTTTTTTATTGTTTCCAGGGGATTTATTTTTATTTCAATTTTTTTGCACTGTTCAAATGCACTGTTTTGTGAATTTCCTAGGCTGTTCTATAAATTTTTAGCATGATTTTAGAAGCATTTTTATTCTTATCTGCTGTAAATAGCCTACCAATTATTTATAAAAATAAGGCAAATTTGCTTTGTGAAGTTTTTCTTTTAGATTTTTATTTTTTATTATTCTCTGCAATATGTGAAGGATCATACTTAAATGTTTATTGACTAATATAGTTTTTCTTTTTCTTTACATTTACTTCAGAATGTTTTCTATAATACTTAATGAATATATTAATATTTGGGAAGTTTATTTTATTGAAATTCTATTTTTAAATAGATATACCGGGTGTCCCAGTATTCCATGAACATAGAACTATGTATTTTTGGAATTAAAATAAGTTCATTGGACTATACAAAAGTGCTTTGTTTGTCCGTTAGAGGGCATCAAACTTAAAAAAATAAACACATTTTTTTAAGATATTTTAAGAATCGTTATTCCGATTTGTATGACATTTTGGGTGTCTATGTTTTGATAAGTGCGTTAACTTTTGCGTGACATAAAAATCAAGAAAAAGTACGGGAAGGGTGAAAACTACCCAGACCCCTGCATAAATTTTAGTGTAATATAAATACATATTTTCCAACTCCACCAACGGTCTTTTTAATTTTTTATGAAGCTCATTGTCAAATATAATTAACTAACATAAAATTCCATATTTTCGCCAACTAGATTATTCATCGCATTATACAGGGTGTTTTAAAAAACATATGCCATCTCTCGTGGGAAGATTCCTTACATAAAAATAAGATTTATTTTTCATATCACATAGATCCGAATCTCCTTTGTTTCGTAGCTACAGGGTGTTAAAGTCTTAATATTTTTTCGATTTATTATAATTTTCTTCCAAGTACTTTTAGTGATTAGAATGAAATTTTGAGGGTAAAAATTACTATAATTAAAAACTACTATAATTAAAATACTACTACTATAATTAAAATATTTTAATGCTAAAAAAATATCGGTAAATTCATCAAGGACATGCATATGGGTAATCACTGGAATATTTTTCAAAAAAAAACATGTGCGCCACTGAATTTTTTTTCTTTTGGTATCAAAATTATGTAGGCCACTTAATGCCTATTAAAAGTTATCTCTTGTTATTTTGTCGAATTCGGCCTCCTTGATGAAATAAATGAAATTTTATTAATCAGAAAAAATAAAATTAAAATAAAAATAATATTAATAAATTATATATTTTACCTAATTTATCATTAAATGCTGTTACTATTAGTTATTATTATTATTAGTCCAACCTACAGCAATTTCAAATAAAAAATAATGGTATTTAAGATAATTAAAAAAAAACGTAATTTTAAGAAGTTTTAACATCCTGTAACTCTAAAACTATGCGTTTCCATACCCATGTTTATAGGATTTTTTTTTTCATATTTTTTGATGAGGGATCAATGAGTACTTATTTAAAACGTTTGCAAGTTAATGATATTACAATTTTTTAAAGGTTACTATTAGACTTGGATCAAGGAAAATTAATAAACTTGCACTTGTCTCATCAAGGAGGCCGAAAAACTGCTTAAACTATTTCGCTAAAAAGATAGAAAAAAGTCACTGGCGTAATTGTTTTTTTTTTTAGAAAAATATTCCAGTGATAACCCATATGCACGTTCCTGGTGAATATGTCGACACTTTTTTAGCTTTAAAATATGTTGCGTTTATAGTAACCTTGAAAATTTAATTCAAAACACTAAAAGTACTTGGAAGAAAATTATAATAAATCGAACAAATATTAACATTTCATCACCCTGTAGTTACGAAACAAAGCAGAATCGGACCTATGTTGATATGAAAAACTCGCCACGAGAGATGGCACATGTTTTTTGAGACACCCTTTGTAATTTGCGCTAGCTTGACGTGACAAGAAACATTTTTTTGAAGTCAGCTTCAGACAAAGATGTTTTTTTTTCTGAAAAATGTGTGAAATGTGAAAATATTTCTATTAAAATTTATGTAGAGGTAGGGGAAGTTGTCACCCTTCCCGTACTTTTTCTTGATTTTTGTGCAAGTCAAATGTTAACGCACTTAGCAAAACATAGACACACAAAATATCATTCAAATCGGAATAACGATTTTTAAACTATCTTAAAAAATATGTATTTAAGTTTGATGCTCCCTAACGGACAAACAAAGCACTTTTGTAGAGAGGTAAATTGTGTCTAATTGTCTAAACTTATTTTGATTTCAAAAATACGCAATTGTTCTATGTTTACCTAATATTGGGACACCCTGTATTTATTTTATATCTACTTAATAATAAATAATTTAATGCCAGTGGTTAAATGTAAATTGACTTTTATCTTTGTATTCTATTACAATTGACCTCTTTACGTTTAGAGAAAATCTTCAGTTAATGCGAGACATTGGAGATGTAGCAGCGCAAGGTCGTGCTTGCGGCAATTTAGGCAACACGTATTACCTTTTGGGCGACTTTGCCCAAGCCATACACTACCACGAAGAACGACTAGCCATTGCGAGACAGTTCGGCGACAAAGCTGCCGAAAGAAGGGCTCACAGCAACTTGGGAAATTCCCATATTTTTATGGGTCAATTTGAGGAAGCTGCCCACCATTACAAGTACTAGCAAGTACAAATACAGGCTGACCCAGTGCTTCAAATAAAGTTTATATCAGACTTCCTATTACAGATTATCACTCCAATATTCTGTTGCAACCAGGGTTGGGTAACGACACGTAGAAAATTAATTTTTTACGTGTATGTTAAAAAATGCGTAGAAAATGTCGAATATGTAGAATATTAAGTAAGTATAAAAATGGTCATACATTTTTTAAAGCCCACTAAGTTATAACATTTTGGTATTGTTAGAATATATGTTATCACAAATCAGCAATTTGCTAATAGCATTAAATTTAAAAATTGTATTATTTTTTTTTAAATATAGTGTAAAAATATACTTGAACCACATTGTATATCTCTGAAAATATTGGAATGAAAGTCTCAATTAGAAAACTGATATGGAGTTTTTTGAGCAAACTGGATCATCCTGTATACGAAATATTCTCTAATACCCATATCTTTTAGGCGTACTTTGGCTTTGGCTCAAGAATTAGCTGACCAAGCTATCGAGGCTCAGGCTTGCTATAGTTTGGGAAACACTTACACGCTGTTGCGAGATTACGAAACTGCCATAGAATACCACTTGCGCCATCTACTTATCGCTCAAAACTTGAACGATAGAGTTGGGGAAGGCAGGGCTTGCTGGTCATTGGGTAATGCGCATGCCTCATTGGGCCATCACGAGAAAGCATTGAACTTTGCAACTAAACATTTGGAAATAAGTAAAGAGGTTAGTATAAAGAAATGGGTTTGGTAGTGGCAAATAATGCTAAGGAGGATGTTTAATATAAATAAAGATGGAAACAACACCGTTGAAACACCATTTCTTGACAGTTTTGTTTAATATTTCTCTTGCCGTTATGATTCCAACATTACATAGTTGTATGTTGAAATATTGGATTCTCTCTTTGGTTAAAAGATTAAGGAAGGAGTATAATGCTATCCATGTATTCATGGGGTGGGATCTTTGACAGTTCTGCTTGAGGATTCATTTGAATTTGATTTGAAATTTTATGGATTTGTCAGTCTTTACTGAGCTTATTTTATGTTATTTATTATTATTTATTCTATTTCTGATAGTTGTTTAAAGGTAGTAAATCTAGAAGGAAATTGTAGCAGAATTTAAATTAACAGTGACTATTGCGATTTATCGAAAAAGGCTGTGAGATAGTTGGTTGTGTAGCGTGCGGTAGATCTCGACCAAAATTGAGGGAAATAACGGAATAACTTTTCGCTAGTAAGTGACTATATAATATACATACGTGTAGTAAACCGATCATGATCTGTCAAAAAACAAAATAAATTATGCGTGTCCAAGCGTTTTCCCGAAAGACTAACCGTTTTTTAAATAACAAATATTATAATAATTGAGGGGCGTTTTCATCCTCTTGGAATTTGAGATTCGAGAAACCCCTCCTTATTGAACCTCAACACCCCACAGTCAACCCGTTTGCTATAAACGTCAAGCAGTTTAAGCAGAATCGTGATTACTCAATGATCATATTTTATGAAACGAAATACCCTGTATAAATTTTAAAAAATCTTAAAATATGTAAAACAACAAAATAAAATATACGTGTTTAAGAGTTTCGAAAAACTCACCGGTTTTTAAATAAAAAATATTCTAATATTTGAGGGGTAGTTTCACCCCCCACAGAATTCGAGTTTCGAAGAATCCCTTCTTATCGAACGTCTACACCGCAAAGTCAATCCGTTTTCCAAAAATCCGCTTTTTACGTCAAGCGCTTTAAGCAGGATCGTGATTAATCAATGACCAGATTTTTCGAAACACCCTGTATACATTTTTAAAAAATCTTAAAATATGTAAAAAACAAAAATAAAATATACGTGTTTAAGCGTTTTTTCGGAAACTTGACCGTTTTTTAAATAAAAAATATTGTAATATTTGAGGGGTGGTTTCACCCCCTTGGAACTGGAATTTCGAAAAATCCATTCTTATCGAACCTCTACCCCCTAGAATCAACCTGTATGCCAAAATTGAGCTTCTTACGCTAAGTGGTTTGAGCAGGATCGTGATTAATCAGTGAGTCAGTCACTTAAGGATTTTATATATTAGTATAGATAACAATTTTAATAACTACTATTACTATTATTAGATAACAATTTTTATAACTACCAACATTTATTCACAACGTAAAGTCTCAATTTATTTAGTCTACCCTACATTATATTTTTACACGTTTTGAAGGAAATTAGAACGGCACTGATAAACCGAAATTTATGTCCATTTCAGGTCCCCACCGCCCTCGAATTTTTTTGATATACCCTTTCCTTAATCTTTTTATTCAAAGGTACAAACTAATTGCGGTATTACAGTTGAGGGTTGGAACCTTTGGTGTTACACAGCAAAATAAAAACACTAAATCACCACAATACACCAAAACACTTTTACTTTTACACTGGACGCGCGTTTCGCTAACCATGTTAGCATCATCAGCAGATGATTATAGACTAAAGTACAATCTACAAGTTGAGCGTTTATATACTCGCTCAGTGGGCACCGAGTGGGCGTGGCAAAATCTAGCCAACCGAGTCAGAGCCAACTGAGCGTAACAGTTAGATTTCCGCCACTAGAGTAGTAGGAACAAAGAACTTGAAGGAATTGGACCGTTGACTCTGTTCATACTATCTTTACATTTATTAATTCTGATGCTTTCATATGCATCTAATTGCCTGTAATTTAGTTGTAGACTTGTTTAATTAATTGTAGACTTGTTTAATTAATTTTAAATTATTAAGATCTATACAATGTTCATTATCAACACTATGTTCGGCAACGCAAGATTTATCCGGTCTACCATATCTTATCTGAGCTAAATGTTCTTTAAATCTAGTTAATATTGATCTTCTAGTTTGCCCAACATATTTCTTATTACAAAGATTATTTCTGATTACAAAGATTACATTATTTCTGATTACAAATCTTTACAAGAAATTTCGTAAATACCCGACCTTTCCAGTGGAGGTGTTTTATCTTTTGGATTACCTAATAATTGTTGTAATTAAATTAAATAATTAGGTAATCCAAAAGATAAAACACCTCCACTGGAAAGGTCGGGTATTTACGAAATTTCTTGTAAAGATTTGTAATCAGAAATAATGTAATCTTTGTAATCAGAAATAATCTTTGTAATAAGAAATATGTTGGGCAAACTAGAAGATCAATATTAACTAGATTTAAAGAACATTTAGCTCAGATAAGATATGGTAAACCGGATAAATCTTGCGTTGCCGAACATATTGTTGATAATGAACATTGTATAGATCTTCATAATTTAAAATTAATTAAACAAGTCTCAAATTACAGGCAATTAGATGCATATGAAAGCATCAGAATTAATAAATGTAAAGATAGTATGAACAGAATCAACGGTCCAATTCCTTCAAGTTCTTTGTTCCTACTACTGTAGTGGCGGAAATCTAACTGTTACGCTCAGTTGGCTCTGACTCGGTTGGCTAGATTTTGCCACGCCCACTCGGTGCCCCCTGAGCGAGTATATAAACGCTCAACTTGTAGATTGTACTAGTGGTGGGAATAATCGAATTATTTTCACCATCGAATAATTAGTAATAATTCATATTTCACAATCGAATTAATAATTCGAATTATTTAGTACTATTATAAATTTAACCTAAAAATAAATTCGTCCCAGCTAGTGCTCGTCTAGGGGCTATTTTAAACAAATCTGAACCATTGCCATACCTATATTCTATCACTGAATAAAAAATAAAAAAAAATCTTTATTCAATGTAATCTATTAACTGTGCCGAAGCCGTTTAATAAATTAAACCATAATTTAAAGTTTTAAATTTAAAAGTGCCGAGTATCGTATTTTTTCGTATTTCTTTTTATTTTATCAGTTGCAATCAATAATTATTTAGATAAAAGAAGAAAATTAATTTTAGTGTTCGGCAGGTGTTCGATGAAATTTGGGTGAGATGGAAATGAACCAAATAATAGTGAATGAAATGAAAATTTTCACTTAAACTGATTTATTCCTGCGTGGTATAGGAAATAACAATGATTTCTGGATTTTTCTATATCGGATCGTTCCTTTCTTTGTCGATTCCCTTTATAAATCAGTTTAAGTGAAAATTTTCAGTTCGTTCAGAACGAAAGAATACTACTAATAGTACTATACTAATTACTAATATTCGTATTCGTCCATAAGATGTTATGTTTTATGTTGATTTGTAATTCAGTTAACCACAGATATAGTATAAAATACTACTAATTTTTATCTCGATTATATCGAAAAAGATAATTCGAATTAGTTAGTTTTAATTTACTATCGAATTAGTCGTATTATTTAATTCGAATTTTCCCAACACTAGATTGTACTTTAGTTTATAATCATCTGCTGATGATGCTAACATGGTTAGCGAAACGCGCGTCCAGTGTAAAAGTAAAAGTGTTTTGGTGTATTGTGGTGATTTAGTGTTTTTATTTTGCTGTTAATTGCGGTACTTTATCTAGAGACTATTGTTCAAGAATGTAAAAGACGGTGTTGCCACTTGTATTAAACATATTTTAAAAGCTACTTAAAACATTATAGGTCTGTTCTAAAAAGAATCCCTGACTACTCAGCGCGTATCTTATTGGTTGAAATGTGTAGAAACCAGACTAACAATCAGGTTTCTACGCATTTTAACCAATAAAAATCGTGCTGACTAGTCAGGGATTCTTCTGAGAACAGACCTTATAAAACGTTTCTTACGAGATACAATTTTATATATTTTTGTAAACTAAAAGTTTCAAATCATATTATTTTACGAAAAGCATAAATCCCGATGTTCCAAAAATAATTGAAGAAACTAATGTAAGTACCGTATGATAGAAAAAAAACGGCGTCAGCGATGGCTATGGAATGATGATTGCTGTCATTTCATATGTAAAATTATATGGGAAATGTCATCGATCGTCATTTCCAAGTCAACTGGACACCGTTTTTTTTTTCGATCATACAATATTTACGTACTACAGCTGACTATCTTGAACACTAATGTCTACAATGTTTTTGTTCATACTCGTAGTTGAGCGATCCAATGGGTGAGGCTACAGCCAAGATGAACGTTGCCGATTTGAAACGTATTTTAAATCTTCCGGAGAGCCCAGAAGTTCGGGATGAAGTGTTACCGCTGAAAACGCCGTCAAAGGCGGAACAACATTTACACAGGGTGAGACGAGAAAGCATGGAACAGCTTAGTCTAATTAAGGTAGTTGCTTTTATGTTTTGATTTTGCTTTTTAGATATTTTTTTATAAATCCTTAAATGATTCAGGATTCTTTATTTATTTTTGTGTAGTCCTTTTTACGAAAGATAAAAAAACGGCGTCCGGTTGGCTTGGAAATGACAATCGATGACATTTCCCATATAAATTTACATATATAAAATGACAGGGATCTTCATTTCATAGCCATCGCTGACGCCATTTTTATTCAATCATACGGTACATGTTATATGTTAGCACATTACGGTTGCACATTAGGACCCGCTGTATATAACGGCTTTATTACTTATAATATTGCTCTCTTAACAAAAAAAAACTGATGACATGTGCGATGACGAGTATGGTTTCGTATTTATACAATATTATCGAAAAAAAACGACGACAATAATGGCTATGAAATGAAGATTGCTGTCATTTTTTATATATGTAAAATTTTATGGGGAATGTCATCGATGGTTATTTCTAAGCCAACTGGACACCTTTTTTTTCGATCATACGGTACTTTGGCAGTATAAGCGATAAATTATTGACTATTGTTTGTTATTAGGCATTTAAAAAAATATTTTTTTTTGTTTCTGCAATATGATTAATTTTATATGGCATATATTTTGAATTAGTTTTGCATTAATTTTGATTTGAACTGATTATATGTTTTCATACATTTTTGATAGTAATAATAAGGTATCAGATTGTCTCTGATCATATATATTTAAATAAAAAAGTTTGCGAGAATAAATAACTTTAGACATATTTTTATATTCTCCATTTTAAATGGAGATAAACCTGTGATACATACATTTTGTCCTAAACAAGTTTTTTAAGACACTTTACTCCAACTTATCAATTTATCTACATATTATGTTTAAAAAAATTGATATTAGAGTTAAAGAAAAGAATATTTTTAGAGATAGTTATTAAAGTTAAAATAACCACAACACACAATATTGATAATTTATAGTTAACACCAGACAGTAAAACCGCCGGAGTTGGACTGCCTCAAGCAAAAGCTGGTACGCCTGTCAAGAGCGAAGATGATGATTCGTTCTTCGACCTTCTTTCTCGCTTTCAGTCAAAACGTATGGATGACCAAAGATGTTCGCTGACAGTTAAAAGTAAGTCATGTTTGTGATTTTGTATGATTAAAGTAAATTTATCGTCAAAGTATCGCTTGTTCTACAGTATGGAAATTCTAATTAATTCAGCATTTCATTTATTCTGAGCTACGTATTTCATTTTAATCACATGCATTTTCATATTCATTATCAGCCTACCCACTTACGATTATTTGCATATAAATTTGCGTGCCTACCTAGATATGTATACAAGTCAGGTTCTGAGCTCTATTCAAACTTCATTTATAAAAAATATCTAGACTGACCCTCTGACTACCGGCCTGTGTACGAGAATAAGCGCAGTAGGTGAGACGCGAATAAACAAAAATAACGATAAGATTACCAGCTGGTATTGAATAAGTTGTGGTTTTAATCTATTTTTTGTCATAGGTTGATATGGTAACGTGATTTTTTGTCTAACTTTTTTAGTCGAATTCTGATCCGCGCTCCTCAGTCATATAGTACCCCCATACACCAACATACAAGTTGACCGATTTGGTCGGCGGAAAACTCCCGTCACTTTGGACGGCCAAATCTGGCCTCGAGAATTAAATTATCGACGTGACATTCTCGACTTTGCCTAACTCTGCTGGCCTAACAAAAAAAAATCATTAAGATTAATTGGGTAATTTTAAAAGTCTAAAATGGAGAATTTAACGTTAGACACTTTTGAAATATGTTTTAATTTTAGCGGGAAATATATTCATATTATTTTCTTATTATTAATTATTTATTTTAGCTGATAATAATAAAGAAAATAAAAACGTAGTTAATTTACCGAAAAACGAGGGACCTGAAGATTTGTTTGACATGATAACTGGAATGCAGAGCAAGAGGATGGACGAGCAAAGAGTAGAGCTACCAGCTTTGCCAGGTATGGTAATCCACAATAATTAAATTATACTTTGCCCTATCTAAATAAAATATATTATGTACTACTAAACTTAATGGCTTTCCTACAAATGTTAAATACAAACACAGTGGGGTTCTTTAGAACAAAAGGTTTAACAAAAAAAATGCATTGATTTAATTTTGATCAAAATTAATATTTGCAGAATAAACATATACCTATAATGGGTACAATATGTCAAGTTAAAAACCCGTACAGTGTTATTGTTTGAGATCTTTTTTTTTTTTGTTCAGTTAACGCTAGGGTTGCCACCTGTCCTTTTTTGTAAAGGACAGTCCTTTTTTGGAACAAATTGTCCTTTTGACTTAAAAAGTCCTTTTTAGTTACTTTGAGAAAATTATCTAAAGAAAAACTTCTACTTAACATATTGTTTTTTTATCAAGAATATAATATCAGATCTATTGCAGATTATCAGGCCATTTTGAAAGTCTATTAAGTTATTTTAATATGTACTGATTTTTTTTTTCAATTTGCTATTGTAATAAAATTGATATTATGCAGTATGTGAATTGAATATGAAATTTTGCATTTTACAACTATTGCGGGACAGTAAAATAATATTACTCCACGAGACATTATTTTATTAGATTTGCTCGGTGTGTGTGTGTCTTATGTCATTCATATGAAAAAAAATTCTAAAAAATATTCGAATTTGATGAAAGACCAATAATTTATCACCTAACGAGTGTTTTATAAAGCTCTAGAATTTATATTTGGAGATTTTTTTGCAAATTTTTGTAATTTTCTTTATTAAGGCCCCCATGCTGAAGATATTCTTCATAAACTTTTCATTCGCTCAATAATAAAGAAATCCCATTTGTTGCGAACATTTAAATATACCCTGTATATTGATTTAGTAGAATTTTTTATCAAGAATATAAATTTGCCAGAGACTTATTTTCATATGGTGTCAACATTTTTAGATAGACTAAATAGGACATGAAAATAACTTTTACATCAAAGTCTCTTTAGTGTTTGATGTTACTCTTCCAGGATTAGAACCGCGGTCTATGCGACGCCTGGCCGAGTCCCGTAACAATTCCTCCGTTCCCGACGACAATTTCCTGGACCAGTTGGTCCGGTGCCAAAATTCCCGTTTGGACGACCAGAGGTCGCCGCTTCCTCCTGCGACCGTCGACGTCGAAACCGACCTGCGCCCTCCGGCCAGAAGCGGCGCTACCGTTCCGGACGAAGATTTCTTCTCGCTTATCATGAGGTTTCAATCGGGCAGGATGGACGACCAAAGAGCCGCAGTACCAAGAACAAATAACAGGTAAATTCGGATGATAGAGTCTGTATAAACATTATGTCATATATTGTAATTTTTCTTTAATTGGTGTACAGGACAAATCAAAGTAAGGTAGCCAAAACTTGGTAAAATAATAAAATAAAAATAACAAAAAATTAAATAGCTAATTTGGGGGAAAATCTTAAATTTGGCCATCACTGCCCAGTACAACAGTTATTTGGGAATTAGTCATTCCTGGGATGGTCATGATGTGTTTTAATTTTTAATATTTATATTTCCTTACTATGATTTTTAACGTTGACATTTAATTTTTTCAAATAACAATATTGCCAACATAAATCTATCCAATGAGAATCTAGCTGTTTTCAGGACCCAGAGAATAACTCGTACTAGGGTAAAAATTAGTGATGGAATCACGCGAGTGAAAAATATTCGGTTACCCGAGTATTCATATCCTCGGTATGTCTCGAGGATTTTTGTCGATCCTCTAGGATTACTCGGCACGCAACTAACATCGGGTGTGGCGTGCCGTTCTCGCTGCTCGCGAGGATGCAAGGCAATTTACGATTTATTCTGAAACCTTTTAGAGGATAGAGGATAACAGTTCAATCACTTGCTCGCATATCTCTCTCAATAATAATCGGTTTTCAGAGTAGTAAACTGCATTTTTGAACAGAAATACATTACTTATTTTTGTTTTGTTTAATTTAGATGTTTAGATGGGATATATTAATTATAATATTTCTTTAAATTTAAAGGTTTTTTCTGCATACTTTTTATTTAAAGATTTATAGTTTTTTTAACTATTGATATATTAATATAATGGTCTTTTTTTCTGTGTAATAATTCAGAATTGAAACATTTGAAAATTCATAATACGTCAGTTTTCCACTTTCAAAATTCTATTTGACAAAACCACAGTTGTTTATTTGGTTTAAGGCTTTGGAGATTTTGCTTTATTTGCATTTTTAATGTTCATTTTTCTTGTAAAAAAAAACTTTGCTTGTAGTTGTACGTTGGAAGACTATATTCTGATGAGACTATAATCGAAATTTAGTGTGATAAAACGTAGATATAAAGTGAATGATTTGCGGAATTTGCCAACAAGAATTATAACAATATTGCTGTATATTTTATTTCATTTATTTTCAAACAGATTTTACAGCGACAGTTGACTCGTTGTAAGCCTTAGGTAAAATTTCATTAGTTAACATGTTACTATTAGGAGCGCTATATAATGGATTCACTAAAACTCCAGTATTTTCCACAATAGAAAGAGGTTGAAAATCGAAAACAATCATCATTAACATTTTTTATTCAAAGCTGTGATTTCAATTCTCAAAATTGCACTTATGAGATCCTGTCTTAGCCCTCTATATGTATATTTGCCTAAAAAATCAGTCAAAGTTAATCTAGACATTCGACAGTCTGAATTTATTTCAATAATTGCACAGCAATAATATTTGTCGGATTTCTTAGTATTTTTAGCATCAATACTACTGCATGGTAAGAAAGTGTTAGCAAAGGTAGCAAAAAGATTGAATATATTCAAAAATAATATTATTAATAATTGAATTAAACATAATTGTCTTGACCAAGCTTCTGTCATTAGAATTATTTTGAGCAAGTTGATCATGATACTTACATTACTGATAAAAACTTGATGCTAACCTTTGGGCGACACTGGGTTACTGTTTATTGAAAAATCGTGATGTAGTCAGTCCAACAGGAGGATCCTTGGCAGCGACAGTTGTTTCATTTGTAATTTACAGTCAAATTACACATATTTTCTGTTATTTTTTGGATGTCGCCTGTCGAAATCTTCTCTGATTTGTTGGACAGACTTTAGACAATGTTTTATATTATATTTATCTGCTCTTCCGTACAGGATCGCAAACGGAACAGTACCGCAATCCAATGGACTTAACGGCGTAAAAAAGCTTCCGAAAAAGAAGTAAGCGCCAACCCGGCATCTCAGCATGTACCTTAAAAAAAGTACTTGAAAACGATTCTCAAAAGCTTTTAACAGAGCTTGCATTTATTAATCGAAAAGTTGATCTGGTCATTTGATTTTTTGTAGTTTTCTTTTGTATATGTTATCAAATAAGAATGGTTCCCGAATATGCAGATAGTACAGTCTATTTTTTCTTGAAAGTAGTAAACAAAATATATAAATAATCATATACATATAATTTTGATCCAAACATCGAAAAGGTATAGGAGTATTCAAAGTTAAAATATTTTTTCTAATAGTTTTGCCACAGTAATATATCTAGGTTGCAACCAGAGATTACTCTGGTTGCAGTGCAGTAATTCACAACCTGCCCGTTCAAATTTGCCCACTTGTATCTGAACATTATCATTAATGAAGACTTCAAAACTAGTGTTGGAGTTGACAGCTCGGTGTTTATCAGAGTTCACTTGAACTGGAGTTTAAGCTATGTTTGTACCACTGGTCCTTAGAACTCTGTTTATTAACACATATAGGCTTGGTGCATTCTCCACCGGTGCTGCCACCATCGGAGAAAATCGTAAACAATCGGGTACTGCGAGTATACGAAAACTTTATTTTAGGTTAGGAAATATAATTTGTGAAAATTGAAAGAAAAAAGTAAATATTTTGATATCTTCAGAAAGTCTAACTTGTGTTATAATTTATTATTTAAACTAATAAAACTTTTTGTTGCTCAAAAAGTTGTTCAACTACGGTAGTACTATTTAAGCACTAGTTAATTAAAACAAGTATTTTATTAATATTGCAAATTATAATTTATCCTCTCATAGTATATTCCTATTTCATTTTTTGATTATGTAATAGGCACTTTGTTTCCTCACTTGTTTCGTCGAGCTGCTTGAATACATTTTTGCTTTCAAATCGGTGTGGGAAGTTGTGAAACTACAAAATGTTGTTTCGAGAGAGCTGAATATCCGGGAAAGTTAAGTTATTGCATTCAACAACCACGTAATTACGCCCTCGTTTACGTGTTAACATTTCTTCGACAATTTTATTAACATTTTAAATTGTCACAACACAAAGCGACGCCCAGTTCGTTTTTTTTAGTTAATTTTTATTACCCGAAACAGCGTTACATCACACAAACCTCGTACCTGAGTGCACTATTAAAAACTAAAATACTTAAGTATTATGACAATGTCACGATTTTAATATTATTTCAATGCTATCAACGTCGGAACTGCGTGAAATACAGAGCGAAAACTTCTGGTTTCTGCCGATCGAGCGTTGCGGTCGGAATTTTTAAAATCAGCTGAAATGCACCAAGCCTATAGTCAGTCCAGTCAGAGAATATATAATTTTTAATTATGTATATTATTTTGCTAGGTATACTTTTTATATTCATTCATTTTATAAATTGTAGAGGAAAAGTAGTAATCTTTAACAAGAGAAAGACTATTTTTTCTGATTAAAATTAATGAATGTAAGGGTAATTAAATTATTTTCTTTTCAAACCAAAGGCACTGATTTTTATTTATAGGTTATTTGAAAAGACCCGCCCATTTACTTTATTGCATTTAACTTTTTTAATGGACAAATAACAAGTTTTAAAATGAATATAGTATGTCTATGGATATACTATACTACTGGTATATCAGTATCTATGAATAAAGGTACCCCCTCCATAAAGCCCTGTTTTCAGAACTTTGTACTGTCGCCAGCGAAACGTCAAAAGAACCAATGAGATTTCTAAAGAATGCAAACAGCTGTCAATTTTAAATTTAGTACAGCTCTCGTTGGTTCTTTGAAGTGTCAACCAGTGTAGCCAGCGACAGAACGTAGTTCTGAGAACGTGGCTATTTGGGGATGCATCCACACTATCCTAGAAAAAGCGGAACGGCAGATCGGCGTATCGATCTCCAGCAACTCTATTGGCTGAAAATTTTCGAAAATTCATCTGGCAAAAATTTTAGCCAATAGAATGGCTAGAGATCGCTACGTCGATGCGTCGTTCCGCTTTTCCTACGATGGTATGGATGCAAGAACGGTAAACTAATAGGATTGTTCATCCTCATAAGACGTACGTTCGCCTCTTCCCGCGCTTCAGCTGACAGTTGTGACGTCATTGTAGTCCTTGTCAAAGCCTTCGTGGCCTTTTCTCATGATAGTGTGTATTATTAGTTGCCTATGGTAAACTTATAAAAATAACAGCTGAGAAATTTTGAGTTAATTATTTTGTCAATTTTAAATGTGAAAAAGGTGTCTTTAAAGTTTTTAGAGCTATAGAGTGTATAAATACGTTCGTCTTGTGGATTGTGACAAAGTGCATACTAAGTGCCCACGATTTTGTTTATTAATTATTTTAGAGCAAAATATGGAAGTACTCTAAAAAGAATGCTTGCAAAAGGTGATGCTGGGTACTGCTGTTCTTAAAAATGCATTGTCCGAGTATTTAATACAATTTATACAGTTAATTTTCTATACTGCTTACATATAAGGTCTTTAAATAAATAAACTAAATAATGAACGTTTTGCATTCGGCAACCAATAATGCACGTGTATGTATTATTGGTTGCCGGATAAGGACCAATAATCATGACAAGGACTACAATGACGTCACAAAGTGAGTAGTTTTCGCATGCACCTGGCGGATACTTTTGGCTGAATGAGCAGTCCTATTAGGTTAACTGTTCTTGGTATGGATGCACCATGACGGAGCTTAAGTCTGTCCAACGAGAGGTTACTTGACAGTGACACTTACGTCTGTCATTTTAATTCACGGGTAAATTGTATTTTCTGTCTATTTTTGACGTTATCTGTGGAAATCTTCTCTGATTTGTTGGACAGACTTTCTATTGACCTTTATAGGCAACCTGGTTTATCCGTTCATTATGAGGTTCGTATTTGTTATTTTTCTGTATTTTTACTTACGAATATGAACCAAATAGAAATTCCAATAAGATTAAAAAACATATTTTATTACTTAGAAATATTATATTGTTCAATATAGAATTTTATATATTATTCGTACAAAGCATTTTATACACTTTGTAACCTAACTATAGTTTGTCTCGCGATAGAATACAGATCAGTGGCAGGTGTCTATCAAATCAATATAATTCGAAGGGACATTGATTTTTCCGGCGTTTTTTTTTTTCGATGTCATCTGTCCAAATAATGTATTCTTTCTCTGGACAGACTATGCACAGTATCACTTTATATTAATTTATGTTTAATAAATTGTATTTTTATATTTTTTATTTCTTTTTTTTTTGACATATATTATACAAATTATATAGTTAGGATAGTTTCTGTATATATCAAATAAAAAAATATTGAAGGAAGGAATATGTTATAGTGCCAAACAGTTTTATTCCAATAAAATTAGAAAATATACAGGGTGTCTCAATATTCCGTGGACATAGAATTACCATGTATTTTTGGAATCAAAATAAGTCCATTGGACACAATTTACCTTTATGCAAAAGTGCTTCGTTTGTCTGCTAGAGGACATCAACTTTAAAAAATAAACACATTTTTTCGGATATTTTAAGAACCGTTATTCCGATTTGAATGAGGTTTTTGGGTGTCTATGTTTTGCTAAGTGCTTTAATTGACTTACACAAAAATCAAGAAAAAGTACGGGAAGAGTTAAAACTACCCCCACCCCTACATAGATTTTTGTATAAATATTTTCCAACTCTACAGACGACAGATTTTTTTTTCGTAAAATGACCTCTAGTATTTACAACATTTTTTGTTTCTTGTAAAAAAACTCCACATCGCATAGTTCTTGAGAATAACTTTTTTGGAGAATTTATTTTTCCAAAGCAGCCCTACAAAATATACAGGCATTTCCAATATTCCATGGACATAGAACAACTACATATTTTTTGAATCAAAATCAGGTACCTTTATTCAAAAGTGCTTCGTTTGTCCGTTAGAGGACATCAGTCGAAAATAAACCTGAACGTTAATTAATTTTAAACTTATTAATTTTTTTTAAACTTTTTATGAAGTTTATTGTCAAATATAATTTGTGATATTATCATAGAATTCCATATTTTCCCCAATTAGATTATTAAGAGCATAATAGATTGTATGCGCCTCAATAGCTTGATGTGACAAAAAACATTTTTTGGAAGTTAGCTTCGGAAAAATATTTTTTTTCCTTGGACTAAGATTTTTACCTCAATAACTTTACGCGGTGGCTTTTTTTTTACAAGAGACAAAAATGTAGTAAATACCAGACGGACGGACCATTTTACTAAAAAAAATCAGTCGTCGGTTGTGTTGGAAAATATTTATACTAAAATTTATGTAGGGATGGGGGTAGTTTTCACCCTTCCCGTACTTTTTCTTGATTTCTGTGAAAGTCAAATGTTAAAGCACTTAGCAAAACATAGACATCCAAAATATCATTCAAATCGGAATAACGGTTCTTAAAATATCTGAAAAAATGTGTTTATTTTTTAAAGTTGATGCCCTCTAGCGGACAAATGAAGCACTTTCGCATAGGTAAATTGTGTTCAATGGACTTATTTTGATTCCAAAAATACGTAGTAGTTCTATGTCCACGGAATATTGGGACACTCTGTATGTGGTTGTTTGATCTTCCAATTAAAAGAGGTGTGTTTGTCCTACAAGTTGTAAAAAATATTTGTAATTTTAACATAGTATATTTATGGCTACAGTGTTTACAAATTTATGGATGTTTATATATCATAGAGTATATGTATAAATAATAAGAAAGCTGCTTTGTTGTTAGCAATATACATTATTTTTTTTACAGGTTTAAGTAACATATAAGAGTTGTGATATCTATTGTGAAAACCCTCGTTCATCAATGTTGTTTGATGTCCCTTTTGGACATAAACGCAAGTTTAACATTTTCTTTCAAGTTTAATGTGCCTGAAATTTAAAAAATGTTTTTCTATATGACAAGGTAGAGTAATAACATGAGATATTTGTATTTATAGGCTTGGTGCATTCTCCGCCGGTGCTGCCACCATCAGGGAATATCGTAAACAATCGTTATATACAAATACACGTGTTTAAATAGGGAATATACATGGAATATACGAAAAAAAGTTTATATGATTATTTTAAATGTGTTAGAAAGTATAATTTGTGAAAAAAGTAAATATTTTGTTATCTATAACTTATTATTGAAGCTAATAAAACTTTGTAGATGAGTTCAACTACGGTAGCGAGCATATTTTTACGCTCATAATACAACGTTTTACGCATCCGTTTTGCTAGTGGGGACATAACTTGAACTTTTTCGGCTATAACGAAAATTTTGGAAGGTATATAACACAGTATATAATTATAATTTTAGAAGATATTCATAGAGAATTTAAGGACTAGCTGGTTAAAAAAAGTATACCATTAATATTGCAAATTATATTTTATCCTCTAATAGTACATGTTTATTTAATTTTTTGATTACGTAATGTGCACTTTGTACTCACTTGTTTCGTCGAACTGCTTGAATCCATTTTTGTTTCCTCGTCTACTATTATAATTTTTAGACCATATAGTTCTAGGCAACAGCCTAATATGATTTATTTTCTTAATATCTCCCGTTAGAGAGATAGAAAGTTGCGGTTTGCGCTGATTTTGGAAATGTTGTGCTCTATTTAACTGTGCAAAAAGAAACATAGCCTACTATTTAATTTTTTTATGCAAACGCGCAATATCGATTATGATGTCAAACAGCGCCCTCTAGTTACCATGAAGAAATATATGGAAACAAAATTTATACTGGATACCATTAAGGAAGAAAAACTCTTTTAAACAAGCCCTAGTTTGTTTAAATCGGCTAACCCAAAGCAGAGTTATACTTATTTTAATAAAAGCAAGTTTAACCTTTCCCCACCACTTTATTTTATGAGATAGAGCAAGATACGGTATACCAAAAGAATTACAAATTTCCCATTGATTACAGTAGCATTATTTAAAATACCTCTTCACCTGTATATTTTTGAGAAAAATCCAGTTTTCTGATTGACTATCACAGATACACTCGCTAGCGTACATTTTTCGAATTTGAAAATAATTTCCAGCGATTTCTCTTGGTCGATTTACTTATTAGATTTTTTTTCCAAAGCTGTACGGTATGTAGTTTCTGAGGTACAGCCGGCGTCCATTCTTAGTTGGCAACCCGGTACATAGCGAAAATTTCTGATTTCTCCCGTATAGAGCGCTGTGGTCAGAATTTTTTGAAATCAACTGAAATGCACCAAGTCTATACAAAAACAGTAGTGATTTGTGATACACCAAAAAGAAAAAGAGAAGTTAAACTTGTAGGCTTAGCATCAATTTACACCAGTACATGTTCTTAAAGTTAAACATATTCAGTTTACAATCTAGATTAGATATTTTCGAAATATTAAATAATATATTAGGTGCCAAATACTGTCCATTAGAGATTGTAACAAAGAGTAGCGTTATAACAGTTACATACTTATAAATTATATAACAATTCACATATTGAATATTTTATTTAAAATTAATACTTTTAAAGTACATAAATTTAAATATGCTTGTTATGAATAAGCCGTTTATTTAATCTTATTGATTTTATTTAATATTCAAAATGTTGATTCTGTTAAACGGGAATGAAGATTTTATGATGGTTGAGGCTGTAGAGAGATACATTAGAAACAGTTTTACTTAATTTTGCAAGTCTGACAAAAGACATGTTAAGTATATTTTATTATAATTAAATTTAAAACTTTATTGACAAATAAAAACTCTGTGTACTTTTATATTGTTTTATTTTATTCCTTTAAACTCAACATACCTATGTACAGAATGTCCCTGGCTGAGCGTGCATTAGAAGTTTCTAGAGAACTTACAATATGTAGATCGGAAATTTACTTGTACATCATTGTTTCACAACGAGATCTATCGATTAAAAATATTTTCAATGTGGCGGCACTTCCGGAAATACCGGAAGTTGACAGCAACTTTCTTATTTTAAATGGGTGCCTCCAATTTATTACATACTTACATTCACTGTAAAATTTTATGAGTTTTCATATTAATTTTATATTAATTTTATATTATATTTTATATTATAACACTCTATATCTTATATGAACCGTTTTTGAGAAAAAACATATTTAAAATTCTTAGACAAAAAAACTGCCTGTCAAAAAAATAGCCTTAACGTCATAATTAGTGATTACCAGATTACCACAGTCACTGCGGCATAAAGAGAAGACATGCGACTATCTAATACTTCAAAAATTCAATTGTTCGAATGTCATAATAGAATGACCATAACTATCATAGAATTGGGCTATTAAAAATTATCATAAATCATTTTTTCAAATGGAAACCCACTTTTTTTCTTGATTTTAACCAGTAGCCTATGACTTTAAACGTCAAGTGATGTAAAACAATATATCTAGCCATGTCATATTGTGACACGAAATCACTTTGTCATCAACCGTCATTTCCAAGCCGACTTTGCGCCGTTTTCTTTCGATCATACGGATAAGTAATTAGTTTTCTGACAGAAAGAAATAAATTGTCTGATTGACACTTAACGTCAAAGGAAGCTAGATAAAATGAAGAAAAATATACGCTAAATGTTAAATAACTTAAAAACGAGTTATTTTAGGTATAAGAACAGGTATAATCAAAAAGTAACTAATTAAAAAACCTTTTCACTAGTGAAATAAAAAAAAGTGGGTTGCCAATTGAAAAAATGATTTATGATAATTTTTTAATCGCTCAATTCCATGACAGCTACAGTCAATATTATATGACATTCGAAGAAGACATTCTTCTATTAATGTAACAGTGACTGTGGTAATCACTAAATTTGACATTTAGTTTTAATTTTTTTTTGTCAAAAACAGTTAATGTTAGATTTAGAGTGTTAAATATCAAAATTCATAAAATTTAACAGAGAATTTAAGTAAATTTAAAAAATGGGGTACCCATTTAAAATAAGAAAGTTGCTGTCAACTTCCTGTATTTCCAGAAGTGCCGCCATATTGAAAATATTTTTAATCGTTAGATCTCATTGTAAAACAATGATGTGCAAAAAATCTCCCATCTATACATTGTAGTTCTCTAGAAACTTTTAATGCATGCTCAGCCTGGGATACCCTGTATAATACTCAACAGAATATAACAAATAATAACAACTTTTATTTAACCACAAACTTCTTAAACCACATATAAGATGTTGCACCACACAACGTGAACCAAGTCAAGATGTAGGACAAATGTTCATTCCTCAGAGATATTCTTGTTTGTCCACCAATTGGACCGCCCTTTGCATTACATTCATCAGTTTGGTCTAGGAAGACTGGCGCAGCTCCTGTAGCAGCACACATTGTTGGAAGATCACTAAAAACTTACAATGAATATCAGTAAACAATGAATATAACACTTACCGATAAAAATATAATTTAGTCCCCGACTGATTTTTGGTTACAAAAGTTGGTCGAGGTTCGTGTAACCGTAATACTCCTATTACATCAACAGTATCTTCAACTTGACCATTTGGACGTGTTTTTGGATCTATTTTCTTTGCAGGAACCCAACCTCGATTCACCAAAATTGTCATACTAAACAAACGTTATTTAAAAGATTTATTTTCTTTTTATTCTACTTACTCTCTATCTTCCAATTTAAATGGAGTAACAACCAAATATCCCTGTGAATTACTGCCACCAGTAGTAATTAAGGAGCTCTGGGAAGTTGCTTCTCCTTTAGACAAAAGACTTCGAGGACCTAAATAGATTTCTTTATCGTGAAGAAATTTGCCCCTTACATGTATCGGATTGTATTCTAACTGACTTAGTTCCTCTAAACTATAATAAATAAATGCAATATTCTCGAATAATATTAATTAAGTTACCACTACTTATCAGGCAACCGAATTGGATCACTATTTGTTTGTGTTTTTAGATTCTGTATAAGGTTCTCTTTCCATGCTTTTCTCTGTACTTGCCAAACTCCTAAACCAAATGCCGAACAAGGTATTATCTAGGATAAATCGACAAGTAATATTTTATAATCCTTTTTTCGAAATTTTATGTACCAGAAGAAACCATCCTAAAGGTTCAATTTTGTCATATTTAACTGTTGTTTTTCTCACTGCAGGCTTCGATATTTGATTTAAATTACAGTTATGACTTACAAAAACTAACTGACTTTTTACGCAATGAGCCCGAATAAGCCTTAAAGAGCTAAACAACTTATTCATTATTGTAAAAGTAAATATCAACAACAAACATATTCGTAGGCAGAGTCGTAGGTTAAATTTTCTTTCATAATTAAATACGGCAGTGTTGCCAATTCTGACCTAGCAATTATACATTTTTAAAATGAATGGCATATAGTTTTTCGTGTAATGATTTAATAAAAAAATTATTTTAAACAAGTTACATTTGTTAAATGTTTTAATATATTATGTTAAGAGTAATTATTGTAGATAAAATATTCTTTGTTTATTTAATTAATGACAACAACGTTGCCAATTTCAAAGAAAATGTCAATGTCAGATTTATTGCATGAAAGATGTCCAATCTTGAATATTTGATGTAAGCAGAATAGTACGACAACCTTTTATAAAATGCTGTTGCTAATAACAGCTAATAATTCATTATTGATAAGAGAAAAAATCAGTGAATGTTATGGTGCGTCATCTTAAATTACTTTTTAATATTTCTAGCAGTTTTGATGTGTTTTGTGGATTTTATCAGTGAAATTATTATTTATTATTGATATCAGAAAAGCCTTTACTTATAAAAGTGCAAATTGTGCAAAGCCAAGCTCTTCATGAATATTTTTGTTTTGCAAACTGTTTACGAATAAATTATGTGCTACAATATTTAAATATAATGGAGAGGCCCATTCCTGCCCCTAGAGAGTTCAAAAAGCCAGTACCAGCTCCCAGGAAAAATATAAATAGGAATAATCAAAGGGTAGCCAATTTAGAAACAAATATTATTGAGGAACCTTTCACAGAAATAGCAATTGTTGAAGAAACAAAACAAAGCAAAATTAGTGAAGACAAGGGCGAACAGTTTAATACATTTTCGAGAAGGGTTACTAATGCATCAAAACAGATAGCTGGTAAGATAATATACATAGATAACATTTATATCTTGTACATTCACTTTCCCATTCTAATATTTTTTGTATTGAAATTTACACAAGTACTTAATGTATTTTATGTAACTTAAATTCTTCTGTATTTTTTCATAGCTTGTAATAAAGGAAATAGCTTTAGCATAAATATTCATATAAATAAATTTTTATGTTTATATTAAATTTAGTGCCAACATTATTATTGTTTATCATATAGGTATTTTTTTTTTACTTCTGATTCAAGTAAATATGGGTATCTTATCAGGGTAGCTTATCTTTACAGTTAGGTATATAGCCTGTACAACAAATACTTATATATTTTTGTTAAAAAAGTGGACATGTTGATACATAAAATATATAGCTCTAAATAATAGTAATTTTTCAGATCTGATTGAATGAGTCATTCAATAATGAACCGCATTGTAGTCCATCTGATTATGAGAATTAACATGCCATGTTATGAATTACACTAGTTACGAACTGTAAAACATTTAATTTCCTTATTACAGTTTCGTTCAATTTTTTTATTGTAAGAATTCAAAGAATAACTTTTACTTACTTTATTTGTGATTGTCAGGATAAATCACAAGAAAATACGTCTTTTCATATTAGGGATGGGTGGATAAAAAAATAGCTTAAAAAATAGTTTTTTAATAAAATTTATGCAATTTCTATAAAATATGTTTAAAATTTTAATAATAGCATTCACCCCTAATTCTACCCTCTTAGGGGATGAAGTTTCAAGAATCACTACAGTGCTCAGTTGCATTACTTAAGGAACCTTTGCTTCAGGCAAATTTTTGGTACTCCTATAAGAGATGTTTTAAATTTTCTTTCAAAATTTTCACCCTCAATTTTACTCCCTTAGGGGATGAATTGTCAAGAATAATTTCTAAGTGCTGAAATACGTCGCTTAAGGAACCTCTGTGCCAAATTTCATGCTCCTAGGACATATTTTCAAAAAAATTTATACAAACTATCACCCCTAATTTCACACTCTTACCAGCTCTTACCGAGTTGGATAACGACGCATAGAAAATTGATTTTCTATGTGTATGTAGAAAAGTGTGTAGAAAATGTAGAATATTAAGTAGAAAATGTATAAAATGAGAAATGAGAACTGAGAACAGGTACAAAATTAATTTTGCATATTTAAAGGCGTTTTTTCACTTTAGAGGTTTCTTCCGTTCTATTTTTTTTTTAAATTCTGTGCTCTCTATTCTGTGAGGGTGCAGCCACACTATCCTAAAAACGGCGTATCGGCGTAACGGCGTAACGACCTTGAATCGATTTCCAGTAATTCTATTGGCTGAAATTTCTGACAGATGAAGTTGACAGATAAAATTTCTGACAGATGAATGTTTCAGCCAATAGAATTACTGGAAATCTATTCAAGGTCATTACGCCGTTACGCCGATACGCCGTTTTTAGGATAGTGTGGCTGCAGCCAGACTATCTGCCTGAGGGTGCAGCCAGACTATCCTAAAAACGGCGTATCGGCGTAACGGCGTAATGACCTTGAATAGATTTCCAGTAATTCTATTGGCTGAAATTTTTGACAGATGAATTTTTCAGCCAATAGAATTACTGGAAATCTATTCAAGGTCGTTACGCCGTTACGCCGTTTTTAGGATAGTGTGGCCATAAAATAATTAACTAGAAAGAAGTGTCAACTCTGTGTTAAATCGTGGAAACACGATACGCCACCGAAAGCCTTCGTTGTCGTCTGGAGAACTAATTTTCCAATTGACAGGTTGACATGATGGCTTCGTATTTATTTCCGTTTCCGGTTATTCAGTGGCGGGCCCTCTTTCAGTTTAAATGTATTTTGTACTCTTTCTTATCATAAATAAAACAAAACAAAATTTTATTCAAACATATTTATTTGAAATATGAGACAACGTGACTAAATATATATAAAAAATAAAGAATTGAATGATTTAACAGCAATTACTTAATTATATGCAATTTTAACGTAAATTAGTAAGGTATAAGCATGACTTACAGTAATTTGTAAATAAATACACGTATTCACAGCCATCAGGGACAGAAAACGGGGGCAGGAACATGAAAACGAGAGCCTTATACAAAAACCTGAAAACAGAACAAATTTTTTTATACTAAAATTAACAAATAAAAATATCAGTAGGTATAAAATACAAATATACTGTTTAAAAAAAGCGTCCATTATTCCCAAAGAGACCTGGTTTATAAATCAAAAAGAAGCAATATTGTTATCCGACTTTTAGTCGGATAACAATCTGATTGTATCAGTCAGATTTATTGCATTATTGACAATAAATCGCACATACTGGAGATAACTAATGTTGGCTATAGTTAAAAATGATCTTACCTTGCTGTAAATTGTTTCCATTTTTAAAAAAATCGCCGATCATAAACATAACAAAATTTTCTTGCATCTAAAAAATACAGAAATAGTGTTTATTTACTACCTATTTTTAATATACATGGGACATACCTAGTACTGCAGAAACGTCTTTTTCTCCAGGATTTTTTATGTAATATATATTTTATATGCTTTATTACCTTTATATTTATAAATTTCTGCCGAAATATCAAATTGAATTTACAAAACAAAACTAAACGGAGAGAATTAAAATGGCGTCGAAATTTGTTCTAGAACAAATCTGAAGTTGTCTCTGAAATCTGTGAATTCTAAACTGTGAAGTTAGACAATCGTTAGAGAGAAACATTGCTGTCCTTGTCTAGGCGGCCATACTTGTCGTCAGGAGATGACAGGAATGATACTAATGACTGTTTCCAATTTTCCTATTTCACTGTCACCCCCCTGAGTGTGGCTGCACCCTGACGGATTCTGTCACAACCTAATCTAACTCTATGAAGATAAGAGACAGTAATCAATCTGAAGACTATTAGAATATTTTTTTTCAGTTTAATCTGAAGACCGTACAGAGGTCTGAATTTTTTTTTTCTTTGGAAGTTTTCGTTGTTTCTTTTTTTTAATTTTACTTGTTTTTTAAATTTTGCTTAATTTTTTTATTTTTTTCATAGAAAACCTGCGTTTTCATAAACTATATACATGTAATAGGTAATTATTGTAGTTATAATTCTTACTTTCATTATGTTAGATGTTATTTATTTTAAGAAAAAAAAGCGGTTGTCGGTTGAGTTGGGAAATATTTATACTAAATTTTATGTAGGGGTGAGGGTAGTTTTCACCCTTGCCGTATTGTTTTTTGATTTTTGTGAAAGTCAAATGTTAAAGCAATGAGCATAACATAGACACCTAAGATTTGATTCATATTGGAATAACGGTTCTTAAAATATCTGAAAAAATGTGTTAATTTTTTTTAAAGTTTGATGTCCTCTAACGGACTAACGAAGTACTTTTGTACAGAGGTAAATTGTATCCAAATAACTTATTTTTTGATTGTTCCAAAAATACGTAGTAGTTCTATGACACCCTGTATACAGGGTGAGTCTGAAATAAGTGGAAATATTTTTAGAGGTAGTATATTTCGACCGAAACACTATTATGAGGTTTTGATTCGCGAAAAAAATTTTTGGAAATTTTATTAGTTTTTAGTTTAAAAAAAAACATACATATAATAATAATAGCTCCCGTATATAGCGTTTAACGCCTTGGGAGTAGCAAGATACAGCTTGCTATACTAGAGCCGTTCGGTATACAAGGAAGGTAATGTGGCTAGCACTACGCTTCAACCGCCTATTATTACCTCAGGATTGTGAATCCCAAGTACTCATTTAAGGCTGAGTCGACCTAGGTACCCAAGCTATTATTATTTTAATAAAAATAGTCGGCTGATGAAATGCCGGGTGTGGGAATCGAACCCACACCTTGAGATTGGTAGACGAGAGCCTGTACCTCTACGCCACAGGGCACCATAAAAAAAAAAGAAAAAAAAAACATAATTTCTTAATAATAGGGCAACACAGGTAATAGATTAAATTTACAAGAATTTTCTTTCTTTTCCAGAAAAGATTTCCAGAATTTCAGCAATTTTTTTTTTTTTTTAATTTTCAAAGTACGTATAAAATAACTAGGTTATTTTGGACCTATTTGAAAAACGGTAAAGAGAAAATGTGTTTCTTTTGTCCAGATCTACGATCTACCAAATTGCCCTGAACTATACTACTGCCCTGAAAATATTTGCACTTATTTAAGAGTTACCCTGTATATAACAACATGTTCTTTATTTTGTGTATCTTGGGAAGGAAAAATATATTATTATTTTTTACACACTTTGTTATATCGTTTTTTATGTGCTTTTTTCTCCAAAATGTAAAAAAACCGGAACACACGTGTAAACTCCCATGTTATTTAAACTCCATTGTATTAATATTTTTAATAGTACCCTTTACTAACTTATGTAATGTTTATACTTGTTAATACCTATATTTTTAGGAGATATTGGTCAATTAGTACAAGGTCGAAAAAAGGCTGTCATAGAGGGTACCAGGCAGAGCGTCAGGCGATTAACACGAAAATTTAGTTCCGCATCTCAGTTAGAACGAAAACACGATAAAAATAGTGCAAGTCAACAAGATTTAGAAGTGTCTATTGATATATTTAACAACATTAAGTAAGTTTCAGCTGGTATATCACAGAAAGAAATAAATATACCACTGTCATAATTTTTATTTATGACTTGCAATGCTACTATATTTTACAGGAATATGATCAATTATTTAAGAAATAATATGCCTGTAACAATATACCTACATATACCAGGATACAAATTTAGGAGCAATACTACAATAATTGTAGTATATATACCGGGTGCGTCTGAAAAGTTAATCACCCCTATAACTTTTTTACATTCTGAATAGAATGCCATATTATACAGTGGCGTGCAGTACCATTTACAGTAGGGTAGGCAACAGAATCAAAAATATGAAAAACAAACTGAAAAAACGTATGTATTACATAATATATAATAATATGTACAATGTACATATATAAAATTTACTGTCTAACGTATTTTAACTTTAAACTCAAACAAAAGAAAATTCAAATAACAGCAAATAAATTTAATTATTTGTAGATGCAAAACGAATAATCTGTCTATTATTCAATCATTATTTCTTCCCGATAGGCGACTCAACGACTGGCGAATTAGCTAAAACAATAACCGTACACAATATTGCCAGATTACCAATTGCCACTGCCTAATAGATTTTATGTACCAAAATGATTTTACAGTCAAATAAAATAATAAATGAAATCATTTGGAAACAAATACAGATGACAGACAAGCAAATTTCTAATTTGCTACATAATACAAATCTTTCTAAAACACAGTTATTTAAAATTGATCATATAAAATAACATGGGCTGTTTCTTACATAGTTCTGTAATAACATCGGAACTGGCAATACCGCGTCGGCGGGGTCGAGACATCGGGTGCATCCGTGCTGCGGTAACGCACTGCTTTTGCTTGTCCATATCCATGTAATGTTAAGTTGCGGCCGTGCGTTCGATTTCGAATAATGGGATGCGTTTTTTAGGTAATAATAAGACGTTGAACAGGTGGCATTTGTTTTGTATGATGTTTCCTGCTTTGCAACCGTAATAAACACAATACTAACTTACTATTTAGAAAAATAAAACAATGTAGGTCGCATTGTAGGATTTGTAGGTAGATATATAATGAAAATTGATCAGATAAATATATTTTTATTTTGCGTCTGTCTTGAATAAATCGAAAGGTAGGCAATGCTTTTTTGCCTATATGTAATGCACGCCACTGATATTATATGTAAACTTTTGACATTCTCGCTTAATAAAAAATTGTCTTTTAAATTTCAATCTAGAGTGCCATGGCTATGTTAAAAACATTAATTTTTAATCAAGAAGTCTTGGAAAAATGGATTTGATTGTCTAATGTTTTTAGTGTCCTGGCCAGTTAAAAAAGATGCCCAAATCGTATTTTTAATCATATCTCAATTTTTTAAAATGGAACGAGGGTGGCTCATTATCATATTTGGAAAAGGCATTTTTTTGCGAATAATTTGATACCACACACTTGGTATTTTGACTCAAATTTTCGTTATGAACCACATGTTACAATTTCAAATAAATCGTATTCGAAAACGTCAAAAGTTGACATATGATATGTCATTCTATTCAGAGTGTCATTTTCTATCGAATAAAGTAGAAAAATACTGAGGGTGCCATTTAAAAATCAAAAGTTGTAGTCATTTCCGGTGAAACAAGAAGTGACCGAAAACAACTGAATACGTCAATCAATTCTAATTTATGTCATATATTAACATACCAAATCTCGTTTTTTTTAACTGAAAAAATAAAAAAGTTATAGGGGTGAGTCACTTATGAGACGCACCCGGTAAATATTTGACAAATTTGGCGTGCTAAATTAATTTTATTTGTTTGTAATGGATATCTCACTTTATGAAGTTCTAAGAGCGTTTTTCGTTTATTTTATACTTATTTTAATTAGTACTAGTAAATGTTAGAACTTAAAAATCTATCCTAACTTTTTATTGTTAGGTATAGTGTGGTAGATTTGTTTCCTTATATTAGATATGACATGAAGTTTGCAGGTTTAGGACCAAGAAATTATAAATTCTTTGGTTTTGAAAAGTTGCCACATTTCGACGTATATTCTCTTCTTTTTCAAAGCTATTTTTAGCTAAACTGGTAGCTAAACTTGTTCTCTTTTAAACGTAAACGTAATTAAACTAGCTTATCGTGAACAATTTTGATACGACAAAGCATCATCTCTATATGCAGAAAAGACAGCACAACATAAGAATAAAAAAAAAACTTTGATTTTCTCTTAAGTTATAAGATGCTAACATTAGACATTTAAAGTAATACTAGCGAACACAGATGACTCATATAGATAGTTAGGACAATAGTCTTTCAAGATAGTTAGATCTGTGTTGTCATCTAAAATAAAATAAAAATTAAATATAATAAAATAATATATTTACGGACCAGCCATTTAAATGTACATACAACAATAATCTATGTTTAGAGAGACTCTTATGTGTTTTTTTTTAAATTGTACCCGTACTGTTTAGAACAAGCTACTACGATTATTATGCTTACGTTTCACAGAAAACCTTTTAGCTGTCTAAATAGCCTTAAATAATCTTGAAAAATACATGAATAAACGTCGGTAGCTTTTCAAAACAAAGGATTTTTCATTTTATGGTACTAAACCTGCAAACTTCATTTCATATTGTTAAGTATTATTCAGATTTATTAAGTATTGTTGTTTTGTTATATATCCTGGAGTCTTATTGTTATAATATAAAATATCTGAATCTATTTCTCTGGCTTACTTAGAAAATTATTACTCATTAAATTCTTGTAGATTTGAGTCACCTATTAGTAGGGCCAACAGTATTTATAGCAACATTGAAAATGAATTGGAGTCCGGATCATCAGATGAATCGCTTACATTTCCCCCTCCAAAACATCCCCCACCGCCCCTTCCTGCAGAAGGGGTATATGACGCACCATCTAGTTCTCCAGTAACGTCAAGCACGGAATCAAGCACCTCTGGTTAGTTAAAATTATGTAGAGGGTGAATGTGAAAATTCTATATTTTTACAGTCACCCTCTAACGAAATTTATTCTTATATTTTATTTGTTAACAAGCCAGCCTGAACTCTGATTCTATTTTTTTCCTCTTTGATTAACAAGAAAATCGAAAGTGAATGGTCCCTCTATGGTGTTTTGATGGTATTACTTTTCATCTACCGATTCACTAATTATTTTTGAATTTCATGTGATTCAACTGAAACCAAATAGCTGACAAAGTCTGTACAACCATCATTCAACATTACGGCATATATTATATTCTTCAACTTAAGAGCCCATTTCACTGGCCCGAAAAAGTAACAAAAAAACGTTCGGCATTTGACCCCTGAGATTGACCCGAAAGTACAGCGTAATAGACTCTTAAGAACGGGATGAAATACAATATGATCGAAAAAAACGACGTCAGCGATGACTATGAAATGAAGATCGCTCTCATTTTATATGTAAAATTATATGGGGAATATCATCGATCGTCATTTCCAAGTCAACTGGACGCCGTTTTTTTTCGATCATACGGTACATTTGAGCAATCGTTAAGCAGCATTACCAACTTAGCGCCTTTCTCGCTAAATCTAAAAAAGTAAAAACTTCGTTTAGTCGTTTGCGGTTTAAATTTGTGAACAATAAATAGGTAAAATCGGCACAGAAAAAAATTAAATTCTAAATGATTTATGAGTAAAGATCGTATACAGGGTGACCCAGGCTGAGCGTGCATTAGAAGTTTCTAGAGAACCACAATATCTAGATCGGAGATTTTTTGCACATCATTTTTTTACAAGGAGATCTATCGATCATAAATATTTTCAATATAGCGGAACTTCCGGAAATACCGGAAGTTGCCAGCAACTTTCTTATTTTAAATAGGTGCTCCAATTTTTTATTACATACTTAAATTCTCTGTAAAATTCTATGAATATTGATGTTAAACACACTATATCTAACATTAACCGTTTTTGAGAAAAAAAAAATTAAAATTTTTGGACGAAAAAAACCACCTGTCAAAAAAATATTATAGCCTAAAAGTCAAATTTAGTGACTACCACAGCCACTGTGACATAAAGAGAAAGACATGTGGCTATCTATTTCAAAAATTAAATTGTTTGAATGTCATATAATAATGGCGGCAGCTGTCATGGAATTGAACGATTAAAGAATTATCATAAATCATTTTTTTAAATGGAGACCCAATTTTTTTATTTCGCTAATGAAAAGGTTTTTCACTTCGTTACTTTTTAACTATACATCTTCCTATACCTAAAATAAATCGTTTTTAAGTTATTTAAGATTTAATTTGAAAACGTATATTTTTCTTAATTTTATCTAGCTTCTTTTGACATTAAGTGTCAAACGATCAGACAATTTATTTCCATCTACCAGAAAACGAATTATTTGAATTTCCTATATTATAAATACTGCCGACGTAAGAGTTTAAAAAGTGTATTTTTAAAAATAGTTGTTATTAATAATATTGCGTATGACCGAAAAATAACAGCGCAAAGTTGGCTCGGAAATAATACTGCTTTTTGAAGAAGCGTCACAATATGACATGGCCAGATCTATTGTTTTACATCAATTGACGTTTAAAGTCATAAGCTACTAGTTACAATCAAGAAAAAAATATACGCTATAAAACTAAATCTTAAATAACTTAAAAACGATTTATTTTAGGTATAGGAACATGTACATATAGTCAAAAAGTAACGAATTATAAAGCCTTTTCACTAGTGAAATAAAAAAGTGGGTTTCCATTTGATAAAAATGATTTATGATAATTTTTTAATCGCTCAATTCTATGACAGTGGCCGCCATTATTATATGACATTCGAACAATTTAATTTTTGAAATAGATGTACCACATGTTTTCTGTGTGTTTCATGCTGCACACTGGCTGTGTAATCACCAAATTTCACGTTTAGGCTATACACATATTTTTGACAGGCAGTTTTTTTCGTTCAAAAATTTTAAATATTTTTTTTTTTCTCAAAAAACGGTCAAAGTTAGATATAGAGTGTTTAATACCAAAATTCGTAAAATTTTATATAAAATTTGAGTATGTAATAAAAAATGGGGGCACCCATTTAAAATAAGAAAATTACTGTCAACTTCCGATATTTTCGAAAGTGCCGCCATATTGAAAATATTTTTAATCGATAGATCTCGTTGTGAAACTATGATGTGCAAAAAATCTCCGAGCTAGATGTTGTAGTTCTCTAGAAACTTCTAATGCACGCTCAGCCTGGGACACCCTGTATACTCCAGACCACGGGTTTACGGTGACCAAATCCTTATAGAATCAGAGGCCAGTGTTGGCTTTTATTTTTATGAAAAGTAAATATTTTATTTCTCAGGGAGAAACCAAAGTAAGACAGACAATTATGAAAGCATTTTTCCTCAACTTCCTCAGAATAACAATAATTTAAACTCAGATAATATGTCTAGTTCCTGTTCGTGGAAATATTATGACACAGTAAATCAACAGGTTTGTTAAGTAAAAGCACTTTTCTTATTAGCCTATTAATTGTAATAATTTAAACAGGAAAATATTTATGATAACATTGGCGTCAAAGAAGAAAATTCTCATCAAGAAGAAAAATCAACAGCATCCGATGAACAAGTTCTAATACCCGCTAAAGTTGAGAATACTCACAGGGTGTCTAATGCTTCTTCAATGAATCATACTAATTCGATTTACGAAAACCACGAAGTAGTGTTTCTTAGAGAAAACAAGGATGCCTCAAATTCCAATAAGACTTCTAAAAGTGTTTTAATGCAGTTTGATCCGTTAACCCATTGTAAGTTCATATTATATTCTAAGGATTCATATTATAAGGAAACTAGTAGCGCTACTTTTTCAAATATTTTCCATCTGGCGACAAAATTCGACAGATTGTTGACAGCACGTTGAGAGCTGTCGTTCGGGATACGGGTTAGAACGTTGGTTTCAGTGGTTTTTGGTAAAAATGGTTTTGGCGAAAGAAAAAAAAACGGTTTTGGGGAAAAATGGTTTGTTTATGAAAGATATCGTGTATATATATCTTTCATTTCATGTGATGATTAAACTATTTTTATTTTAAAATATACACAGTACACAGAAGCATAAGAAAGGTTTTAACCCCTACAAGTGTGCTAATTTCCGCATTAAGTTCATCATACCGAAGGATACAGCCATGGATACAGCCGTCCGAGGACTGGTTTCGGGGATTTATCCCCATCATCAGGCCGACCTTGCTGAATTCTTCAATCTGACAAACAAAATGCAGGAATCGCACCAGAGTACCAAAGGCACTACTGCAATGTGCAGAACTAGATGCTCTCGCCATCTAGCGACAGTCGCGCATATCGTACGAATGGTACCACCAAATCTTTGAATAAAAAGATTAAGGAAGGAGTATAATGCTATCCATGTATTCATGCATGGACGAAAAAGGGCCCTAGGGTGGGGATCTCAGTTCTGTTTAACGATTCATTTGACACATTTGAATTTGATTTGAAATGTGGTGGATTTGTCAGTCTTTCACTGAAAATTCACTGCTTATTTTATGTTATTTAGAATAAGATAGTAAATCTAGAAGGAAATTGTGGCAGAACTTAAATTAACAGTGACACTATTGCGATTTATCGAAAAAAAGACTGTAAAATAGTTGGTTATGTAGTATGCGGTAGATCTCGGTCAAAAATCAAGGGAAATAATGGAATAACTTTTCGCTAGTAAGTATACAGGGTGATCCGAACTGTATTCTGAAAACTTCGGCAGCATATTCTGCATATAAAAATAAGTAAAATAGTTCGTATAAATGTATGTCCTAAAATGCTTACTTTCGGAGATACAGGGTGTAGAAATTCTGAAGTAATATCAATATTTAGATGAAAATTGGTGTCGAAAAGAGAAATTTGATTTTGATGTCGATATGACTCCTACTTGCCACCTACATAATTTTTAACTGGTTTGAATAGTAATAACTTTTCTTCCGTACCTGTATAAAACTACTGAGTAAAAAAATATACAATTATGTTTTTTACCTAAAGGTCTCTCGGTAAAAATAGCTACGAGTAATGTTTTTAAAGATATTTGGAATGGAAATTATCAATACCTGTCATCATTGACATAAATTAAACATGCTGACTAAATAGTTATTAGACTAAAATCATAAATTTGAAACGTTTTTGTGGCAAAAGTTCAACAGAAACTGTTTATCATAATTTTTTTCGCAGAAAAATATATGATTAAAAAAAAATATGATTATACATATAAAAAAGTAAAAATTTTCCAAATTTATTATTTCAGTCAAATAACTATCTACTCAACGTGTTTATTTTTTGTCAATAATGACATGTACTGACTATTTCCGTTCTAAATATTTTGAGAACGGTTGCTCAACGCAAAATGTAAATTTTTTCACTCGGTAGTTTTATACAGGTATGGTCGAAAACAAAATTAATAGATGTCGTTAAAAGAGTGGCAAGTCTGAAGTGGCAATGGATAGGACATGTAGCAAGACAGGATCCAGACCAATGGCCCCAAAAAGTAATCCTATGGAGATCTAGGGAAACAACAAGAAGTGTGGGCCGACCAAAAAAGAGATGGGTCGATGACGTCAGGGCAGTGGCGGGAAGACAATGGATAAGATTGGCTAGAGATCGCGAAGCATGGAAAAATCTAGAAGAGGCCTATATCCAACACTGGATGGAACCAGGCTGAGAAAGAGAAAGAGATGGTCGAAAAGTTATTACTCTTTAAAACAGTCAAAACACGTGTAGGTGGTGCCTCCTACAAATATGAGGCATATTGACATCAAAATCAAATTTCTCATGTCAATAAACTCCCAGATACCAATTTTCATCCAAATATTGACGTAACTTCAGAAATTATTTGGAAAAAACCGTAATTAAAACGAAACTTTTACACCCTGTATCTCGGAAACTAAACTTTTTATGACTTATTATTTTTATCTGCAGAATATGCTGCCGAAGTTTCCGGAATACAGTTCGGGCCACCCTGTATAATACCATACGATCGAAAAAAAACGGCGTCCAGTTGGCTGGGAAATGACGATCGATGACATTTCCCATATAAATTTACATATAAAATGACAGCTATCTTCATTTCATAGCCATCGCTGAAGCCATTTTTATTCGATCATACGGTTTTGATCATACGGTATATGTACATACGTGTAGTAAACCGATCATTTATGAAATTCACTTAAATTTAACTAAAACTACCAACATTTCCCGACATCGTAAAATAAAACAATTTATTAAGTCTACCCTACATCATATTTTTACACGTTTTGAATAAAATTAGAACGGCACTGATAAAACCGGAACTTAAGTCGGCCATTTTAGGAGCCCGTCGCTTTCGATCTAAGATTTTTGATATGCACCTTCCTTAATCTTCTTATTTAAAGCACCAAATAAAACCAATATAACCAGCGGCCTACTGGAAAATCAATCTTGCTTCACCTACATAACCGTAGATGGAGCTGAAAGCAAAAAAGGGTTCTTTATAAAATATATACAGGGTGTTTCAAAACAAATGCGAAAAACTTCAGGGGGTGATTCCTTGTTTAAAATAAAGGGTAGTTTGCTTCATAAACGTTGGGTCAAAAGTCAACCATTAGGGAGATATCGCGGTACAAAGATGGCGGGAAAATAATGTTTTTATTTTTTATCTTGAAAACGAAAAGAGATAGACTAATGAAATTTTATGGAAGCATTACTGTTATGAAAACACACTTTCTGGTAATTTTTTCACTTTTTTAAAATGAGTGGAAGGGGTTGAAATAAACTACCCCTATCATTTTTGTTAACGAAATTTAAAGAAAAATCTTATCAAACACATGCAAAAAAAATTATTTGGATAGTTTAGTTTGCTTAGAAACTTTTTTATCTCTTGTATTTTTTTGACAAAACTCACCGATTTGAAATTAAAAAATAAAATGTAAAGCATTACATGTCAGGACAAAAAACATTTTCTGATAAAGAATCTAGTGGGCTGCTGTAATTTTTTTAGGAAAAAATCTAGTCGGCCGCTGTTACTTTTTAGGATGTACCTAATATTATTTTATTTATTTAAATTAATAAAATTTAAATAAAAATAAAATTAGTAAAGTACATATTTTACCTAATTTATTGTTAAATATTATTACTAATAGTTATTATTATTATTAGTCCAACCTACAGCAATTTCAACAAAACCTAATTTTAAAGTTTTAACATCCTGTAACTCTAAAACTATGCATTTCCATGCCCATGTTTATAGGAACTTTTTTTCATATTTTTTGATGAGGAATCAATGAGTGCTTATTTAAAACTTTCGTAAGTTAATGATATTAAAATTTTTTGAAGGTTGCTATTAGACTTGCATCAAGGCAAATTAAAAAATATCCTTTATCTCATCAAGGAGGCCGAAATCGACAATATATCAAGGACAACTTTTAATCGGTATTACACTGCTTGCGCTATTTCGCTATCAAGAGAAAGAAAGTCAGTGGCGTACATGCCTTTTTTGCAATGTTCATGCAATTTCATTTGAAACGCTAAAAGTACTTGGTAGAAAATTATAATAAATCGAAAAAATAGTAAGACTTTAACACCTTGTAGCTACGAAATAAAGGAGAATCGGACCTATGTTGATAATTTTTACGTGAGCAATCTCCCGACGAGATATGGCACATGTTTTTTGAAACACCTTGTATGTATATGGGCAGAAAGATCAAAGGATTTCAACTATATCCGCTTTTTAATGTAAATTACGTTTTTCTTGTAGTATCTAGTACACAATTTTCCGAGTTAAATTTACTGGAGGATCTTTTGCAAGGAGACCTTTACGGAAGTATACCAGATACTTATAGGTTCGATGAGTTCAGCATAAGTAACGATTCCGAACCGGAGGAATATCTCAATCCTCCAACGCCACCTCTAAGAATAGATTCACTGCCTGGAGATGAAGTCAAAGAAGAGAGCGAACCTGTGATTAATAGCGCTAGTGTAGAAAAGGTTAAGGAAAATGACAAGAGGAAAAGTAAACTGCATAGGGAGCCATCTGTAAAGTCGAGAACTAATTGGTTTGATGACACCTCTCAAACTGATTCGACAGAGAAGTAAGTAATTAGACAGTTAAAGCACGGCCAAAAACATTTGAATAAAAAGATTAATGGATTGTTCATGTATTCATGCATGGTTGACGGAAAGAGGACTAAAAAATGTCTATACCTGTGTGGCGGATTCATCTATCCAAAAAAATCCTTTATGGGTATTTCGCCACTGCACTGCAAGAAAAATCTACAAAATAAAATAGTTATTTTTTGTAAACACTTCTGAGTGCGTTAAACCTAAACGGACGCTGCTTGTCAGAAGTTTTGTTTACAGTAATAAAAATTTGCCTAACAAAGAAAAAAATGCTTAACGTTTCGGAAAGTTTTCTCTTTCCGTCGTCGAAAGCAAAAAAATATATAAACAATCAAGAAAAAAACTATTTAAAATATTTAAATTGAACTATTCGAGAACACTTTACTTTTTAAAACAGATACGTCTACAAGAAATCGTTGACGTTTTTTTTGCTTTCGACGACGAAAAGAGAAAACTTTCCGAAACGTTAAGCATTTTTTTCTTTGTTAGGCAAATTTTTATTACTGTAAACACAACTTCTGACAAACAGCTTCCGTTTAGGTTTAACGCAGAAGTGTTTACAAAAAATAACTATTTTATTTTGTAGATTTTTCTTGCAGTGCAGTGGCGAAATACCCATAAAGGATTTTTTTGGATGGAGAAAGAGACTACCTCCTTACCTAGGGCGGGGATCCTTGACAGTTTTGTTTGACGATTCCACGTTTGAATTTGATTTGAAATTTTGTGGATTTGTCAGTCTTTACTGAGCTTATGTTATTTATTAATTATTCTACTTCTGATAGTTGTTTAAAGGTAGTTAATATAGAAGGAAATTCTGTAGAACTTAAATTAACAGTGACACTATTGCGATTTATTGAAAAAGACTGTAAAATAGTTGGTTGTGTAGCGTGCGGTAGATCTCGGTCAAAAATCGAGGGAAATAATGGAATAATTTTTCGGTAGCAAGTGACTATACAGGGTTGTTCACCACATACGACACGGAGTATTGTCGCTAAACGATTAGATTTTTACAAATTGTAAGTTTTGGGTTCGTTGAAGGACTATTAGAGCTACATTTTAAATATATTTTTACAAGATACAGAGTGTCCCAAATAAGTAAAACATATTAGTTGTATTTTTTTAAATGGAACACCCTGTATATTATTCTATTTTTGGATTCTACGATCGAAATAAAGCTAAATTTGATTAAGGTTTATCACACTTAAACCTTACCGTTTTTGAAATATTTTCAATTTTATGAAATTGCAGTAAAAATTTTAAGGGTTCATTTCTCCAAGGGTATCAAAGTTTATAATACTAAATATTTACTGAAGATTATTTGTTGATCAGATATTATGTAGCAATAATAAAAATTTTACTACCTTATACAGAGTGTCCAAAAATTTATATTAAATAATTACTAGCTTTAAACGGCAATAACCTGTTTAATTTAAACGGAACACCCTGTATATTTTACGTGAATCATATTCACAATTTAATTGTCTATCAAATTTTATTATACTATTTTTTACCTATCTCTTCAAGTTTTTGTAGAAAATGCATTTTCTTATAATTTAGACCTCATTTATCACTATACCCATGGCACAGAATATCTAGCTACGCAACAGAAGCCTCGTTACATGTATAAAATTGTAGGTAGCAAAAGGAGACAGGCTTTTAAAGTCTGTCTCCAAATCAGATATTTTGATGCGGTAGTTTCGCTACTACATAATAGAGGGCAATAAATTTAAAAGAAAACAGTTTTCTACAAACAAAATTTAAAAGAATTTTGTGCAGTGTTGCCATTGTGTAATTCATATCGTAATACTTCCTGATAAAGCCTACCTTCAAATTTGCTACATCATTTAAACATATTAAAATAGATCAGAGCTGTTTTTTTCAATTTGCCATGTTAGTTGGAATTAAATCTTATGAGCTAAATTACAATCACTTCCTGACGTTTCATTGTATAATTGAATCCTGAATTTTCATTGTAATTCGGCGACAATATAATAAGTATTGTTCTACTATTATGATACGACTTCCTGACGTTCGATTGTGTTCATACCAAGTTCATATCGTATAATCGGGAAAAAACGGCGTTAGCGATGGCTATGAAATGAATATAGCTGTCATTTTATATATAAATTTATATGGGAAATGTCATCGATCGTCCTTTTCCAGCCAACTGGACGCCGTTTTTTTCTGTATCATACGGTATTTGATATATACTATTTTTCTTGACATTACATTAATATGGTACCATGAAGCATATCAAGTGATACTATAATATAGTACCATATTACGATACATGGCGTTCGATTGGGCTTAAACTTGATATACTATATCTTCAGTGACATTGTAATATCATGGTACCATGGAGCATATAAAGTGGTACTTTCTACAGTACCATATTTGATGACATAGCAATATTAGGTACATGGCGGCAATTGGGCTTAAACTTGGTATACTACGTATTTTCGATGACATTGTAATATGATGGTACTATGATGCATATAAAGTGGTACCTTAAAATAGTACCATATTTCAATACCATTTCCTGACGTTCGATTGAGCTCATATTTGATATATACTTGCGTATTTTTGATGACATTGCATTATTATGGTACCATGAAGCATATCAACTGGTACCATAATATAGTACCATATTATGTACATGTCGTTCGATTGGGCTTAAATTTGGGATACTACGTATCTTCGGTGATATTGTAATATTATGGTACCATGGAGTACCAAGAGGTACCATATTACGATACCATTTCCTGGCGTTCGATTAGGCTTAAACTTAGTATACTACGTATCTTCGGTTACATTGTAATAAGATGGTACTATGATGCATATAAAGTGGTACCTTAATATAGTACCATATTTCAATACCATTTCCTGGCGTTTGATTGAGCTCATATTTGATATATACTTGCGTATTTTTGATGACATTGCATTATTATGGTACCATGAAGCATATCAACTGGTACCATAATATAGTACTATATTACGTACATGGCGTTCGATTGGGCTTAAACTTGGGATACTACGTATTTTCGGTGACATTGTAATATGATGGTACTATGATGCATATAAAGTGGTACCTTAATATAGTACCATATTACGATACCATTTCCTGGCGTTCGATTGGGCTTAAACTTGGTATACTACGTATCTTCGGTTACATTGTAATATGATTGTACTATGATGTATATAAAGTGGTACCGTAACTAACGGTGATGTATATAAAGTGGTACCATATTACGATACCATTTCATGGCGTTCGATTGTTCTTAAATTTGGTATACCTACTACGGATCTTCGGTGACATTGCAATATTATGGTGCCTTAAAGCATATAAAGTGGTACCATAATATAGTAAACTATTATGATATCATTTCCTGGAGTTCGATTGGGCCAAATTTGGCATACTTGCGTTTCTTTATAAAGATTTGTTTAATTAATAATTTTAATTTATTTTACGAATTTTAATTTGTTGTTCGATGTCGTGACAGCAACTTTTATGCCGAACTAATATATTATTAATTGTACCTGTGTCACTTTTTAAAATCTACCTAGGTCTATATAAATAACGTAGCAAACGGAAGAAATTTGTTGTTATAGTATTTTTTAGTCAGTTAACATTTTTTGTACTGCATTATAATAAATTATTTCCATTATTATTAAACTTATATTTCATTACTAACGTTCCAGCATTAATAAATATCACTATCAATCGCCCTGTATATTATTAATTTTAAAGGTAATTAAAGGTATTTTCTTAGTAATAAGGTAGTGTATATTAAAAATGTATATGTTTTGTAATAATATACTTAAAACTATTTTAATAGCCAAAGGAATAATTAATATAAGTGTATCTGACAAGAAAAGAAGAATAGAAAGAAAAACATACTGCATTAATTATACACAGTAAAAAGAATGGGATGCCTTTTTGAATCTGGCAACTGTGCAGATTTAGCCGAGTTACAAGGCTGTCGACGAGCCGTCGATCCAAAACCGAAAGTTCAAAATTTCTAATTATATTCTGATTATGATATTGTCGCGCCATCTAGTATTCTATTTGTGCAATTTTAGCTTTTTCATTTCGAGTATTTTTCTGTTGCGTAGCTAGATATTCTGTGCCCATGGGATATTGATATTTTAGATTTTTTTAAAGCAACATATATGTACAAAATGTACAGGTGGTAAATATTGCAAGCCCATTGGTATACAAAAAAACTATTTAAATCTTTTTAAAGGAGTATACCAATTAAATATACCACCAAACCAAACCAGACCAAAAATTAGTTAATTAAATACTTTTAAATTGTTTTAATTAAAAAAGTATTCTAAATAAACGTGGACTGGCTCAGAAATCAATATAATAATAAATTATGAAAATGAACGTCCCTGTTTTTATAAATAAGCATTCGTCAAAAAATTAAATAAAATTTATAAGGTGTTACTTTTTTCCACACTGTCTAATACACACACAAAATTCAGTTTTTCAGTTTTGGAGCAATTGGATTATTAATCAACGTAAACAGTCAATTAATCTAGTTTGAATACTGGGATCATATTAATTGGTCCTCTTTAACAAAAAATATTTTATATTTTTTTATTTTATTTTTTAATGAAATAAGCGAACTATATCGACAATATTAGTATCTGTACTCTTTGAAAATTTGTTACATCTTTAAAAATAATCTAAAATGTCAATATTCCATGGGTATAGTGATAAATGAGGTCTAAATTATAAGAAAATGCATTTTCTACGAAAACTTGAGGAGATGGGTAAAAAATGGTATAGTACAATTTGATAGACAATTAAATTCTGCATATGATTCACGTAAAATATACAGGGTGTTTCTTTTAAATTAAACAAGTTATTGCCGTTTAAAACTAGTAATTATTTAATATAAATTTTTGGACACTCTGTAAAAGGTAGTAGAATTTTTATTATTGCAACACAATATCTGATCAATAAATCATAAATCATAAATCTTCAGTAAATATTTAGCATTAAAAACTTTGATACTCTTGGAGAAACGAAGCCTTAAAATTTTTACTGCAATTTCATAAAATTGAAAATATTTCAAAAACGGTAAGGTTTAAGTGTGATAAACCTTAATCAAATTTGCCTTTATTTTAATATATTATTAATTTATAGAATTGTATATTTTTATAACAATTTTAATAACTACCAACATTTATTTACAATGTAAAATAAAACAATTTATTGAGTCTACCCTACATCATATTTTTACACGTTTTGAAAAAAATTAGAACGGCACTGATAAACCGGAATTTAAGTCGGCCATTTTAGGAGCCCGTCACGGTTGATCTAAGATTTTTCATATGCTCCTTCCTTAATCTTTTTATTCAAAGCCAAAAACGTATACGTAAATTTATGATTTGACATGTATATGCTTGCTCATTGAAAAATTTACTTGCGTTTAAGGATACGTGATATGTAGGGTTTCCAAACCGGGATCCAGAAATCTCGGGATCCCGTTGTATGTTTAATCCTGATATTAAATCCCGGGATCTTGAAAATCTTGAAAAATTGAAATGCCCAATCTAAAATGACTATGACTAAATGACACTTTAGTCTTTAAAAGATCATTTATTTTTACTAAGCAGAACGTCAATATCTAAAAGTTATATTCCCTTGTTTGCTCTATCTTTTATATAACAAGAATTGATTTTTTTTAATCACTAAATATGAATGTTACTTTGTTTTGTTTATTTTAATAAAGCTCATTTTCTTGTTGATATATGTATCGGCATTTTTATTAAGTATTTCTTTAAATTAAATTTTTCACTCTGATAGTCAATCCCGGGATCCTGGGATTATAGGTTCTAATCCTGGGATTTCAAAACGGGATCCCAATCTCGAAAATTGGAAACCCTAGTGATATGTATCTTGTGAATTTGTATTTATTTAAGATATACATATTATTTTTTAAGATTAAAAAACTAAAATTATTTTTATATTAGACGATCACCCGTAGAACCAAGGAAAAACTGGCTTAAACAGGTATTAGAAAAAACTCCAGATGTTTTCAAGACTAACAAACCAGCAAATAGCAACGTCGAAAGACCTATATTGGGCGGTTCATCTTTCATCAGCAGAAGAGGCATGCTATACAAGGTAAAGAGAATAATAATTATAATACCTATTTACTGCAAGAAAAAAATATTTGACAATAAAATTCTATAAAAAATTTTACATCAGAAATATCTATACAAAAAATTATAAACGTACTACAAAACCATAATCTTTATGATAATATAAATTGCTATTGTTTGCCCAAAAAATGCATGTAATATTAACAAAATGAAATTTCAAAATCTTGCGCAAAAAAAGTTCTCTGCAATAGCTACTCAACTTAACCAGAACATGCAAACTTAATAAACTAAAAATTATGTTTTACAAATTGCCATAGAAAAAAAATAAAACAACGCATTTTTTATGACCAACGTAATGCAAAAATAGATATCGTTTGAATACAGATGATAATCGAACATAATAAATAACAATATAAATACATTTGAAGATACTCCTTATATAGTCTGTTCAACAACAAAATCCTTGACATAGGTGTGTCTGTCAGTTTAATTTCAAAGTATGTAGTTTATTTTAATTTACAAAGAAATAAATTGGTCCAATTGGAACGCAAAGGAGGAAATTAATATATTTTTTAAAATTTGAGTGACAAGTTCAAAATATTGTGAAAAAAAAACTATAAAACTGAAAAAAAAAATATTTTATTAAAAAAATTATGGTATGTGAAAAATGTCTATACCTATGGTATGTGTTAATACAAAACAAACAAGAGTGTATTTTCAAGAAAACACCACATACCAAAAAATATATATAAAAAAGAACTATTTCTTACTTTCAAGTTCAAGAAACTTCCTGCATTTATTATTACATTTATGAATATAACTGCATAAGAATAAATAAAACACAACATAAGTAAATCAAAACTCTTTAAGTCAAAGTTCCACATTCAAAAGTAATCCTAAATTTTTAGAACTGTTAACAAAAGTTAGTTTCCTATTATATTATCTATTGTGTTACTGAGATCGTTTTCCAAAAAATTAATTTTGTGGCTACTTCCAAAAAGACTAAAGTTGACTTAAGATCTCTAAATTTTTATTTATATTTAATTATAGCTATTCTTAATACATCTATTGCAAGTAAAAAATAATTTATCAAAAATTCAATATGTAGACAAAAATCGAATATAAAAAGGATATTCCATTTTATACAAGAAAGTTGGAATTTTATAAGATTTAAACTACTTTTTGACACGATCTGTATTTGCAAAAAATGCGGAATAATAATTCGTAATTGACTGGCATGAGCTTTAAGAAAACACGTGTACCTGAATTTTAAAGGAATTTATTCTAAACTTTTTTGTAAACTCGCTGTATAATAATAAAGCGTAATTTCGTATTAATAAATACAGGACCGGTAAACGGTTATTGCGCCTTACTGCCGTTAAAATTGCTTAAAGTTAGTAAATTTGAGAGAAAATATCATTTATTTTGGTATACAAAGAATGTAAAGTACATATTTTATAATTTTTTACAAGATTTTTAAAATATTTGAATTGAGGAGTGTCTATATAGGTCGAAATAAGGTACACAATATAAAAAAAATCCTAAAGATAAAATTCCTTAGTATAAAAAATCATTCATTATATTGCAGGGAACTAAATAAGTTTTTTATTATTATTTTTAAAAATATATTCGAATATATGTATATCTATCTATTATAGCTAACTTATAAACTTAGTTCTTAGGTCTTAAAAAATTCGGGATATATTTACTTACAACATCGTACATTATCTAATTCTATCTATCTATTTATTATTATATTTATTACACTATTAAATCTTATACAGGTTGTTAATTTGTTCATTACTCGCGGCAAGAGCTTTATAGTTGAAACATGGCAACATGACGCGACGGGACGAGTCGGCAGAAAAGTCAATAATGCATGCGTTCTCAATAGGCAGTGTTGCCATTCTGTTCCCCTATAAGTAACTGTTGAGTTAACAACCTGTATACCATAATACATTGTGATAGTAATTTAATATTAAGAAGTAAAAAAGAAAAAAATTCTACTTACCTTTATAAACAAACTACATCAAATATATTTTTAAGATTGAAAACAATATTATTTATTAATAGAAATAAAAAATAATAATGATTTCTAAACAAAAAATAAGTGGGATATCATGTTATAAAAGCCTCGCTATCAAGGAGGAGAAAAAAAATCCAAAAAAATGTTAATGTCTTCTTCAAGCGAATATCTCCGAGCGAATATCGAGAAAAGATACACCTAGAAGACAAAATTATTTTTAAATTCCTTGCTTTGTTAGTCCAGAGGGTGTTTCAAACTTTTACAAAAATATCAACGTTTTGTTTTTCCTCGTATAATTGACAGATGACAACTTTCATTTTTAATTTAGAAAGATATATTAAAAAGTCAAACAATTTAGCTACAAATTGCTTAACAAATCATCGAAATCGCTACACTAGAACACAATATACAGGGTGGTCCGAATTATATTCCCGAAACTTCGCCAGCATATTCTGCAGATAAAAATAAGTAAAAAAGTTCGTATAAATGTATGTACTAAAATGCTTAGTTTCGGAAATACAGGGTGTAGAAATTTCATTTTTATTTCGATTTTTTCCAAATAATTTATGAGATAACGTCTATATTTGGATAAAAATCGGTATCTGGGTTTTTTTGACATGAGAAGTTTCATTTTTATTTTGATTTTTTCCAAATAATTTATGAAGCAACGTCAATATATGGATGAAAATTGGTGCCTGGGAGTTTGTTGATATGAGAAATTTGATTTTGATGTCAATATAACTCTTACTTGTAGAGGGCGCCACCTACATATTTTTTACTGGTTTGAAGAATAATAACTTTTCGTCTGTACCTGTATAAAATTACTGATTAAAAAAATATACATTGCGAAATATACATGCGAAGTTTTTTACGTAAAAAATGTCTCTTGAGATATTTGGAATCGAAATTATCAATACCTATCATCATTGACATAAATTAAACATGTTGACTAAATAGTTATTAGACTGAAATCATAAATTTGAAATGTTTTTGTGCCAAAAGTTCAATAGAAACAGTTTTATCATCATTTTTTCGCAGGAAAGTTTATGATTAATTTAAAAAAATAAAAATTTCCCAAATTTATTATTTCAGTCAAGTAACTATCTACTCAACGTGTTTATTTTTTTTCAATAATGATATGTATTGACTATTTTCATTCTAAATATCTTAAGAACGGTTGCTCGTAGCGATTTTTACAAAGAGATATTTTTTACATAAAAAATCACAGAGATATATATTTTTTCGCTCGGTAGTTATATACAGGTACGGACGAAAAGTTATTACTCTTCAAAACAGTTAAAACACAAGGAGGTGGCGCCCTCTACAAACAGGAGTCATACTGACATCAAAATCAAATTTCTCGTGTCAAAAAACTCCCAGACACCAATTTTCATCCAAATATTAACGTTGCTTCATACATTATTTGGAAAAAATCGAAATAAAAATGAAATTTCTACATCCTGTATCTCCAAAACTAAGCATTTTAGAACATATATTTATACGAACTTTTTTACTTAATTTTATCAGCAGGATGTGCTGCTGAAGTTTCCGGAATACAGTTCGGACCACCCTGTATAAAAGTTTAAAATACATGAAAATATTAAGGTGGCGAAAATAAAATAATTAACTTTTCTCTATCGTTGACTCACCCTGTACAAATCAGAGAAATAATTTTTATTTTGAATTGAGTGGGAATCTTTATTAAAATCAGTTTTTAACTTGAATTAATTATATTTTCATGAAGAAATATAGGAACGTTTTGGGAAAATTTGGGAGTTTAATTGCATCATATTAAAACTAATAAGATTAATTTATAGTTTTTATTGTAAGAAAAATCCGCAGTTTCGATTACTGCCCATAAGAAGAAACTGCAAGAAACTTATGGGAGTTTCACTCTTTTGAAAGTTTCAATTACATCAATATACATAGAACAATAATTACAACAATATAATACAATAATTTACATAACTTATAAAAATAATACCGATTTATATACAGTGGTACAAAATAAATTTATAACCCTTCACCAATAACTTATATACATTATATTTACTTAAATAACATCAAAACCAACTTATACAACAGATATATAAAATAAATGAAACTCTATACCAGTACTCAATATCTTTCGCTTGTTTGGCACAAATTCTTGCTTATCCATTTTTTTGTGCTCGATGATCCATTTTCTTCTTTCCATTAATTGCGTAATTTTTAGAACTTGGAAATCTTGAAAAGTTTGTGAAAGTTTGAATTTCTTCCTCCTTTTTCACATTACCATCGATTGTAGGTTCTCTATTGTTCTTTATGTCCTTTAATATCTTATTCTTGGAAGGTAACTTATCAACATCACCTAAAACAGATTCGCTTACCGGCCTGTGATTGTACAGGGTGTCCCATTTCGTTCAAAAATGGGATAAAATAATACTATACTATAGGGCCGTACCTTCCGGCTTCCCTATTGGAGATAGCAAAAAGCTTTAAACGTAGAAGTTGTAAGATTTCACCTGAACCGCCAGAAAGTGAAATAAAAATAAACAGGACGATCAGAGTACTAACTTAGGAAACAAATTTAACGTCACTTTTTTAATGGAACGCCCTGTATATTTTAAGTTTTTTGAAAGGCCGTTTTCTTCCGATTTCAGATATATGTATACTGTTTGACCAGCGGATCTGTAGCTACGGAAGGAATGCGAGAAAAAAAAATCGATATTGCCACGTTTATCTATAAAATTGCAAAATTGCCAGACATGAACTATAAATTTAATATATTTTTATTATATATAATGTGTTTAGCATATATTCTGACGTATATTACTAAGGAATTTTAACGTAGTTCATATTGTTCGATATGTTTTATTTAATAACTTATTTCTTTCATTCTGTATAATCTGCCTATTATGAAAGTTGAAGATTTTCAACGATATCATTGGCAAACCGGCATCGCCGCGCATGGCCGCCTATTCATCGAACATGATTGGCGAGTACGTCACAGGATTTGTTACCACGCGGTTGCCATGGCTTTTACGCCTTTCCTATTCGCTTGCTTTATCCCCAACTTCACGGTCTCTTCTGAAAAGAGTAGGAATATTGAATACTATTGAAATATCCAGTGGCGGTGTCATTTTTTTGATCATTATTACTTTATTTCATTATTTTATACCGGTTATCCTAAACTTTATTCCTATATTTTTAGTATATTTGATAGTTAAGTTGTGTTTTATTGTTTTGTTATCTTGTTATAATGTTTTTCGTTCGTAGTTTTTAATTATTAATATCAAGTTTGATCGTATATTTGTGTTTTAAAACGAATAAATTTGTTAAGGGTAAGACGCTACATAGTCAGACAAGAGAAATAATAGCTAATTTATATAGGTAAGTTAATAATAACGTGGATGAAATCTCATTTGGTGTATTTCCTTGTGTTCATAATAGGGTTTGCGATGAAGAAGCTACAGAGAGTTCGCTTGAGTTGCCGCTTAAACGTAAACTTGAGCGGATATTTCTTTATACCGGAGTTAGCGTATCGGCTATAAAAAAATTCACACAGAAGATAAAAAAAAGGCTGAAAACTAACCCCGATAAAATGATATCCTCTCTGGAAAGAAACGACCACGTGAGACTGCTGTCGAAAAGCTCAACGACTTTTTCGAAGTGGTCAGGAATTTGATAAATAGATTTTATCTCGAATTCAAACTCGTCCCCACAATTAGAAAGCTTTTGCAAAAATTGCAGGAAGAATCGAATTTTCCTTTTGCAGGGAAACGCTTAGGGGGTTATTAAAATCAAATGAATTTTTTTGGCGTAAATGTTAAAATAACAGATAAATATTAATGGAGCGGCCCATTATATTGCAGAGAGAGATATAAATATATATACGCGAAATTCGAAAATATAGCCAAGTATTATCTATTTGGATGTAACATATGGGTAGACAATGACCTAACCTTTAAAAACTGCTGGCGGAGCGATACCATATCTGGTGTAATAGGCAATATCAGATCTACTGATGAGTAAAATTATGTTTTGTTTGCGCTTCCAAAGTTAACTATTTTCAAGATTTTTTTTTGCTGGAAATAGTTATATCTAAAATTATGTATTATAGAAAAAAATATAGTTAGTACAGATATATAAATAAATATACCTCAAGACTCAGTCTTGATCATCTGCTGATGGCAGACATGGTTAGCGAAACGTGGTCCAGTGTAAAATTAAAAGTGTTTTGGTGTATTGTACTGATTTAGTGTTTTATTTTGCTGTGTAACACCAAAGGTTCCAACCCCCAGCTGTAATTATTTCTTCTATTATATTAACAACACAATAATAAAATGATTCAAAATATTTAAGGGAGCTTTAATAAAAGCTTTTAGTGTTTATCTGCTAACTCAACAGTAACGATTCAAACAGCATAAAGTTTTTTGAAAAAAATTATTAATCTGAGTATTATATTTATGATGCCCATTCTTCTTGGTGAGACAATTCCGTTTGCGGAGGAAGTTAAGTATCTGGGATTAAACCTGGACAAAAAACTTAGCTGGACCTCTCATCTGGAAAAAACATCAAAAAAGGCTTGCTATGCTCTATGGGCATGCCGCCGAATTTGTGGTAGAAACTGGGGATTAAACCCCAAAAATATGTACTGGCTATACGTGACGGCCATCAGACCTATTATCACGTATGATGCAGTTACCTGGTGGCAGAAAGCCAACCAAACAACGGCAAAGAATAAATTGTCGAAACTACAACGACAAGCATGCTTAGCGGTGACTGGTGCCTTCCATTCCACGCCGTCAAAGGCTATGGAAACCCTACTCGATCTACCTCCTCTTCAAATTCTTTTGGAAAGAGAGGCGAGATGGGCTACATATAGGTTTCTAAATATAGAACGAGGAAGCCAAGGAACAATTATGTTCATACAAAACCGCTAATAGAAGAACTACAGTCGGATGAGATTATGGGAATGATCTCGGATCTTACACCACCAGTCCAACTCTTGACGCGCACCTACAACGTCCTGTTTCCGAATAGGGACGAATGGGATAAGCCGGGAAACGGCTTATTACATGCGGAAATGTGTTGGTACACGGACGGATCCAAAAACGAAAAAGGATCTAGCGCAGGAATTTACTGCAGCAGTCCAAAGACTGAGATCTACCACAGTCTTGGAAAACACATCACGATCTTTCAAGCTGAGCTATATGCTATTGAAACCTGTGTGCAACTGCTGGTAGAACAACAATACACCGGGAAAACAATATGCATATTTTCGGATAGTCAAGCTGCGCTGAAAGCACTTGAGGCAACGAAAAGCACGTCTATGACGATTCTTCATTGTAAGAAACTACTCAATATACTGGGAATAGGAACAAAGTGTCGCTAATATGGATACCGGGACATGTCGGCCTAGAGGGAAATGAACGTGCTGATTCCCTCGCCAAAATTGGTGCAGGCGCGCCATTCGTGGGGCCAGAACCGACACTTAGCGTTCCCAAAAATCTCGCAAGAGACAGGCTCTGTGAATGGGTTTGAGACATTCCGAGACTGGAATGACAGTCCCGGAATGGAGCATGCCAAGAAAATCCTAGCAGGGCCATCCAAACGTAGAACAGGAGAACTCCTAAAGGCCGGTAGGAATGGAACGCGTGTGCTCACAGCAGTGTACACGGGCCACTGCCGGCTGAGATCTCACCTACAGAGGACGGGACTGGTGGAAGACGCCGAATGCCGACTCTGTATGGAAGATGATGAAACAATGAAGCACGTTATGTGTACCTGCCCCGCTGGGAGCAGGACCAGGTTTGAGATATTTGGCAAACCCATGCTAGACCTATCAGACCTAGGAGACATATCGCCCTCAGACATAACGGCCTATATTAAGAGGCTGGGTCTTGAGGATGAACTTTGACGCTCTTGTAAATTAGAGCTTGTAGAAACTGAGCCACAATAGGCCCTCGCGGCCTCAGTGGAGGGTCCCCTATGGGACCACTCTTAGTCAAATACAAAAAAAAAAAAAAATTATATTTATGATACACATTATTTTCATATAACACCGTACGCCCATGCCTATTTTATGAATGAAATTGGGCGTGTTTTGTTTACAACTGCGTTCCCCTGCCGATACCCCGTAGCTACAGATCCGTTGGTCACACTATAGTTTATCTATATTTGCGTGATGATGTATTATTTTAGTTTTACCAGTGCAACAGCTACCACACAAAATAGATAAAATGTATTATGTTAGATTGATTAAACCAAAATAATTCAAAAACGGTTCACGTAAATATAGACAGGGTCAGTCTTAAATAAGTGCAAATATTTTCAGGGCTGGTAGATCTCGATAAAAAAACATACTTTCTCTTGACCGTTTTTCAAATAAGTCTAAAATAACTGAAATACTTTACTTTGAAAATTTAAAAAAATGATTTTTTGCTTAAATTTTGAGAACCATTGGATCATGTGGGTTTTCTTTCTTGTAAATTTAATTTACTACATATGTTACCATATTATGAAGATATGTTTTTTAACCAAAAATTTAAAAAAATTCCAAAAAATATTTTCAAAAATTTTAAATTAAAAAAAAATGTTTCGTCAAAAAACCTGATAAACGTGTTTCTGGGGTCGAAATATACTACCCCTAAAAATATTTGCACTTATTTAAGACCGGAAGAAAAAAAAATTCAGAAAAAAGCTCAAAATACACAGGGTGTTTCATTGAAAAACAGTGAGAAAACAAGTTAAAATTTTTCCTTAACTTTCTGATCGTCTCTTGGTTATTTATATTTCACTTTCTGGTGATTCAGGTGAAACCTTGCAGCTCTTAGATATAAAGTTTTTTGCAATATCCAATAGGGAAGGCTGCAGGTATGGCACGAAATATCTGTGAAACCCCTATACCGGGTGCGTCTCAAAAGTGGCTCACCCCTATAACTTCTTTTATTTTTTCAGATAAAACAACGAGATTTGGTGTGTAGTATATGACATAAATTAGGATCAATTGGTGTATTCAATTGTTTTTGGTCACTTCCTGTTTCACCGGAAATGACTACAACTTTTGATTTTTAAATAGCACCCTTGGTATTTTTTTACTTAATTCGATAGAAAATGACATTCTGAATAGAATTACATATCATATGTCAACTTTTGACATTCTTGCTTAATAAAAAATTGTATTTTAAAATTCAATCTACAGTGTGCCATGGCTATGTTAAAAACACTAATTCTTCATCAAAGAGCCTTGGAAAAATAGATTTGATGGTTTAATGTTTTTAGTGCCTTGTCCTGGCCAGTTAGAAAATGCTCAAAGTGTATTTTTTTAATCATATCTCAATTTTTTCAAATGGAACGAGGGTGGCTCATTAGCATATTTGGAAAAAGCATTTTTTACGAATAATTTGATACCACACACTTGGTATTTCAAGTCAAATTTTCGTTAGGAACCGCAAGTTATAATTCCAAATAAACCATATGCGAAAATGTCAAAAGTTGACATATGATATGTTATTCTATTCAGAGTGACATTTTCTATCGAATAAAGTAAAAAAATCTCGGGGTCCCATTTGAAAATCAAAAGTTGTAGTCATTTCCGGTGAAACTGGAAGTGACCGAAAACAATTGAATACGTCCAGTCAATCCTAATTTATGTCATCTACTAACATACCAAATCTCGTTTTTTTAACTAAAAAAGTAAAAAAGTTATAGGGATGAGCCACTTTTGAGACGCCCCCGGTATAAACATACCTAATGTATTATGATTATTGTATTGTACCCAGTAATTAATAGAAAAATCGTGGATATTGCGAAGACTCCAGAAAACAGTTATATTTTCTAAGATGTTTTACGACTTTGGATCACCTCTTTACACACTAAATATTTAGTATTCAGAATGCCTACAATGACACAGAATTACAGGAGAAAAAAACAAAAAAGAGGAATTTTAAGTACTCGATGGTTAGAGAATCCTCATGGATCACATTTGTAGGCAAATATAATTATTTTCTTGAGACTGACCAATACCCACCCATAGACTTATCTACCAGGTGATGTATCGTTGTTGGAAACATAGGAAATCCCATACAAGTTTTAAACTGTCCAAATATTGACACCCTTGTTAATTTTAGGGCGACGTCGCGTCGTAAATAGGTTTTTTAAAGATCTGCGTTTGCCTGGTTTTACATTGTTACCTGTTCAGTTTTAATTTAAAAATAGATTCAGACTTTCTTAAATTACTTAAAATCGGCTTATCCAAATTTGTTCAAATTTGACATGTGTATTCGGCATACGCAGACCTTTAATAAACCTATTTACAAATTTGCTGTAAAATTAACAGAGCAGTCAATATCTGCACAGTTCAAAATCAGCATTCGAGTTCCTATGTTTCCAACGGCGATGCACCATCCGGTATATACCATATGTATCTGTTTACTAATGGAAGCTTTTACAGCATACTCGGGGCAATCATTTCTATAGCGATGAATGAATGCAAACTTTATATATTTTTAATAAAAAGTTTTGCATACTGTTTCGCATAATCCATTATAAATTATTTCTCAAAAGTCTTACCTGTCAAAGATTTCTCTTAAAATTTTTCAAATGCCTCCATTACCTCTACATAGTTAGCTTTCCTTGTTTCTGCTTTTATCACGAGTCTATCATGATTTGCGTGTGGTATTTCAATCTATAAAAAAATAGAAAATACTTAGTATTTTTACACAAAGGAAATATGGCTTTAACTGGTTTGTTTAAAAAAATTAATGATAAATTGTGTAAAGTAGATTACTTACTTTTGACTTCCTCGAACAGTTCAATTTTTAATAATAGGCCAGCTACAAGTCGCCTTGATGTTGTTTCCTTTGCTTTTAGTCAATAACTTATAACCCTTAAACTTTGTCTCTCAGTACCTGCAAAAAAAACTTTTTGAACTACTTCATGCAATATATCTTAGTAATCTGTTACTTAAAAAATACATATCTACTATTATTTTTTATTTATATAAGTTATGTATGTATACTTTACTACCGCAATGATAATATTTTAACATAACCTAACCTATCCCAAGCTATCTCATTTGCAGTACACAATGGTCAAATGATATGTGTCTCTTGGCATTCGGTTATGAAGATTTTCCACGTTTGTTCTTTCCTGAAACAGAAAAAAAAATCCAAATTATAAAGTGTACTTTTTTAGTTTTGTCCTTCATGGTAGATAATTCACAATCACTTCACATCACAAAAAAAGCTAACAAAAAGAAACAACACAACACATCTGGATCACAAAACCTTCACAATCAACGGTGGCTGGTAGAATTTTGTTTTACTATATCTCTGACTCTAGGCATCAGATCCGCACAAATTCTTTTTGAGATAACTTAGGCCCTACCAAAAACGTTTTTGTATTAATAATAACAATTTTAAAATTTGCATTTTTTTCGTTTTTACGTGTACACTACCAACGCAACTTTTTTTTAAATAAAAAATTAATTTTGCTTTGTTATATAATTTTTCTCACATTTGATCGGAACATTTTGAATATTGGCATTAAAATCATAACCTCTTTGACAATATAACGATTTAAAAAAATATACAGGGTGTCAAAAAATAGTGAATCTAACTTTGGTGGGTTATCCTACAGATAAAAATTAAACAATAAGTTCTTTTGAACATATGCCCTAAAATACTTCCCGAAGAATTTTCAGCCCTCGAAAGGTTAAATAAAAATAATATATTTAGTTTATTTTTAAGAACGTTGATAAACCGTTTTTCCCGAAATTTGGTACTCTTACACACATTTTAATGCCAAAGAAAATGGCGATCGTGGAAAATTCCGTGACAGCCCTGAAAGGGTACTTTCCATTAGGGCAGAAAGTACTACTGGTGGTACTTCTTTTATCTTTATAGATACAGCAATTTCAAAAAATGACATAAAAAGCTAGAACTTTTTTACGTAATAACGGTGCTCTTCGTTTTGTTCAAAACGGTGACCGGTTTTCAAGATATTTGCATCAAAAGATTACGATGCGTCGATTTTAGTAGTATGCGTCGATTTTAGTAGTATGATTATAGTAGTATATATTATAGTAGTATATACAGGGTGATTCCTGTAAGTCGGTCATGCTTTCGAGGAATGATAGGGGACGTCGAAATATTAATTTTGATATAGCACACTATGGGTCGGAAATGCCTCTTACGCAAGATACAGGGTGTTAAAGTTTTTGAAAAATTAAAGATATTCTTTAATAGTATTTTAACAGTTGAAAAATTATATAAAATGTTATAAAATTTTATTATAGGAATCTATCTAACAGAGACACTTTAAATGTATAAAGAAGAGGTTTTAGTATCAACCAGTGGCGTAGATGTGATACGCATCAGGTAATTTTTTCAAAAAAAAAAGTACGCCACTGATAAAAATAAAAGTTTTAATTAAGTAATTTCGGAGTTTTTTTATTTACTCGGTTTATTTTCAAGAAAAAATGTCTCTTGCAACTTTCTTCTATCTAACACCATTTTGTCACAATTTAAAAATAAATATTTTTTTAATGAGAACCTTAAATATGCGAATTATTATAACTACCTTCTTAAAACTACGAATTTTATTATTAACAAGAAAAAAAATTCTAGTTTAAATTTATAATTTTTTAAAAATTTATTTAAAGCTAATAGTAAAAAGTACTAAAGTTACCCAAGATGAAGTGAGCTAACGATGCACATGTGTTTCTACTATAGTTATAATAATTCCCTGTATTTAAGATTCTCGTTAAAAATTTATTTATTTTTAAATTGTCACAAAATGGTGTTAGATAGGAGAAAGTTGCAAGAGACATTTTTTCTTGGAAATAAACCGAGTAAATAAAAAAACTGCGACATTTTTATTTTTATCAGTGGCGTACTATTTTTTTTTTTTGAAAAAAATACCTGATGCGTATCACATCTACGCCACTGGTTGAAACTAATACCTCTTCTTTTCACATTTAAAGTGTCTCTGTTAGGTAGATTCCTATAATGAAATTTTATAACGATACCTTCAACTGTTAAAATACTATTAAAGAATATTTTTAATTTTTCAAAAACTTTAACATCCTGTATCTTGCGTAAGAGGCATTTCCGACCCATAGTGTGCTATATCAAAATTAATATTTTGACGTCCCCTATCATTCCTCGAAAGCATGACCGACTTACAGGAATCACTCTGTATATTTAGTAGTATTATTAATTTTAAATAAATCAATCTCATGGTTTGGCTAATATTAAAATCGATGCATGGGAATATTTAAAGATATTTACCTTGAAAACCGTTCACCGCTTCGAAATAAACGAAGAGCACCTTTTTTACATAAAAAGGTCCTAGTTTTAATTTTCATTTATTGAAATTACTATATCTATAAGAATAAAAGAAGTACCACCAGTGTAGCACTCTCTACACTAATGGAAAGTAGCCTTTCAGCTGTTACGGAATTTTACACTATCGCCGTTCGCTTTGGTATTAAAATGTTTGTAAGAGTACCAAACTTCAAGAATAACGGTTTACTATCTTACAAAATAATCAAAATATATTATTAGGCAATTATTTCAAGGCCCTAATTTGCTTCTTTCATTTTTGTTTATTTATATTATTTTTATTTAACATTTCGAGGGCTGTAACTTCTTCGGGAAGCATTTTAGGACATATGTTCATAGGAACTTTTTGTTTTTTTTATCTGTAGAATCACCCGCCTAAGGTAGATACACTATTTTTTGACAACCTGTATAATTTTTTTTATAAAATATGACAAAAATTATAAAAAAAAATTACAAACAAAATTAAGTTTTGCTGTTAAATAAATAGCGCTGGTGATGCACGCGCAAAAATGAAAAAAATCGCTAATTTTAAAACAGTTTTTAAAAATACAAAAGTGTTTCTGGTAGGCACTAAGTCAACTCACCAGAACTCGATGCGGGATCCATGTCCAGAACCAAAGATATAGTACATCGAAATTCTGCCAGCCACCGCTGAGAGAGCCGAACGCTCAGTACCACATAGCAACATCGTTTCTCTCATTCTGCCACCTTTTTAGAAAATTTTGCCTCAAAACTGCGCTTCTAAAATTTTTCTCAAAATCGCACTTCCGGAATTCATGTCGGATGAATTCGTCCGTATTCAGGCTGGATATGTGTGATTGTGATTGCTCATGAGAAATCGGGTTGTTATGGGTCTGAAATTCGTCCCCGTTGGTCATAGAAACCTCGCTTTCAAGGAAGCTTCTGACATCTTCCCAACTCTCCTCGGGGGAATCCGTTTGCATAGCAACTTGTCTGCTCTCCGTTGCAGTTTGTAAGATGAACTCCAGCTCTTCCAATACGTCCTCTTCTGAAGAGATGGAGCTATCGCTACTGCTATCTAGCTCGAGCTTTTCTGCTTCGGTTTGTACGAAGCTCTGGAGTTCGGACCACGTCATAGCTTCGTCATCTGACGTGTCCGGGTCGTTATTATTTTGCAATCCGGACGGTCCAGGTTCCTCATTGTTGCTTTGATCTTCAACCCAGCTGATATTACAATCGAAATCCATGTCCATGTCATCCAACAACACAATACAGCAACAACAACACAGCAACACACACAACAACACAATCAACTATCGACTAAGTCGAACTGAACGATTTTTAAATTTCTACTTATATAAATAATGTCCATCCCTCCCAAACTTTCGGGTAAAGGCTCCACCCACCTTACAAATTTGACCAATAGCGAGGGATAGACTATATCCTACCTAATGACCCATGATACAATAAACGAAAAATAAGATCCTTGGCAAATTGGTTCCCCTCGCGCATGACATCTCACCCGGGTAGTAATTTTCTGTTAAGATACTCCCACTAATAACAGTATAAGTGTAAAAAAAGGTGTTATAAAAAGTTTATATGATAGGGCAAAAATAATATGTTCAGACGACAATTTACTAGAGATATAAACCACATAAAAAATACATACTAAATAAGAAACGACTATCCAGCATCTTTTATTGACAAAACATTAAACGAAATACAAACCCCAAATCATAGACAGAATACCCGTAATGTTAACAATACACAATATTATACAACTTACAATTCCATACATACGAGGCGTTTCAGGATAGCAAAATAATATTAGATACGGACATCTTTCTGAACACAAAATACACTTAGATCCATTTTATCACACTAAACCAATGAATACTGAACAACAAACAAAAAATGTAATATACAAAATACCATGCGAGTGCGAAATACTCGTATAGGATTTTTTTGGAGAGATGAATCCGCCACATAGGTATAGAGTCTATACCATAGACATTTTTTATTTTATAAGTAGACTGTATTTTTTCATTTTTTGGATGCAGGCTTTTGATAAACTATATTCTCTTTTATGGCGTACTCAGATGACTCGTGTACTTGACAAACATTTGTTATTGGTATACAGAGTATAGAGGGTGCGTCGGTGCTATACAGAATTACTAAGGTTGTCGCTCAGTTATCGGAAACGAAACAAAGCGAACAGAACGGAAAAAATTCTGGTTGAAATAAAAGTTTCGTTTCGTTTTCGATAACTGAGCGACAAGCTTTACGGAGACCAGTTTTTCAGTAGTCATTTACTAATAAACAAACAAATTTGCCTAAAGGACAAAAAATGCTTAATGTTAGGAAATAAGTACGTCTATCCGTTCTGTAGCTACGGGGGAAAACGATATTCTCTCGATGTTTTTTGTAAAAAAATAGACGACGCGTCCCATTAATAAAAATTCGAGAAATTTGCGAGTAGCCAATGAAATGAGTGAGAGGAGTGTTTCGCGGTGACATACTCGTCAAGCCACGTAGACTCTGCTGCTTCTATACAGGGTGTTTCAAAAACATATGCCATATCTCGTGGGGAGATTCCTCACGTAAAAATAAGATTTATTTTTCATATCAACATAGGTCCGATTCTGCTTTGTTTCGTAGCTACAGGGTGTTAAAATCTTAATAATCTTTCGATTTATTATAATTTTCTTCCAAGTGCTTTTAGTGATTCAAATGAAATTTTGAGGGTAAAAGTTACTATAATTGCTACATATTTTAATGCTAAAAAAGAGTCGATAAATTCATCAGGGACGTGCATATGGATTAGCACTGGAATATTTTTCCAAAAAAAAAACATGTGCGCCTCTGACTTTTTTTCTTTTGATATCAAAATTCTGTGGTCCATTTAATGCCAATTAAAAGTTATCTCTTGATATTTTGTCGAATTCGGCCTCCTTGATGAAATAAACGCAATTTTATTAATCACAATTAATCAAATTAAAATTAAAATAAAATTAATAAATTATATATTTTGCACAATTTATTATTGAATATTATTACCATTATTTATTATTTCTATTAGTCCAACCTACAGCAATTTCATATAAAAAATAATGGTATTTAAGATAATTACAAAAACACTAATTTAAAAAAAAATAACATCCTGTAACTCTAAAATGATGCATTTCCATACCCATGATAATAGGAACTTTTTTTCATATTTTTTGTTGAGGAATCAATGAGTACTTATTTAAAACTTTCGCAAAGTTAATGATACTAAAATGTTTTAAAGATTGCTATTAGACTTGGATCAAGGCAAATTAATAAAATTGCATTTATCTCATCAAGGAGGCCGAAATCGACAAAATATCGAGAGACAACTTTTAATCGGCTTTAATTTACTTACACTAGTTCGCTAACAAGAGAAAAATAATTCAGTGGCATTCATGCTTTTTTTAGAAAAATATTCTAGTGATAACCCATATGCACGTCCCTGGTGAATATGTGGACACATTTTTAGCTTTAAAATATGCCGCATTTATAGTAACTTTTACTCTCAAAATTTCAGTCGAAACAGTAAAAGTACTTGGAAGAAAATAATAATAAATCGAAAAAATAATAAGAATTTAACACCCTGTACCTACGAAACAAAGCAGAATCGAACCTATGTTGATATGAAAAATAAATCTTATTTTTAAGAGAGGAATCTCCCCACGAGAGATGGCACATGTTTTTTGAAACACCCCGTATAGGTAGCGATTTATAAAATATATTGCTGTTCCAGTATAAAATATATTGCAGTAGACGTACTTTATGTCTCTTCCCGTTGTCGTCGGAAACGCAAAAAAAAAAAAACACAAAGAACAGGAAAACTATTTAAAATATCTAAATACATCTATTTAAAAACACTCTACCCAAGTAGCATTTGGACGTTATCTAACGTCGGGTATACGTCGCGTTCAATAAACCCGACGTCGGATACCAACGTCGGTTCGACCGCCTGACGACCCTTATTTGCACCTAAATGGGGAATACAGATTCGGGTCGCCTTGACGTCGGTATCTGACCTAATAGGGAATGTAATTCTACTAATTACCAACGTCATATTACGTTGGATTTTAGTCACTTAAAATTCGTCGCTAAGCACTTACGTTACGTTTGGTTTCATATTCGCTACCAAGAATACATAAAAACCTAACCAAACTACCTAATTACAAATGGATTCATAATCACTCCTCGAATAGAACTATAAGTGCCTATCTAATTTCGTATTATAATAATTCTGAATCATTAATCCAGACATCAGTTTTGTCAACGGAAGTCACTTGTTTGATATATCTGATTAAAATACTCCGGAAAACAACGAGCGCCTTCAAAATTAGGTAGATTCATGAAATAAATTTCTATAAAAAAGTAACTCGCAAAATATTTTTTTATTTTCTAGCTGGTTTAATCATAAAACTGTACTGTGGTTCCCTCCAAACTCAACCTTATGAATATTATTCTACTAGAAATCGGAATGTGAATATAAATTTTAAAAACAAAAAACGATTTTAAAATTGCTGACAATCGGATACCTGTTAAGAATGGCGGATTTCTGTGTCCGACTTAATATGAACTACCAATATACCAATTCCGACCGGGTCTCCAACATTAGTCGTCTCACACGACCGAAGTCATCAAACCGGACGACCGGCAATCGTATTATGACGTATATAATTCCAACGTACGCCACGTAACCTCACTTTGCGTATCAATGATTTGTGGATTTGTGCAACTATATTTTAGTTTTGTTTTTCTCTTTAAAACAATGGGCAGCCACTTTTTAAGATAGTATATACAAAATTTAAAGAATTGGAACCAGCACCTCACATCTGGGAGGAGGATTGGGTCTGCTGGTTTCCTAAGCTAAAAAATGAAATTAAGATGCACCAATGTAATGCAGCATCTCTTCCGGATAAAAAGCATTTGTGGGCGGAGGAAGATATCACTACTACTATTATTTGCAAAAGCCTCGACCTCTTTCTGTAAAATGTAGATGAATGTCTAAATGCCTTTTAGTGTTTTTTTTAGGCATAATAAAAAAATTTAGTTTGTTTACAAAAACTTTTTTATTAGGTTATGTTCATGATGTTTATTAGGCCGCAAATGCTACTTAATGGGTTGTATTTACGGACGTAAATAGAGATACGTAAATTAGGTTAAAAATATGAACATAAAATACAACAAAATATAATTGGACGTTACTTTAGGGATTATCAGTGAGACGTATCCTATTCGGACAACGGGTAGACGTCGGGCTAGGTACGTCGTGCAAGCCAACGTTGGAACGACGTTGGGAAATTAATAAAAATGGTACGTTGTTATTTTGTACGTCGACAGATCGTTGGATTTACCGACTCGGATCCAACGACGTCACTTTTAATAGGAAAGCGACGTCACCAGTCGTATCACCAGCACCCAACCTAAATTTGCACAAAGTCTGACGTCGCTTCAGGTCAGATTTAGTTCGAAGTCAGATTGATGCTACTTGGGTAGTTTTATTCAATAAACAAAAAATGTGATATACAAAATACCATGTGAATGTGATAAATTTTGTATTGGTGAACCATCTAGACCCTTAAATGTTCGAATTAAAGAACATAAAGATTATTTAAGAAAGGGCAATTTTCACAAATCTAAGATTTGTCAGCATTCAAGGGACACAGGGCACAGAGTATGATTTTAACTTCTTGATTGTAACAATGCAAAAATGATTATGAAAGAAGCGATAGCGGTGTGCTGGGTGTAAATGACACTTTTTTGCGCTCCACGAAAGGTGCGAACTGCATCAATTTTCGGTAACGCTTGGACTACTCTAGTTCAATGGAAAAAATTATAATATTTAAAATTAGCCCTACAAATGTAATAAGAAAAACAATGTGTGAATAAACATACGAAAAAAAAATTAATCTGGATTTTTGTCAAGCTAAACATAGCATTTTGCCGTGTGTGCAATGGCGAAATGGTGATAGGACTTTTTTGAAAATATTACTTTATTTAGAAAATCATTTGAAGTAAAGTAATATTATATAAACTCACCGGCAAAAAAAAACGGCCACTAAAAACTAGACCCAATTTCAAAGTTGGATTTCTCGCGAACCACTCATTAGATTTTGATGATTTTTTTTGAAATTGTAAATTAATTCCTTTTTAACGGATGCTACGTCTTAATTTCTTATTCCGAATTTATTTTGAGCATATACAGGGCACAAAAATAAGGCGAAGTTTTTTGCCCGAACTTTGTAACACCCTGTAGAGTGCAGGAGCGGTAGTAGCTATTGCTAAATTAAATCACATTGTAGCCTCATCTTTTGTGAGCATTTTGTTTTTTTTTAATGACCACATTATCTATTTTACTATTGGAGATATGCTGTTTTAAAACAAACGTCTCGGAAAAAAGCTTCGCAGGCAGCAAGTTTTATGTGTAAATAATCAAGGCGGCATAGGCGAAAACGGATTTATGAGTATTTGCAATATGAAAAAACGGTTGTCAAATTAAAAAATGCCATCTGTAACGGATGTTGCTCGTATTGTGGCTTTAATTGAGGATGGCCGAAGTCAACGTTGTGTCTCCGATACCCTGGGTATATCTCGAACAACAGTCCAGGATGCCTGGAATCGGTATATGGAAACGGGAAATTTAAATTTCTTTACCTTTTTTTTTAATTTTCATCTTTTAGTTAGTTTCCATGTTAAACTTACCTACGTTCTGATGTTTGATTTGCTTTTAAAGCATTTCTAGACGCGTTTGTTTTAAAGCAGCGTATCTCTAATACAGAGATAATGTCGTGATTAAAAAAACAAAATGCTCACAAAAGATCAGGCTACAATGTGATTTGATTTAGCTACTACAACAAAAAAATAGCTACTACAGCTGCTGCACTCTAAAGAGTGTTACAAAATTTGGGAAAAAAACTTTGTCTTATTGTTGTGCCCTGTATATGCTCAAAATAAATTCGGAATTAAAATTGCTGATGTAGCATCCGTTAAGAAGGAATTAATTCACAATTTAAAAAAAAATCATCAAGATCTAATGAGTGGTTCACGAGAAATCCAACTTTGAAATTGGGACTAGTTTTTAGTGGCCGGTTTTTTTTGCCGGTGAATGTAGTTTACTGGAAAATATTATAGACATTCTTGATATATGTATTTGTATCAAACACCTCACGTCTCTGATTATTTTATGAATGTAATCGACCGTGTTTTTAAAAAACTGTGTTTAATAAAAAATTATAACAGTATTATCTTTTTTCTGTGAAACAGATTATAATCAAAGAGCTGGTGTAAGTATTAATTTATATCCCAAGACATTTTTGTTTTAGGTACAAAGTGGACCTGTGGAAGATTTCTTTGGCGAATACAGCGGAAGATGGTGTGTTTTGGAAAACAACGATTTGGTTTGTTATTCTGATAACACATGTTCCAGCATTAAAGAACATTTTCCAGCATCCAACATTCTGAGCATACAGTTATTGCAGGATCCGAAATATAAATACAGGTGAATGCATAGTTCGTCAGCATTTTACGTTTATTTTCGTAGTTTTTTAAAGAGTTCATTTAAACTATCAACAAATTAATAACAAATTGCGAGAAAAAAATATTATAAGAGTAAAAATTATATGGTACACGATTTTTATGGTCCAACGAATGGAAAAAAATTGATATATTTTAATTTTGTTTTAACATATTGTCAGTGAAACGTGTTAACCTTCTAACTCAATTTTTGACTTTAATTAAATAATAGATATTTATTTTTATTGTTCCCCAACAAATATTATTGTTATGTCATTATCATATTAATGCATTAATATACTTGCTTGGTATCTCAGTTATTAGTAAAGATAGGAAGATGCGGTTTGCACAAACCTGTCCCACTTTTTTGTGAAACGAAAAATACTGTAAACAAAATTTCCATAGCCCTCTTCGTTTCTGAGCTACAGGGTCTTTTCGAAAATTTTGCAATTTGGGACAGCCTCCGTATCTCCGTTATTGTGGATGATATCGAGAAGGTGAAAACTGATTCTTGTAGAACTTTTTACGTAGAACTCAGTGGCCTAGTCTGTTTTTCTACGAAAAAAATATTTTTAAAGATGTGAACTAAAGTTATGTTTTTTCAAATGGAACACCCTGTAAATTTATAAATCATATGATCCGTTTTCCTATGAGCCTCCCAAAAATATATATCACTCAATATTTATTTTCACTATTTACTGCAATACTAAAAATATATCATTTTTTATTAGTAGATCGTGATTAATAACAAAAAAATCACAATGGTATATTTACTAAAATAGCCATACACATATTAGATTTTTATTTGGGATTGATATGTTTTTTATTTATATTTTTCTTTTTTTATAACCGAATTTATTATAAAGGGATGGGTTTGCAAATATACAAAAATTTGCATTATTAGCTTCCATTATTAAAGCATTTCCAGGTGTTTGACATTGTATTAGTTGCCACGATATATTTCATATTTCAAAAATCCCTAAACTCAGAATCATCCAGAATGGGCAAATCCGGGAATCAGGGAGGCCATCATATGGGTCCATTGCTTCCAATTCATTAATTTGAGAAATAATAATTTAAGAAAATTCCAATATTTTGAAAGTTGTGAGGGGGAGTTGGCTAAAGCAATATCTAAAAGTTCCGGTACGATAGCTTCCAAAATTTATAAATAGCAATAGAGAGTTAAGTCTCCCTATTATATAAAAGAAAAATTAGTGGCTCCTCTAAAACAAGAGACAGGTAGCAGTATTAATTTTAATAATTTTTTAGTTTCTTTTATTATCAATCATGGCCTACTAATAAATATGATCTTTTAATAAAAACTTTTAAATGTTGCAGTAAATAGTGAAAATAAACATAGAGTGATATTTATTTTTGAGAAGCTTATGGCAAGCCAGATCATATAATTTATAAATATACAGGGTGTTCCATTTAAGAAAACATAACTTTAGTCCATATATTTTAAAATATTCTTTTCGTAGAATAACAGACTACGCCACTGTATTCTACGTAAAAGTTCTACAATAAACATTTTTCACCTTCTCGATACCTTTAACCATAACAGAGATACAGGGGGTGTCTCAAATTGCAAAATTTTCAAAAAGACCCTGTAGCTCAGAAACGAAGAGGGCTATGAAAATTTTGTTTACGGCATTTTCCATTTGACAAAAATGTGGAACAGGTTTGTGCAAACCGCGGCCTTCTATCTTCTCTAATAACGGAGATACCGTATGATTTCAACCAAAATGGGACACCCTGTACATATTTTTTGTGTCGTTTCTTTTCTCTCAACATCAACACAATATTCCTTATGTTTGGACTATTTTTTTTTTTCGAAAATAAAGACATAATCTAAAATTCCATTACAATACGGAAATAGATTAAAGTTTTGTGATTACAGTGATATGTAATTTATGTTAAAAAGTGTATTTTATGTTAAAGGGGTTTCTCGTTTATGAGTAGAGATAAAAAGGTACGGTTTTCACGTCACTTTTTTATGAAACTAAAGATGCTACATACAGATTTGTCCTAGCTGTTATTGTTAATTCCTGAAATGCAGAGCGATTTTGAAAATTTGTCGTTTTTTGACTTCCCTCGTATATCGGTTATCCTATAACTAATCGAAAAGGTGAAAACTGAATTGCGTGGAGATTTTCACGTATAATCCAGTAACGTAACTAGATTTTTTTTGGTGAGACCTTTTATTATCTGCACACAGAAACTAGCGTGGACTAGCCAATAACCAAAATTTGACGTCGACTAACTTATTCCATTGTTTTAATTATCTATTTTAAACCGGCCGCCTATATTAAAAAGTTAAATAATACATTTTTTATCTTACTTTAGAGTTCAGGGTTGGAACCTGGGGTGTTAAAATAGCAAAATAAACACTAATTCACTACAATTTTGAGTCTTAATCAACTGCTGATGGTGCTAACGTGGTTAGCGAAACGAGCGTCCAGTGCAAAAATAGTGTTTTGCTATATTGTGGTGAATTAGTGTCTTATTTTGCCATTTTCTACCTTTTATATGAAAATAAGCATACCGTCATAAGCGTCTCTAAAGTGGCTCACCCCTATAACTTTTTTATTCTTTCAGTTTTAGAGATTTGGTATCTTAGTATATGACATAAACTAAGATTGATTGGCGTATTCTATTGTTTTCGGTCACTGCCTGTTTCACCGGAAACTACTACAACTTGTGATATTTAAATGGCACCCTCGGTATTATTTTACTTTATTCTATAGAAAATAACACTCTGAATAGAATGACGTATCATATGTTAACATTTGACATTTTCGCATATGGTTTATTTGAAATTGTAACTTGCGGTTCATAGCGATAATTTGACTCAAAATACCAAGTGTCTGGTATCAAATTATTCTTAAAAAAATGCTTTTTCCAAATATGCTAATGAGCCACCCTCGTTCCATTTGAAAAAATTGAAATATCAATAAAAATAGGACTTGGGCATCTTTTAATCGGCCAGGACAAGACACTAAAAACATTAGACTATCAAATTTATTTTTCCAAGGCTCCTTAATTAAAAATTAGTGTTTTTAACATAGCCATGACATATGATATGTCATTCTATTCAGAATGTCATTTTCTATCGAATAAAGTAAAAAAATACCGTGAGCGCCATTTAAAAATCAAAAATTGTAGTCATTTCTGGTGAAACAGGAAATGACCAAAAACAATTGAATACGTCAATCAATCCTAACCAAACCTAACCAGTTTTGAGACGCACCCGGTATAGTATGTTATATTTTTAGAAACCCCATAAGAAGGCAAGTAAAGAAAAGTATAATATACAGGGTAGCCCATTTAAAAAAACATAAGTTTGTATCATATTTCAAGAATGACAGCTCGCAGTAAGAATCTAGTAACGCCACTACGAGTTTTGCGTAAAAAACTCTATGGAACTCAGTTTTTACCTTTTCAAAAAGTTATAAGATAACCGCGAACCGATATGAATTGGGTCAAAAAATGCAACATTTTCAAATTCGCCCTATATTTCAGAAACTAAGAGGGCTGACATTACATGAAGTCAAACTCGAAATTAACAATAAAATTACTACCTGATTATAATTACCTAACGAGGTCAAACAAAATAACTTTCTGTAGATGATTTTTTGTTTGTTTTTACTCATGATATGCTATGTTTATTTGTTATGCAGTGTTCTAGATAAAAATAAATAAATAAGCAAAGAAGCGACAGCCATGCATTCCTTACTAACCTCTACAGATACCTAAGCGATACATTTATTTCTATTAGATAGGATTAAAAAATAGTTCTTTATTTTTTGTTTAGAGACTATCGATTCTTTCATTATACCTAATTCTTGCTTTGTTAAAATCTACTCTGTGCCCCGTGTCCCATGAATGCTGACAAAACTTAGATTTACGAAAATCGCCCTTTTTTTAAATAATCTTTATGTTCTTTAATTCTGACATTTAACTGTTTGGAAAAACCCGGTTGTTAACCCTGTCATTTTAATTTACAGGTAAATTTTATTTGCTGTCTGTCGACTCGAAATTTGCTTGTTTTTTTTTGTTGGGACTTTTTCAGGATGTTCTTTCTAATTTCTATAATATTTATGATACTATAAGAAGTTGGGGACTTCAATGGAGGAGACAGAATAATTACTTTAGAGGGACGAATATGACAATTTACCTCGAAAAGATCACGAATGGGCATAAAACTATGCAATTGATATATTGTCTGCATTTTATTTTTATAGCACCTTCATTATTCAATTTTATATTACTTACAAATACTGGTTTTTGTACTATGTAACAGGTACATATAAATGTCTTTCTCTGAAATTAGTTTATCTAAAAAATTAATAGAGTGAAAACAAATCAATTTATATTTATGATACCTGTATAATAGTAACAACTACAAATACGTTTGTCGTCTTTGAAACTGGGTTTTTGTCTGCTTTTGACCCTTACTATTGAATTTTATAAAGGGTATAAAAGTTTGTGGGTCCTAGTACTAAATAACAAATAGAAATAAATTCAGTCATCCCTATAATTACTTTATGCAAATATTTTCAAGGCTGGTTTCAAGTTTCCCAAATAAGTCCAAAATAACAGAGCTATTCAAATTTGAAAATTTTCAAAAAAATTGATTTATTTAAACAAAATTGTTTGCCACCGAATTTTTTCTATATTTGCATCTCTTTTAGTGTCGTTTTCATAGAGTAAAGTCGTAACCATGTTATTTATAGGTGATTCTGAGAAAAATTTGAGGTGAACAGGCAATTCTAAAAAGTTCTAAAATACAGGGTGTTTCAAAAAACATGTGCTATCTCTGGTGTGGAGATGGCACACGTAAAAATAAGATTTATATTTTTCATAACAGCATAGATCCAATTGTGCTTTGTTTCGTAGCTACAGGGTGTTAAAATCTTAATAATCTTTCGATTTGTTAGAATTTTCTTTCAAATACATTAAGTGATTCGAATGAAATGTTGAGGGTACAAGTTACTACACTCACCGGCAAAAAAAACAGGCCATTAAAAACTAGTCCCAATTTCAAAGTTGGGTTTCTCGCGAACCACTCATTAGATTTTGATGATTTTTTTTAAATTGTAAATTAATTCCTTCTTAGCGGATGCTAACGTCAGCAATTTTTATTCCGAATTTACTTTCAGCATATACAGGGCACTACAATAAGACGAAGTTTTTTGACCAAACTTTGTAACACCCTGTAGGGTGCAGCAGCTGTAGTAGCTATTGCTAAATCAAATCACATTGTAGCCTCATCTTTTGTGAGTATTTTTTTTTTTAATCACGACATTATCTCTGTTTGTATTGGAGATACGCTGCTTTAAAACAAACGCCTCGAAAAAAGCTTTAAAATCAAATCAAACATCAGAACGTAGATGTAAACTAACTTAAACATGAAAATTAAAAAAAAAGGTAAAGAAATTTTAAGGGACTAATATCTAGTGTCCACTGACCTGGTGAAATTTCCCGTTTCCGTATACCGATTCCAGGCATCCTGGACTGTTGTTCGAAATATACCCAGGGTTTAAGAGACATAACGTTGACTTCGACCATCCCCAATTAAAGCCACAATACGAGCAACATCCGTTACAGATAATGGCATTTTTTAATTTGACAACCGTTTTTCGCATATTGCAAATACTCATAAATTCGTTTTCGCCTATGTCGCTTTGATTATTTACACATAAAACTTTCCGAGATGAATTCTAAATTTTTCCGAGACGTTCGTTTTAAAACAGCATATCTCCAATACAAAAAGAGATAATGTGGTGATTAAAAAAATAAAATGCTCAAAAAAGTTGAGGCTACAATGTGATTTAATTTAGCAATAGCTACTACCGCTGCTGCACCCTACAGGGTGTTACAAAGTTCGGGCAAAAAACTTCGTTTTATTGTTGTGCCCTATATATGCTCAAAATAAATTCGGAATAAAAATTTCTCAGGTAGCATCCGTTAAAAAGGAATTAATTTCCAATTTAAAAGAAAAATCATCAAAATCTAATGAGTGGTTCGCGAGAAATCCAACTTTGAAATTGGGGCTAGTTTTTAGTGGCCGGTTTTTTTTGCCGGTGAGTTTATAAGTGCTACATATTTTAATGATAAAAAAGTGTCGATAAATTCATCAGGGGCGTGCATATGAGTCATCACTGGAATATTTTTCAAAAAAAAACATGTTCGCCACTGACTTTTTTTTTTATATCAACATTGTGTAGGCCGTTTAATGCCAATTAAAAGTTATCTTTTGATACGTTGTTGAATGATGAGATAAACGCAACTATTAATCACAATTAATAAAATAAAATTAAAATCAATTAATTATATATTTAACCTAATTTTTTATTAAATATTATTACAATTAGTCCAACCTACAGCAAATGAAAAAAAAATGGTATTTGAGATAATTACAAAAAGCTTAATTTTAAAAAGTTTTAACATCCTGTAACTCTAAAACTATGCATTTCCATACCCATGTTTATATGAACTTTTTTCATATTTTTTTTTATGAGGAATCAATGAGTACTTATTTAAAACTTTCGCAAGTTAATGATATTAAATTGTTTTAAAGGTTGCTATTAGACTTGGATCAAGGCAAATTAATAAAATTGCGTTAATCTCATAAAGGAGGCCGAAATCGACAAAATATCAAGAGACAACTTTTAATCGACATTAAACTCCTTACACTAGTTCGCGAAACGTAAGAGAAAAAATGTCAGTGGCGTACATGCTTTTTAAATTAAACTATTCCACTGATAACCATATGGGTTATCAGTGGAATCACGTCCCTAGTAAATATGTCGACACTTTTTTAGCTTTAAAATGTCGCATTTATAGTAACTTTACCCTCAAAATTTCATTCGAAACGTTAAAAGTACTTGAAAGAAAATCATAATACATCGAAAAAATATTAAGACTTTAACACACTGTATCTACGAAACAAAGCAGAATCGGGCCTATGTTGATATGAAAAATAAATCTTATTTTTACGTGAGGAATCTCCCCACGAGAGATGGCACATGTTTTTTGTAACACTCTGTGTACAGGAAATGTAGAAGAAAATGAACGGTTTCAACATATTTTTGGGGAAAACCCCCTGAGACATGTTTTTGGAATCGAAATATACCACCTCTAAAAATATTTGCACTTATTTAAGACTCACCCTGTATAAAAATTGAATAAATGAGAGTGAAAAAAGATAAATTTATATTTATGATTAGTGAGGAGCGATAGAGCGAGACCAAATCTGTGATGGAAAAGTCAAATTGTCTTATACTGGGGATATTTTTATACATCGGAATATTTAGAATGTTATATCTCAATTTTTTTAAATGCAACACCAACATCTAAAAGAAAGCACAAAACACCAACTTTTTTTGCATTTAAAGTATTCCTATATCTTTGACCGTTTCGGATTTTATTTAGTGTTATAAGGCAAAAAATCGTGAGATGGCTTTTTTTATTTAACAATTTACATTTTGTATGTAATATATTAACGCGAATAACTGCTAAACCGTTAAAAATGTAGAAATACTTAAATACAAAAATATTCATTTTCTTATTCTGCATCTAAAAGAGAAATAATATACTGGGTGCGTCTCAATAGTGGCTCACCCCTGTAACTTTTTTATTTTTTTCAGATAAAAAAACGAGATTTAGTATGTTACTATATGATATAAATTAGGACCGATTGACGTATTCAATTCTTTTCGGCCACTTCCTGTTTCACCGGAAATGACTACAACTTTTGATTTTTAAATGGCACCCTCGGTATGTTTTTACTTTATTATATATCCATAATGACACTCTGAATATAATGACATATCATATGTCAACTTTTGACATTTTCGCTTAAAACAAAATTTTATTTTAAATTTCAATCCAGTGTGCCATGGCTGCGTTAAAGACATTAATTTTTAATCAAGGAGCCTTGGAAAAAGGATTAGATTTGATCGACTAATGTTTTTACTGTCTTATCCTGGCCAGTTAAAAGATGTCTAAATCGTATTTTTAATCATATCTCAATTTTTTCAAATGGTACGAGGGTGGCTTATTAGCATATTTGAAAAAAGCATTTTTTACGAATAATTTCGTACCACACATTTTGAGTGAAATTGTCGTTATGAATCGCATGTTGCAATTTGAAATAAACCATATTCGAAAATGTCAAAAGTTAACATATGATATATCAAGTTTCAACGTCATTCTATTCAGAGTGTCATTTTCTATCGAATAAAGTAACAAAATACCAAGGAAAAATCAAAAGTTGTAGTCATTTCCGGTGAAACAGGAAGTGACTATAAATAATAGAATACGTCAATCAATCCTAATTTATGTCATATACTAATATACCAAATCTCGATGTTTTATCTGAAAAAATAAAAAATTTATAGGCGGTAAGCCACTTTTGAGATGCACCCGGTATAGAGTTACATTTAAAAAAATTCAAATATCCTCTTTGGACCCTTCTGAGGTTTCTATGTGGATTCTACGCAGTGGTATTTTAGAAAAAAATAACTTAATTTCTCTTTTCACCAAGGAAATACCCAGTCTTTTTCCAGAAATTTATCTTTTGTTTGTTTGTTTGTGTACCTTGTTTTTTTTTACTTTGTTTGTTAGTTTACCTTTGTCTACAAATTGAAAAATTTTTTGACAATAAAGGCATTTATTATTATTATTAATTTGCTACAAAGATATAGACATTTTTTACTGTATGTTTATTTTTTAACTATTATTAACAAATAATACGGCTTTAGGCACGAGAATGATGATCTGCACTGTTTCGAGTTGAATGTAACTGGAAAAAGTCGAGGTGGACACAAGTATGGATCTCGCAGTATGAGCGAACGCAGAATATGGATGCAGCACATTGCGGAGATGCTCACTCAAAAATTCAAGTCCAGATATACCAGCAACTTTATTAGAATGGGATGGGCTTATGTTCGCGAAGGTAATAAATAAATTTTATTTATAAATTACAATTACAACACAAAAAAATGTATGTGGACTATGTGCGCTTACTAACAGCTATTAAATTGAAGGATTTGAAGGACATGTTTGAAAAAGTGTAATTTTAAATGTTGAAAAAGTCATAAGTTAAAAAAATATTTTTTTACCTCTAAAAATATTTTTTTTACGTGTAACAAAGAGTTTTTGTTATGCGTAAAATAAAACACGTCGCGTCACTACATACTTCTAAGCTGTAGGCTAGTGTCTCGTCTAATAGTGTCTCGCTAGTCCTTACCAAAATGTACCAGCTGTCATTTGCTTTGTTGACTACAACAAAGCATTTGATTGCGTCAAATGGATAAAGCTCTGGAGGTTTTTAAAATAAATGGGGGTACCAGAACAAATCTTGTAGCATTGATCGAAAGCTTGTATACTAATAACACAGCAATGGCAAAAGTGGATGAACACATGTCTGAACTCTTTCAAACACAAAGGCGTCCGACAGGGGTGTATACTCTCACCCATCCTCTTTAATATATGTAGGGAATATATTATGCGGAGAGCTCTGGAAGACTGGGATGGAGGTATAAGTGTGGGAGGAGCTAAAATCAATAACTTGCGATTAGCAGACGACACAACATTAATTGCGACCAGTGAAGAAGAAATGACGAATCTACTGTTGCGAGTGGAAAATGAAAGTGCTGAGATGGGACTAACTATCATCCGCCAAAAAACGAAATTAATTTTCGTGGGCAGAGGAAAACTCTACAAAGATCTTTCCAGTTTAATGGTATCGAAGTGGTTCATGATTTGGTTTATCTAGGACCAAACATAAACGACGAAGGCAATTGTAAAATAGAAATTAGACGAAGAATACAGTTAGCAAAAACTGCCACAACGCGTCTTACAAGAATATGGCAGAGTAGAGTGATAACAACCCACACAAAAAAGAATTTGCTGCATATAATTGTCTTCTCAATATTTCTTTATGGAGTAGAATCCTGGACCATCAAAGCATCGGAAAGGCGCATGATAGGCAGCTTTGAAATGTGGTGCTACAGACGTATGCTGAGAATACCTTGGACAGCTAGAAGAACTAATCTATCAATAATTAATGAGCTCAACATAAACACCCGACTATCGGCAATCTATCTGAAACGCATCCTCGAGTACTTTGGACACATTGCTCGAAGACCTGCCAACAACATGGAAAAAATTATTTTAACTGGTGATGTCCAAGGAAAAAGATGTAGAGGTCGGTCCCCAACAAGATGGATCCATCAAGTAAGACTAACAATGGGACTACCCCTACACTCAGCTATCCATTGAGCTGAAGACAGATTAGCCTGGAAAGATCTTATAAAACAAAAAGTATTTTCATTGAAGTCACGACCCTCAGCTATGAGGAACGATTGGAGAGAGAGTCCTTACCACGTTTCGTCTTGTGTGTCGTCTCGCTAGCTCATGTATCATGGCCTTGAATTTAATACTCCCAGCGTTAAGAAGTTTCATTTCAAAAATGGCAGTTCGAAAACATTTGTAATTTCGTTTTTTTCTTCCTTGTATGATATATGTGGTTATAGAGAACATTTTAACTGTATTTGTCAGAATTATAAGATTTTTAACTATTTTTGTCGGAAGATTGAAGTAATTTAGTGTGTTAAAAATGTATTTTACAGTACAGCAAAAAATATTCAAAGTTCCAATTTGTATAATATTTATAATTTGACACTATAAAAAATTGGAGACCAATGTCGAAAACTGAATAATTAATTACTTTAAAATCATGTTAAAACACAATTTTCTCGAGAGACAATTTCACAAGTATCAAGATAGGGCATACAACTATACCATTGTTATTACAGGGTATTTCAAAAGCATGTGCCATCTTCTGTGGGAAGATTGTAGTTAGTTTCCGAGATACCCATAGCAAACTCACCCTGTATATTAGAAATAGATATTTTTGTTTTTAGGCGTTAGTGGCAAGTGGGCAGGGGCGTGGCTGATTTTAAGTGAAAGAGAATTACATTATGTTATTGATAGACATTCTGTGAAGACAATGGACTTAAGAAAAGCAAGATGCATTATTTTGCAAGGTAACAAAATAATTTTAGCAAAATCTATTTTTACATATAAAAAGAATGTGATTTTTAGCATATGAAGAAACACAAAATATTCCTAGGACGAACGATAAAGGACCGAATATGTTGGTGGACTGTCCAGATTTGACATTATATCTTAGGATGTGGACCTCCAGAGAAACCAAAGTAATATATATTTTATCATATTTATATAGATTGTAATTTCTAAATGTCTCTCTATTTTAACGTATTTATATTAGGTTTGGTGTCATATTGTGAAATTAGAAGCTCATAACAACGGTGCCAACCTCGATCAGCAGCAACTAACAAAGAATGACATTCCTGTGATTGTGGAGAAGTGCATTAATTTCATTTATGCTCACGGTAAGTCTTTATGCCAAAAATAATCTTAATTTGTCTAGAAATTTTGGAATAGAAAATATTTTTACAAAAATATTAGCCTATTAGAGATGATGTCAAGCGTTAATAATTATATTGTGACGTTTGTCTGACAGGGAGTATGTCCGAAGGAATATATCGTAAACCAGGAACGGGCTCTGTAGTCTCCGATCTGTTGTTCAAATTTAGGAAAGACGCCTTTGCAGTACAGCTTACGAAAAACTTATGCAGCGAATACGAAGTTGCGACGGCCCTAAAAAGGTTCTTCAGAGAACTTCCAGAGCCTCTATTCGGTAGTGATCATCGGCAGTACCTTTACGAAGTTGCCAGTAAGTATAGCAGAACTTTTGATTCGTATGCAGTATGTCCCCGGATTGTCTTTAAAAGAGGAAACACGTTTTTATTATTGACATTTTCAGGAAAATGCATTCTTCATAAAAATATTGTGCTTGTTCTAAAATGGTTAATCTTATTTATACTTTTCCAAATTTCCATACCGTCTTAGAGAAAATTGAGAAAAACATGAAAATATGGTCCTAAAAAGTCCTAAACATCAAAAGGCGTTTCTATGATAATATAAATTCAATTTCGTTCTTTGATAGATAGTTATTATTAATTTTGATTAACGTCATATTCTTTGCTGTTGTTAAAGTATCACTTTTCCAATAACTATCATCGCATTCAAAAAAAAAATCAATTATATTTTCACTTTTTTTTAATTTTCTGTAAAACGGTATGGAAATTTATAATCTGTAAAACGGTATGAAAAGTATAAACAGGATTAACCATTTTAGAAGCAAAAATATTCAATAAGAATGGATTTTTTCAAAATGCCAATAATAAAAAGTTTTTCCTCTTGTAAAGACAATCCGGGGACATACTGTAGATATAATATTATCATTATTATACATCCATTCAGAACATATTAAAATACCAATTTTATCTTCTATTCATTCGTCTGCAAAATGAATCACTTAAATATGACAACTTTTTTAATATCTCAACTGTATTTCAAGCTTTTGCTGATACTGGTGTAACGACGTGGGTAGTAGAGTAGCTCGATCTAAAGAAGAAGCCAGGCCCCGAATTCTGGAACTTCGACATAAAAACGTTACGCTTTCAAAGCGGTAAGCGAAAGTATTCGATTAGCGGAACGTCAAGCAGTCGATTTTGGTATTCTCGTTGCCGTGCGAATCGTTTTCTTTATACGCTTTGAGCACATATTGGAAACATCACAATTTCTAATGTAGCTCATAGTCAAAAGTTGATAATTGATTGATGTAACAATGATAAATGTCGATGTTACGTGAATTTCATAACCTATTGTTGAGTTATGTCGACCTATTTTTCTATGGATAGTCATTATTATTATTATATGAGGGAAATGTTGAAGATGCTTCTCAGTATTTTCGATGTTTTGAATAATATTTATAGCTGCCAAGTCTTAAATTATCAATTACTTATTGAGAAATTTATAGAAGAAGAAGAAGTAATTTTCACTAAAGAGCAAGAGAAGGCAAAAAATCAGATTTTTTTCTATTTTTACTGACAGTTTGACAAGCAAAACGATCCTTTAAGGTAGCCGTTTTCGAATCGCTTACGTAATCAGCAAAGACGCTAAGCGCGTCAGTTACCCAAGTCGGTAGTTAAGTGTGGGCTAAGCGAAAATTAACGTCATTTACACTGAGCGTCAAAAAGCGCTTAGCGTTTTCTAAGTTACAGAATTCGGGCCCAGGGTTAACAAATAAAATAGAATTAACTACTGAAAAACGGCATTATGGGCCTGTCAGCAATTTAAACTACTATTTATCTAGTAATGTGACATATGGCATTACATTCTTTGTTTGATGGTCGATTACACAGGTCTACAATGATTTTGGTGCCGCCAAAACTAAAACTGATTTTAAGTATATTAGATACCCTTATTCTACCAGTATAGGTACTTGCTTTTTTAATGCTACGTATTGTTTTCGAGAAATTGCAGGTATAACAAAAAAGGAAAATAAACAATTTTAAAATAATTAATGAGATTATTCTACAGGTTAAAAGCTACTTTTTATTAAAATTTTCTACGATGGTGGTCCTAAAAAGGCGGGATGACACGATTAAAGTTACTTGGACCAAGTACACTTAGATGTTGCCATATAACTGTGCTCATAATAATGCTGCGCGCGTTTTATTGTACGCTGCTTTTGTAGTATTGACTTTTTAATCAAAGTCGAGTTGGAAGCCGTTTTAACATCAAAGTAAGGTATCTAGGTTAGTTTCCAACTTATTTGGACGCTACGAAGCCGTCAAAGTCAACTTTGATAAAACATTTGATACCATCCAAATAGCGTTGAAGAGACACGCGCAACATCTATACAGGGTCCGGCAATAGTGCGTCGGGCATCTGTAGGTCCTAGAATAAAAAACTTGGGATTTTCATTTAAGTGTAAACCTAAAATGTGTACAAGGATGTATTTCAGGAAAATATTTTAACTTCTATAGGGTGGCTTAAAAAAGTGTGAGTGGACCTGGATAATTTTTTTTAAATAGAACATCCTGTATATTATTGCATTTTTAGCTCCCTTTCAGATCACTTTACACAACCCTAAGATATGAATAATTATATTTCCATAGTTTCAGAGATATTAAAAAATAAATTAAAAATATATATTTTTCAGCCCTTCTTAAAAAAATTATTAAAAATACAAGAACTGTTCTGAAATCAGAACTATGTTAGGTATTTACTTTAGATGGTCTGTTCTTACTTTACTATAAATATGGTAATCGTAAATCATACAGGAAAAATTTTCTAAAGCCAAATTTTCTAAAATATAAAATATTTTTTCTTCGTTTTTTTAAATGGAACACCCTGTATATTATTTTTTTATTAGATGGAGAGTTAAAAAATGAACAATTTTTTTACTGGAAATACTCTAAATACAAAAAATGTTCATTTTTTAATTTTCCGTCTAATGAAAAAATAATATACAGAGTGTTCTATTTAAAAAAACGAAGAAAAATTATTTTATATTTTAGAAAGTTTGGCGTAGAATTTTATACATCCTGTATGATTTACGATTTTCATATTTATAGTAAAGTAAGTATAGTATTTTTAATACCTATTTAGAGGTACCAGCCGTTTTAGTAACTTAACGTATGCGGCTTCTTGCACCATCTAAACCCGCATGAAAAAAATTAGGTTATGACCCTTGTCATGTCAAATGCTTGACATATTTCTTATTGCATTGGCGGAGTGACTTGAAATTTCATATTATCAGTGGCGGTTTATAATAATAAAAATTAATTTTATGAAATTCTAAAGATGTTGACGTAATAAAAAAAATATAAAAGAAGCGCACTAATTTTAAAAATATTGTTTTATTAACTAGATACCGAGTTTTCTTAAAAAAATACCTATATTATTTAAGATCTCGATTTAAGGCTTATACTTATGCTTAATGTAGTAAACTATATTCAAAACGATTTAGGATCTCGATTTAAGGCAATTCAAAAAGCGTCCGAAGCACTAAAAGTATAATAAATAATATAACAAGAAGTCGAGCAAGCAGTAATAATATTTATTTAAGGGCTCGTTTAAGTACAAATTCTAGATTTAAAAAAAATTACAACGTGATCTTAAAGGCTAAGTTTAATTATTTTCTAAATCAGAATAACTTTCGGAAAGTGATAGTTCATCATCGGATTCATTGGATACAGAGATCACCATAGGTTCGATGTTTAGTAGATCCAGTTTGTTTTCTACTTCCCATGCTTCAGAAATAATTTTCTCTGTATGTTTTATGTAATTCTGCCAGTGTTGCTCCGGTACATTATTTATAACGTCATTCCATATTTTTAAGACTTCAGTAGGTGACCCTGCAGTTTTCATAATAGCTTGGTCCATAATGCCTTTTAGTTTCAGACCATACCATTTCGATGGCATTAAAATGGAATGGTAGGGTGGTAGCCTGAGAACACAATGACCATGCTCGGCAGCGTATTTATCTAAATGATAATTTTTTTCCGGAAAAACTTGCTTTTCAATTATATTCCAAACAGCATCCTTTAAAATGTGATCTGGAAAAGGAATATTCTTCTTTTTGAGCCATTCTAACATGCGTGTTTTGCTCTAACTTTTTCTTGGGATTTCTTCATCCAGGCGACTGTGGTACGTTGCGTTATCCATTATAATTAACGATGGTTCTTCCAAGTTTACAATTAGTTGCTTTTTAAACCAGTTTTCAAAATTTTCGGTGTTCATGTTGTCATGGTAATTACCTGTTTTTTTATTGCATTTAAAAATTAGCGATGCATTTACCACAAAACCATTTTTATTACCGGCATGAACAATTACATATCGCGTCCCACTTCCAGTTTTTTTTAAATCACTGTGTTTAGTACCATCTTGCCACATTCTTCTATCCCCGCTTTTACTAAAAATCCATGTCTCATCCAGAAAAACAGGTGTAAAAAGCTTTTCACTTTTAGCAGCATGGTATTTGTTCAAAAATAATATTCTTTTTAATCTGATTCCAGGCATTTCCAATAACTGTTTTCTTCCATCCCGTTTTTTGAAATGAAAACCCATTTTTTTAATTCCCAAATATAACGAACTTTTGGAAATCTTAGTTTCTGGAGACTCTTAGAGTTTCTACTGTGATTTTATCCTTTCGCGCATACATTTTGTAAATTACTTCCCTCAAACAATGTAGGGTTTTCTTTGTAATTCGGATTTTGCTCCGGGAAACGCTTGCAGACATATTTCTTCTAAATTCGAAATCTGTAGCTCTGTTTGGTTTTTCTAGATTATATAATGTGCATTCTGGGACTTTTAGTGCTTCGGACGCTTTTTGAATTGCCTTAAATCGAGATCCTAAATCGTTTTGAAAATAGTTTACTACATTAAGCATAAGTTTTTTGGATTCATCAGAATATCGCATTTTTATATCTTATTTTGCGTTATGACATTAACATGAAACGTAACTTCAAAAACGTGACATCTAACAAATTATTAGTAATCGACGTTCATTTTTGTTGGTAATTTTTTGTTTCAACTGATTTATTAATAATAAACAAGGATGGTGTTATTCTAAATGGGTATTAAAAATACTATACATACCATCTAAAGTAAATATCTAATATAGTTTTGATTTTAGAACAGTTCCTGTATTTTTAATAAATTTTTTTAAGAAGGCCTGAAAAATATATATTTATGATTTATTTTTTAATATCTCTGAAACTATCGAAATATATTTAATAATATCTTAGGGTTATGTAAAGTGATCTGAAAGGAAGCCAAAAATGAAATAATATACAGGGTGTTCCGTTTAAAAAAATATCCAGGTTCACGCACACTTTTTTGAGCCACCCTATAGAAGTTAAAATATTTTCCTGAAATACATCCTGATACATACTTTAGGTTTGCACTTAAGCAAAATTCTCAAGTTTTTTATTCTATGAGCTACAGATGCCCGACGCACTATTGCCGGACCCTGTATAGGTATATTCATATAACAACATCTGGTTGACTTGATCCAAGGCTTTCGGACATTTCCGTGTCTAAGTGGCTATGTACATAATATACCTTGATACTCATATTACATCGAACATTTTTAAAGCTCATTAACAGTCTAGAACTAATTCCTCCTAATTTTCAGCCTTCTTATTTTCTAAGTATTTTTCACAATGGCAAAAAAAATGAAATAATGAGATAATTTTTTTGTAATTTTGACAATTAAAGTGACACTTTTCATGCTCCTTTAACGTTTTGAGATATATTTTTTATAACTAGCTAAGACTTTTCTTTTCACAACTACTAATTAAATAAATGATTCGTCACTTTATCGCTTAAAAAACAAAAAGAAAGCAATTTTTAGGTCATTTTTTAGAACATAATATACAGTTAAAAAAGCTTCAGAAAGAAAAGTTTACTACATAGTAAACATAGTAAACCAAACCAAACCATTGAATATATCTAACCTATAGTTATGAACCTGTACGTAGTTTCACTGTTTTCAACCCTCTACATGACTTCTTGGAGATTAGTTAACCAAATTATTATAACGTGTAATTATCAGCACCAAAAAAAAATTTTTTGTAGACCTGTGTAATTAGGCTAAGAAGTATATAACTCTAATCTACTCTGTCTTTTTTTTTAATTAAAGTATTTTGAAAGACTATAAAATGTGTAGTTGAGACCTTCATCATGCATGTGAAATTTTTTTACATAATTTTTAAATATTTCGATAGTTGTCCAAATTATTATTTTTATCATTATTTATCATTATCATTTCATTTAAAACACTAGTTTATTATTATTATAACTATATATAAATTAATTTAAAACACTAGTTTATATTTATTATTACATATATTTATCTTAGCTTGCCTTGTTTAAACCATATGGATATTAAAGTAAGTTAGATATTAATAGTTTTATTTATAATGCCTTATGAAATTTATAATAATATACAGATTTTCTTATGACAATTAAATTTGTGATGTTTTATAGAACACAATATTAAAGACGAAAAAATCCGAATGTTCAAAGCCGCCTTGGATCAACTGCCAACTATTTCGTACAAGACATCGCGAAAGTTGTTGGGTCATTTGCACTTTATCAGTTTGCAGAGTTCTAAAAACCTCATGGATGTGGATAATTTAGCTGCAATTTGGGGTCCAACCCTAATGCATTATGATGTAAGTCAGTATTTTGTTATGAAGTTTTTTCACAAAAATGTATATTTGTCACGTAAAAATAAACAGTAAAATGAATTGTACTTCTGTTAATATAGTAATTGAATAATGCGCCCTCTAGCGGTTAGGTAGTTATTCTCTTTTATACAATATTATATATTATTAAGACTAATATTTTATGTATACATTATATCAATTCCAGGACAAAGACAGACCAAGTAAAGGATTGGATCATGTTCAAGACGCTGAAGTAGTAAGCCAGCTTATCCGACACTACAGGAATATATTCCCCGAAGATCCTGGAGAACTAGAAAAGGAAAAAGTTATGCTAAAAGTAATATTTTCTTTACTTTTATAATAGCAAATTGTCAACACTTTTTAATTAGATTTTACAGAAATATACTCAATCCCCTCAAGGCTCCGTTAATGACAAAGCTGCAGGTGATTTTCGAGTATGGATTTATTTGTTTAGTAAAGAAGGAAAAGCATATAATTTAGCGGTAAGTATTTATCACACTGGGGCGCTATGCAGGTGCGGATCCAGGGTTCGGGAAAAGGGGGGTCTAGACAAAATTTTTACTCCAGAGTCGTTTGTGACTAAAAAAAGGTAAAATGTGATATTTTACGATTTATGTAATTTTAGATTGGTCCTAATAGAACAGCGTATGAAGTCTGTATGGAACTTTGTGATAAAATTGGGAAACCTGCGTTGGGAAACCACGAAATAATTTTAGAAGAGGTAGTTCTTGACGATCGGCTCGTTAGACCTATTCATCATACCGAAAAGGTAACTATTGATATTAATCAGTTTTTAGTCTAACTCTGCTAAGCATTTTTTTACAATTCTATTATTTGTTTTGCTTACACAACGTTTCGGTCAGAAGTATCGCTGACCGTTATCAAGTGTGAACTGAACAAAAGAGGATGCCATAGAGAAAATAACAACTTTAAATTGGATTTGGGTAGGACACGCTGCAAGGCTAAACGATGATATAAACCCATACTATGCCATAAAATGTTAAATAATCAAAAGTCGTACAATGCCAAATGGGAAATTATTGTTTCAACACCCTATTTTTAAACTTAGGTGTTTTGATGTTTGCATACTTTGCCACTGAACCAGAAAATTAAGAAATAATTTTTTTGTGAAATAACTGTAGGTTAAAATCCAAATGAGATATACATTCTACATACTATATAGTCTGTCCAACGACAAGATCATTGACAGTGATAGATGTGTCTGTCATTTTAATTTCAAAGTAGTTTATTTTATTTTACAAGGAAATAAGTTGGAAACTAGACACGTATAGCAGGAAATTAGGAAACGCATAGCAGGAAATTAATATATTTAAAATTTGACTGATAAGTTATTACTTCAAAATATTGTGAAAAAAACTGTATAAAACTGAAAAAATGTAATTGAGTTATTTTATTTAAGAACACGGTATATGTTAATACAAAACAAACAAGAACAAAACACCACATACAAAAAATAGAAAAAAGAACTATTTCTTACTTTCAAGCTTCAAGAAACTTCCCGCATATATTACTATATTTATAAATATAACTTATGTACAAATACAAATCTGTAATATTCCACAGGAATAAATAAAACAAACTGTTTTATTAATAATAACAATTACCAAATTGTATACCTTAAAGGTTGATTAATGAACTTTAATCTTAATTTTTTTTTCAATCAGTACCTTTTGACATTATTTTTCTGCAGTACTAAAATCCTTTATTTATCTATCGTGTGATGTCGATATTTTATAGCTACTCCTTTAGTATGTTTAGTACGATCTTTGTAGCATATACGAGATGCACTTATCTACGACAAGATGGCATATAAGACTTTCTACGTTTCTGCCTGGGCAGCGAGTATTAACTATAAACTGTGTGCTCTGGGTCTACAGTTAATTATCCCTCGATTTTTCGTCCACTTGACTTCAAAAGACTCAAAACACACGTAATAACACGAATCAAAATGCATCATCTGCCAAAACGCAGATATTTGACATAATTTGTTGACACAAAATTATAACCTATAATTTGGCAAGACTTTCACGAGCCTCAAAAATCTAAAGGCCAGTTCATACGCATCGCCGGCGTCGTCCTTTTGTCGTTCATCGTTCCGTCAAACCAATAAAATTGAAATATGATCTGTCATTTTTGAAATAAACTAATAAAACTGGTTAAAAACAAAAAGAGACGACGCATGACGGATTTATATTTAAACCCATCTATAGTTAACTTAAAAAATATTAGAAACTTTTTTTAGTAAAATAAATAGATTGATATGGGACCATGGGTATGTCATCGTCTGTCGAAATCTTACCTGAGAAAAAAACAGTATATATGTTTAGTACAATCCTTGTAGCATATACGAGATGCACTTATCTACGACAAGATGGTATATATAACACTTTCTGCCTGGACAGCAAGTATTATTAACTATAAACTGTGCTCTGGGTCTACAGTTAATTTTTCCTCGATTTTTCGTCCACTTGACCTCCAAAGACACAAAACACACGTTATAACACGAATCAAAATGCATCATCTTCCAAAACGCAGATATTTGATACAAAATTATAACCTATAATTTGGCAAGACAAGCATCAAAAATCTAAAGGCGAGTTCATACGCATTGACGTCCGTTTGTCGTTCATCGTTCCGTCAAACCTTTGAATAAAAAGATTCGTCAAACCAATAAATTGAAATATGATTTGTCATTTTTGAAATTAACTAATAAAACTGGTTAAAAACAACAAGAGACGACACATGGCGGATTTATATTTAAACCCATCCATAGTTAACTTAAAAAACTTAACTTAGAAACTTTTTTTAGTCAAACAAATAGATTGGTATGGGACGTCATTTGCTTTTCTTCTGTCATCGTCTGTCGAAATCTTACCCGAGAAAAAAAACAGTATACCTAGCAAAAAATACGAAACTACAATACTAATAATATCAAAATTGATGGAAGTGATGCAAACTAACCTCTAATGTGAAAACTTGATTGCGCTCACTACACTTAAATGAACATTTAAATAACTTCAAATATTTGATATAATAAGTGGTTTTATTTTTATCAATCAGCAATAGCATTTTACGGCAATTTTTGTTCGATTTGCAGGTTTTAGACGTAGTACTAAAATGGAGTTACTGGGACGACGCGGACAGAAAAAACAACTATATAACTTGTGTCTCTCTATCGAAATACTGGGAATATATAATCGAAAAACCTCTCCCAGTTTCTGGAGAACTGAAGTTTGCCGACAGCAAATCCCGTGTGTTTCGGACGATGCTCTTCCAGTTCACGCAAGGTTGTCTAAGTTGTTTCAAAGATAAAACGGTAAGTTTTTGCAAAATCAATTTATAGGCTTGGTGCATTTTAGTTGATTTTAAAAATTTCGACCGCAGCGCTCGATACGGCAGAAATCAGAAGTTTTCGGCTCTGTATTTAACGCAGTTCCGATGTTGATCGCATTATAATGTTATTAAAATCGTGGCTTTATCATAATATTTAAGTATTTTAGTTTTTAATAGTGCAGTTATTGAAGCTATAAACACTCATGTACATGGTTTGTGTGATGTAACGCTGTTTCGGGTATTAAAAATTAAGTGAAAAAGAATCCGAACTGGGCTCGCTTTTTGTTCTGACTATTTCAAATGTTAATAAAATTGTCGAAAAAAATTTAACACGTAAAGGAGGGCATAATTACATGGTATATTTTATTTTTAGTGTATTTAAATAAAAGCTTGTTTTTACAAAAGTTATTTTTCTTAAATTTATTTTCTCTTTATCTTTACTCAGTGCCACACACTTACACTCAATTTTTTTTTCTTAAAGAACTTCCTATGGGCATCCTAATAATATGTATATCGATTTTCATTAAAAAAGAAAAACTTGAAAAAAACGACAGCTGTCAAATTTGACAGTCAGGTGTGAGACAAATAAAATGAAAACCGACTATGGGGTAGGGGGCATCCAATATATCGATTTTTATCAAAATCGGACTTTTTTTGACAGCTGTCAAATTTGACAGGTCAATTTTTTTTCCTTTAATTTTAGCCCATGGCCATCCTATATATCGATTTTTATCAAAATCGGTTGACTTTGAAATTTTAACATGTCATGAAACTGTCATTTTTTCAAGATGGCCGCCATATGTATATACCCACAATATACCTATATATATATATATATATATATATAAATAGAATTATTAAAAATCAAAAATGCCGCCATTTTGACAGCTGTCAAAAATTCGGGTCATGCCTTGCAAAAAAATGTATTGTCATCGGGACTGAACCTACATGCCAAATTTCCATTTTCTACAATGAAAGGAAGTGGTTCTAATTTAGCTTACAAGATTTACCCCGAACAAACAAAAGCTTATGTAAATGTAATAGTACAAGAGCTGTAAATGTAATACCGTATGATCGAAAAAAAACGGCGTCCAGTTGGCTTGGAAATGACGATCGATGACATTTCCCATATAATTTTACATATAAAATGACAGCGATCTTCATTTCATAGCCATCGTTGACGCCGTTTTTATTCGATCATACGGTAGTACAAACTGTTAATGTAATAGTACAAGAGCTAACAACGTCAGGAAAACGAGAATTTTAAGAAAGCTGGTTCTTTAATATTTCATTTACGATGTTCTCCTGACCAAAGTGACCAAAGTACTGCGCATCACATCTGTACAGGGTGTCCCATTATGGTGTGTTTTATGGGATTTCTCATTTATGAGTAGAGATACAATGATGCGATTTTTACATTACTTTGCTTCTTTTTTATGAAACTAAATATGAAGTTTGTCCTAGCCTCCTTAGTTTCTGAAATACAGGGCAAATTTGTAATGCGTAGTAGTGAACAGATGTTGAATACAGATATGATGCGCAGTAGTGAACGCAACGTTTACCGGCAGCTAGGCGGTCAGCACTTTCTTCAGGAAAGCGTCACAAAGAATATATTAAAAACCAGATTTCTTAAAATTCTCTCTCGAAAACGTTGCTAGCTGTTAGACTATATAAATAAAACAGCGAAATCGTTATGAAAATGAAAATATAAAACGACACCAATCACAAGGAAATCCTATATTCGATAAACGGGGGCATGAAAATGCAATAAATTTAAAAACTGCGTAATTTTCTAACAAATCAAAGTCTTTAAATTCAACCAATAAAATTAATATCGTATTGTCGGTTAAGTAGGAGGATCACAAGCTGATTTGTTACTTTCTATTTTATACAGAGCGATGCAAGTTTGTTCTCCTGGCACATCGAGGACTTAATCTGGTACCTGGGCCATGAACCGAAACGACACCCCCCGAGCAAATATACGATGACGTTTTTCAAAGAGGGCTTCCATCCGAAACGTACCAGGAACCACCCATTTTTCGGCAACGTGGTGGTGTGGAACGATGCCGGCAGCAGAGCCAACTGGATCAGCGCCATGCTTAAATCTAGGTATCCTAATAATCTTACACCGCCGCCTAATTTTGTCACGTTTTAGTTTTGATGTTTCGCGGATGTAGAGAATTTAGAGATTTGTGAGAGAAATATGCGTAGTATATCGGCTTTTTCATTCTAAATCGGTGGTCTATGTTTTAATGAGTAAGATAAAGATAAAGCTATATAGTTATCTTTCCGAAAAAGAAACTTAAAAATTAGCGCCTTTTGACAGTAATTTTACTCCACTAGACAGGGAAAGGCGTACTTGTATCGCTGAGAAATGTGACAACGCCGCAACAACACACCGTCGCATTTTTCTCACTCCGACTTAATAAGATCTCTAAGCGATTCACTTCCACACATGTAAATACTGACCCAAAAGTAAGAGTTGCCAGCGTGGTATAGGCAATACTGCGATTTTGTCATCTACTGGTTAAATAGAAACTAACTGGGCCAAAACTTTCCACTTTATTTTTTTATTCTTTTGTCACCTTTGAATAAAAAGATTAATGAAGGAGTATAATGCTATCCATGTATTCATGCATGGTCGACGGAAAGAGGACTCTAGGGTGGGGATCCGTGACAGTTCTGATTGACGATTCATTTGACGCATTTGAATTTTATTTGCAATTTTGTGAATTTGTCAGTCTTTACTGAGCTTATTTTATGTTATTTATTATTTATTCTACGTGTAGTAAACCGATAATTTATGAAATTCACTTAAAATTAATTAATTATATATTTTTTCTTGCATTTTTTGCTTTTATGTCAAAGAATTTAGATACGTCAATTTGACTTACCTGCTTCAGTAGCGTATCGAATGTTTGTGTTAATAAATAATTATTATAACTTATATATTTTATTAGAATTATATATTTTTATAACAATTTTAATAAATTCCAACATTTATTGACAACGTAAAATAAAACAATAAATTATTAAGGGTAGACGTGGGGTAGACTCCACGTCTGCCCTACATCATATTTTTACACGTTTTGAATAAAATTAGAACGGCACTGATAAACCGGAATTTAAGTCAACCATTTTAGAGTCCTGTCACGGTCGATCTAAGATTTTTGATATGCTCCTTCCTTAAACTATTTATTCAAAATTTGTCACATTTTAACAAAAGTGATTGGGCTAAAAAGTCGATTTTATTTTTTTATGGAAACATGTAACTAATGAATTTCCATTAGAGTTTTTTTTCTCTATCTTACGCTTGAAATCCGTACCACTGATTTAGAATGACCTGTATAGTGTTACCTTTACTGTAATTATTTTATGAATTAAGTGTAAAAATGCGATTTCGGCTAGAATCATTGAACTTCCAATAGGAAATTATCCATTTTTTCCACTCTGGTCTCACGTTTCGGTAAGCATCTTGAGTATTTTGTTTTAATCGTATGCTGAAGATGTTGAGATGATTGAAAACCGTGGGGTGAAAAAGTTTATTGATGTTGATTAGTATAATTTTTTTAATTAATCGTAATTGATGATGTTTTGATATTTAACATATTTACGAGCTGATAATGGTGCGAAGTAGGTTTGTCTTACTTTTTCGATTATTTGACTGGATCTTAAATTATATTTTTAAGTAATATTGGCATTAATTATCTACATACATACTATGGCAGGTTTGTTGAAAAAAAAACTAGCACATTTTTTACACAATAGACAGTCAAAGCACAGCCAAAGACGTAGACGTACACGTATCGTTTGACATGTACGCTGGCGCAGTAAGGAATTCACTTGTGTTTACGCATACGCGATACGTACATATATCTATTAACTCTAGGTAATAAATATATTGATACGTATCTTTGAGTGCCTTTACGTACGTCTTCTCACAGTGCCATAAAAGATCAACAAGATCGTCGGCTACCTCTCGCATGTGTAAGGTGTGTCAATCAGTGTTTCACATGTACACGGGACCTACGGTTTATCGCCGAATCCGAACGGCACTATTTGAGAGGCTGTACAAGGCAAATATTCAAGGTGGTTTGCCATTGCCTTCCCTAATCGCTCTATTTAGATAAATAAATATTTTTATTTAAATAAATAAGGCGTCCGTACCGGCTGGGGATCGAACCCAATACCTCTCGCTCCACAGATTGACACACTACCGCTGGAGCTACGGCCGGCCACTTTTTTATTAAGGTATCTCATACATTTTGGGGCCTGTGAGACAGAAAATGGACATATTTCAATACAATAAATTGTTATTTAAAGACTACTGTCTATAATATCATAATACCCATTAATAATTTTCTTCATCTTTCGATATTACTTTTATAAATTTAATGTGGAATCAATAGAAGAATAGGTATCAATTTTCGGTCACGTCAAAATACTTGCTTTAACTCTTGTTTATACGACAACGAAACTGCAGACGTAACGTAAGTTTCTGCGTTACGTGTCGAGAGATACGTATACGTATTGTGCCATGCTTTAACTAGCTAATAATTGAACACACCATAGAGTGGTGAAACATTGAAATTCTTAACAAATCGGTAGCTAAGAGAGTTGTACTTTCTAAAGTTATAGAGGCGTTTAAAGATTGGTACCTTTGAGCTCATGACGAAAGTATAAAATTCCGCAAAAAATTGCATAAAGTTATTTTTGTATCTTCTTCTTTTTCGTACGTTCGGACCTGTGTTTTCTTCAATGGTTCCCTAAGAACAGTTGGGATGATGAAAACCAGCTTTCATACCATCTTATAGGTGGTCGTCCCGGCGGTCGAGGCGTGTTGGGTCTTTTCTCCTTAGCAGTTTTCGCTAACCGGTCGTTTGGCATCCTGTCCACATGATCTCTCCACTCTCTCCTCCTGTTTCTTGCCCATCTTACTACATCCTGTACTTCACATGTTTCTATTATATCCTCACTTCTTTTCCGGTCATATAAGGTATATCCTGTAATTGATCTAAGTGTTCGCATTTCTGTTGTTCTTAGGAGCCGTTTTGTTATTGTGTTCTCTGCTCTAGTCTCTATCGCTTATGTCATAACTGGTCTCACGCAAGCCTTATAAATTCTAACTTTGCTTCTGACGCTCATATATTTATTTCGCCAAATAAATTTGTATCTCAGTAATAAAAAAACTCTCATTTGCTGTTAACCTTTTGCTACAACCTGGTACAATGAGCCATAAAGGCATGCTTGGTCATGGTATTTTTTGATCGTGTTGTATTACTAAGTGCTGACGGCCTATTTCGCACATTATTTATCAACTAGGATCATCAATATAAGGATCAAATTAGGTGATTTAGTTTTTTAATAGGAATATTTTCAATTGGTTTATTTTTAAATATGATTAAGGACAATAATAGAATAACAGGGTTAAGTATGTAATTTCTTATAATTTTAATTTGTTTGGATAATCTGAGATATTCTTGCCAGACGTAACGATTCAAAAAAATGTAGCCTTAATTGAGGCAGTGCTTCCATTTTGCTATTTATCATAATGAGGCTTCTATGAAAATAATAAGAAAATAAAAAAAGTAACAGTGATAAAGAAAACCGAATGTCTTTTGAAGTGGGACTCCCCTTTTCACTTAATATAAAAATAAGCATCAAGAGTTTTTGTCCTCTATAAGTTTGATTTCATTTTGATGCTCAGTAGATATAAATAAACAATCTTGCTTGCCAAAATAAGATTTATTGTATTCTTGGCAATATTTAGCGCTCGAAAAATTCTAAATTAGACAGGGTTACTCACCTCATTCGACACGGAGTGTTGTAGCCACACGATTAAATTTCTAGAAATTGTTGGATGTTGGAGGATGTTGGACTACTAAAGCTACGATTTAAAATTATTTTCAAAAGGTACAGAGTGTCCCAAATAAATAAAAAATATAAGTTTTTTTTTAAATGGAGCACCCTGTGTAATTATTACATTTTTAGTTTCTACGACTAAAATTACTTATTAATTACTTACCCTTTTTGAAATATTCACGTTTTTGTAAAAATACAGTAACAAAATTATTTTAATGCTTCATTTCTCTTGGCGTATTTAATTTTTTCAAACCAAATATTGTACTGAAGTGTTTCTATTTACTAGATTTTGTGTTGCAATAATAAAAATAATACTACCTTATACAGAGTGTGTAAAAATTTATTTTAAATAATTACTAGTTTTAAACGGGAATAACTTGTTTAATTTAAATGAAGCACCCTGTATATTTTACGTTAATCAGATGCGCAATTTAATTGTCTATCAAATTGTATTATACCATTTTACCTACTTCTTAAGTTTTCGTGGAAAATGCATTTTTATAATTTAGACCTATTTATCAATATACTCATGGAATATTGACATTTTAAGTTATTTTTAAAGACGTAACAAATTTTCAAAGAGTAAACGTACTAATATTGTCGATATAGTTCCCTTATTTCGTTAAAAAATAAAAGAATTGTTGAAATATTTGTAAAATATTACAAATTAATATTATCCCAGTATTCGTAACTACATTAATTGACATCGTTGATTAGTAATTGCTCTGAATACTAAAAAAACTGAATTTTGTGTGTGTAATAGGCAGTGTGGTAAAAAGTAACACCTTATACATTTTATTTCATTTTTTGACAAATGCTAATTTATAACAGAGACGTTCACAGTCATAATTTATTATTATATTGATTTCTGATTCAAATCCACATTTATTTAGAATAATTTATTAACTAACACAATTAAGTATGTAATTAAATATTATTTGGGTGGAAATAATGGGGGTATATTTGATTAGTATACTTTTTTTGTAAAGATTTAAATAGTTTTCTTTTTGTAAATAAATGGGCTAGTAATATTATCAGTTTTAGCACTTCTACATTTTATACATTTGTTGCTTTAAAAAATATCTAAAATGTCAATATTCCATGGGTGTATTAATAAATGATGCCAAAAATATAAGAAAATGCAATTTCTACGAAAACTTGAAGAGATAGGTAAAAAATATTATAATACAATTTGATAGACAATTAAATTGCGCATCTCATTTACGTAAAATATACAAGGTGTACCA